TTATTGCGGACCTTTTTGTGGTCGGTCAAAAATATGGCTTTCGAACTGTATAGATTGGACGAATATCAACAAAACATGGAGGTACTTTTAGGTTGTTAGGTCGAGTTTGTTCTAGCAATATGGCTGCTCCAGTACCTGCGGCTACTATGAGTTCTCCTCGTATTTCGATAGCAATTAGAGGCTTGAAATATCAGTGAGCCGACGCATCAAGGTTTACGTTGCGAAAGCCAGATAGTTCTGTGTTCTGCACTAATTAAATGATCATTATTCTTGTCTGCTATCGAAAACTGGGCTCAGTGTACGAGAAGCCAATTTCAAGTCTATTAGCTGGCTCAGCAAAACGATTCCAATTTTCCATTTACTGAATGTAGGTCTGTATCGCTTTTTTCTGTTTGAGATTATTGATTCTCTACATTGTTAGATATAACGTGTGTGTATTTGTAAATTAAATTGTTATTTGCTTATGTAATAATTGTGTATTCTATGATTGCTAAGTCTGTTACGTGTGTATGTGAGAGGGAGGTTCTTGCATTTTCGTTTTGTTTGAAAGTCTCCAATTTTTTTCCAATGATTTCAGACAACGTACGTTTCGGAGCCAAACAATGCTAAAAAAACCTCATATCGAATGCAGGGCAATAAATAAAAATGCAAAAAACCCGCCTCTCATCGTAATTAACAACACATCAATCGCTCGTGGTAAGGTCTCGTTTTTGGCCATTGTTCACCGTATCGGTTTTAATTTTCGGTTGGAAATCAACGAAGTGAGCGTCGACGGGGACGTAGCGCCCGATATGCTTCCGGGCCTGTTTGCCGGGCGCAAATAAACCGGACCGGCCAATTCCGGCCATTGTTAGAAATATTGTTTGTTACCTACAACGGAGTCCGCAGAATTGCTAACAATGAACCGATAATAAGGGGTTTGCGATGTTTGATTTCACAATGTTGGTGTGAGATTAATGACATAGCGAGCAGAAACAGAAGTTAGCAACCATGTGGATGTAGGTCTATGTGTAAAGTGCGCCCATTAGTTAATTAAAAATGTGCATCGTCATCGTGAATTGGAAACTATTTTCATTCATTAATTGTTTCCATTTATAGTTGTTTTTTTTTAAGTAATAAGTCGGCTAACTAGCAGGCTTTTTACCTGATGATAAGCAATCAGCGCCGCCCATTGCCAACATAGTGCGTTGCCGACCTTTTGGGGATTACGATTTCAGATATTTAAGGATAGAGAGGGATGAGAGTATTTAGAAATAAACATTAAGGTAAACAAGGTCAGCGGTTAAGGATCCAACTACCAATTGGTTGTCTTTTAAACAGTTTTAGTTATTTCCTATCTTCATTCTCCATGTAAAACAATATATTCACTGACACTACAGAGTACAAAGCTCGTGGAATTATAGGTTCTAACGTGGAACCTCTTGGGTGCGATGTTAATAATTCCAGTACCTAAGTATCAACGAACAGTGGCCGTTGGTCCAGAACCATCAAAGTCCGAGTTTGTTTACTTTCCAAACTAGTCCGTGATGACAGAAGCGGTCGTCGGCTTAACCTGTTTTCCGTGGAGAGAATTCGCCTAGATTTTGTCACCTGTCTATCTTGTACTAGAACTGAATTTCCAGAATAAATTTCGCTGTATCTAGCCCGAAATTTGTGTACAAAGAGCATGGGTGAAACGTTAGTGAAGTGTATGGATACTTTTAAGCGTTGTTTTAGAGGATTATTGTTCCATTAACTTTGCATCTTGCTTCTGTTAATTAACAGACTTACAGACTGTTATTCTATTTTGTCATTTTAAAAATACCTGTTTACGGTTTAGTTGGAATAAATGGTTTTGACTTTGACTTTGTTGGTTGTAACATTGCAACATATTTCCAACATTGCTTTGATTGTTTTCAGGACTAAAAGTAAAACTTAAAGTGTATGTATATAAGTAACTAGCTAGTCTCGCGCGGTTTCACCCGCTGCTCGGCTCCATTTAATCGTAGCGTGATGTTTTTTAGCCTATAGCACTCTGGAATATTGTAGATATCTATCAGTGAAAGAATTATGGCAATCCGACCAGCGGTTCCAAAGATTACCCCCTACATACAAACTTACCTCTTTATAATATTAGTATAGATTATATCCGTTGTATCATTAATCTCGTTTTATAAGGGTACCTTATAAGGACGAGGAATCTACGTCATCTAAACAATAATGAGGAATAGTTGAGAATAAAAAAAATGACCATTACAACCCCTTGAACGCTGTATGTATGCTGCGTCCTACCTTACAAAAACACTCTAAAAGGCCCTACGCTAAAATAATCACAATTCCCCCAGAATCAAATATAGAGGTAACTTAAAACAACTATGGCGAACTTCAGTTAAACATGTTATTTCAAATATATATTCCAATTACCACAGTTTACTTTTGAAACCTAAGTTAAATTCACAAAGCATTCCGTGGGAGGTGTTTCGCCTGGGGCTATTAGACCGCTTCTACCTCTCATAGTGAGTCAACGTAGAATTTCACGGAACACTATTAAACAGCAATAGGCCTATACAAATATTAGGGCTATACGAATTTATCTATTATTATTAATATCTAGCGATATTTTCATTGAATTAGGAACCAACGCTGAGGAACCACAATCATATTTCGAATGATTCTGTGAGTATAAATATGGTCCAATAAATTAATGATTCGAATTCCGTAAACTAGAAAAATATTTTCATTTTGAAAGAAATTTATCGTTTTCAATAATCTTCTCATTTATTTCGTTTGTTTTTTAACACGGAATTAACATTATCTGAATTTTAATACTATCTTTGCAGACTTGATAAACAGACAGACCCTAGACAGCTTTTGTAATCAGCCTTTGTGTGGCTCATATTATAGCAACCATGTTAGTTTTCATAAAGTTCAAAAGTCCTTCCACCTATAAACGCTATATTACTCCAATTAAAACCGAAACGTATATCGATTAATAATAGGTCCATTGTCCAGTGACGCTTCTCGCTAATTTTATACACAACAAGTAAGTAGTTGTCGTACTTGTCAGGACTTTGAGTCGCTTGTTGACTAAGTCCTTCATCAGTCAAAGACTTAAGCTGATGAAGACGAGGAACTGTGCCTTTATTATTAAAACTACATATTGGAATATTATTATATTAGTAAATATATAAATGCATATGCATTCAAAACAGGCGCCCAAACCTCTAGGCTACCACGACACTGATGACACAATTTTGTCAGAATCCATTCTCTGGTTATACCTTTTTTTATGTAATAGATCGACAAACGAGCAGACGGATTACGTAATGGTAAGTAATCAGCATAGATGAATATAAGTACTGGTAATCAGCGCCGCCCATGGACACCCGCAACGGAGGAGTTACGAGTGCGTTGCCGTTCTTTTAGGGATTAGGGATTTGGAGATTTAGAGATTGAGGAGGGATTGGGGGTGGGGAAGGATTGGGCCTCCGGTAACGTTACTCACACGGCGAAACACAACTCCACTCCTCCCGCCCGGCCCTGGGCGGGAGAAGTCAGTTGATGATTTTCCCCTCACAAAAAAAGAGTGATATTTAACAGTTGTTAACTATATCACGTCAACATACATTAGTACCCACTAGCTAAGTACCCACTTAGCTTCCCAAGCTCACAGTAAACGGACAAAACTAAGCGTCGAAATAGCCAATTAATTATCATAATTAACAATTAAATTAATTAACATTTGTTTCACACAACGTTTGCCAAATCATCCCTCAGTCATTTCAAGGAGCGCATACCAACTAAATGAACCGAGACCTAAATAAGCAGAGAACTAAATGAAATCCAAACTGCAAATAACTGTAAAATAAATACAACGGTAGAACCATGAATATAAAACTGACTAGATGTTGCAAGCACTTTTAACTGTAGTAAATAGCTAAAGAAAAATTGCACATTGTTTTATAGACAGACTAGTGAAGTAGCTAATCTCGCGCGGTTTCAACCGCTGCTCGGCTCTATTTGATCGTAGCGTGATGTTTTATACCCTATAGCACTTAAGAACATTATAGCTATCTATCATTGAAAGAATTTTGGCAATCCGATCAGCGGTTCCAAAGATTACCCCCTATATACAAACTTACGAATTTTACATCTTCATAATATTAGCAAAAGATAATATTTAAAAAAGAATAAACATTTCTACACTCAAATCCAAGAAGATTTTATTAATGAATATATTTTTTTATCAATTTAAATAAATTGCGGCATCTTGTACTATTATATATCTTTATCTGTGTTAAGAACAAAGAAAGGGCTGGAGCTACTTATCTGTCAGTTGTTCGTACAACGTTGCGTTATTTATTTTTTGGTTTTAATATCTCTTAGGCACGAAGCTAAATGGTTTTTTTAATAGGCTTAATTTTATAAACCCTTTTTTATTTCCTTCAAAATCTCAAGTATGGTTGTATAATCTTGAGTAACTTAACTAAATTCTATTGGGGTTCTGACTGAATATTTAGCAAATAAGAGGTACAATATCATATCATGATACTATAGTATCTACATTAAAATATTTTATTTATTTATTTACTCCTTATTGTATACCATAAAATATATGTATACAGAAAAGCTTGAGATATAATATACAATTCTTACCGCTAAATGAGATTTCTTGCAGACAAAAACAACAACAATATAGAAGAAAATATATACTTATTTCATAAAGTTATTCATGTTTTATTTCTTGATTGCAATTTACTAAAAGGAAACAATCTTAAAACTAAATAAGGACTTATATATTCACAATCATGTAATATTATGTACAAATTTCGAAAATGACCTCAAAGCGACGATCAAATTAGCATTTAGTTGCACCCCAAGTGCAGTTCGCTTTTACAATACTCTTTTGAACAGTCTCTTAAACGTTTAACTTCGTCGTAAGCAGATTGCATGCTTTCTATTGTCTAAAGATACAAAAACGGCCAAACTTGAGTAAATATATTCGCTTAACCGACTTCAAAATGGGGTAAGTTCTCTGTAAGCAGCAGTAAGCATAATTAACTCTTTAGTTGTATTAAAAATAATCAAGTATAATGGTTTATTATAATAGGTCTTTACCTATGAAATTGCCGTTCTGCAGTACTGGCCATTTCAAATCAAAATAGTTTTTGTTAGGCTAAGGCTAATTAATTTTGTTTTAAAAACATGGGATTCTTTTTCCAGAAGTAGTCATTTGTTTATTGATTAGTGTTACATTTTTATCGCATTTCAAATAAAAAAAATCGTTTAATCATCATCATTATCACTATCAGCCCATAAGTTCCCACTACTGAGTAAAGGCCTGTTCTCACACGGAGAAGGTTTGAGTATTATTCACCACAACAATTTCAAGTTTCGGCACGACCTTTTCCTTCGCCGTATGTCAGTGATTTCTAAATAAATTTAAGAAGTACTTACATATGACTTGGAAAAGTCACTATGGTACTTGCCAAGTTTCGAACCGGCGCGGCGCCCTCATGCATAAGGCGACTTAACCCTCGGCCCGCCACGACATGACAAGCAATCACACTTTACATTAATTACGTCACTTAACAAAGAATTAGTCGATGAAAGAAAAAATCTGGCATATTAGCTCGAGAGTCAAACACCATAATTTTTGAGAAAAGAATTTAAGTATTTCGAAGTGGATTTGTACCTCCACTTAGGCAAAACATCAAAAACGGTTGAAAACGCCTGTACAAAACGGATCTTGCCTATTCTTTGTTAAACTGCTACACTATAATTACTGTTAACTTTGTAGCGAGCCCATTATTTCTACAAGAGCTAACGAAAGACGCACCTTTTACACTGAATTATTAAAATTAAACCGTTTCACGTTGCGGTTTGAAAGTCGGTTCAGTGCGGACGCAAGAAAGTTGCGGAATACAACGCGAAGGACAAAGGCACTAACCCCGGGGCCATTTGTTCATCGTACGTATTTGTTCTCGCCTAATTAAACATGAAACAGTAGCAGGTATATCAAGGGAATTAGGAACTTAAGTGTAGATTTTAATGTATTGCCGTACCAGGGAGTTTTAGTTTTATTGTGTTTCGCTAGTTCCCTGCTGTGGGTTGTTTATGCATTTCAATTTGAAATTTGTTTATGTGCTATGCAAATTTCGGTGTCTGTAATTCCTACATTGTTGGTTACGTTCAGTGTTGGACATTTCTGGAGAGTGTGTGTTTGTATATCACCTTGTCTATTAGCAACTTTGTTTCTTAAAGCGATATAACCTTCGTTAGGTTCTAGTCACCAAACCCATTCCAAGGCAGGGTGCAACGCAACTATATACCAGAAAGTTCAGAGGAGGAAAAATATTTTTTTTGTCAGTAAGAGTCAGTCCCCACCCTGGGCGGAAGAAATCTTTGGATAATTCATTTTCCAACCATATACATGGCAGGAAAAACTTAAAAACAGTTCATTTTTTCGTTAATCCACACCTCACAAAACCGCATTGCATTCTTTATCAAAGAACAACAGAACCGAAACGTTCCCTCTTCACTGCACACTACACACTACACACGCTATCATTTCAAAGCGTCGTTTTATTTCCAAATGAGCGAAACTGGCTCTTTGTTGGAGTGTGCACCCACTAAAACAGTTAGCACTTATATTAGCGACCTCATTCCGTTAATGAGAGCAATCCACAAACATTTGTGCATGCACCGGCGTTTATCAGTTAACCGGAAACACTTTGCAATCAGCACCGGTGCGTCAATATCAGTATATGGGCGGTGAAAATGATATTGCTAGCTTAGAGCCGGATCGCTATACTCTGCCGTTTGTTCTTATGATCTATTTGTTTGTGGTGCTAATGACACCAGGCCGGGTTTTCGTTTTTAAATTAGGAATTCGAGCACCTATTATTAATGAGGTTAATTAGTATTTGTAAGTGTAACGATCATAGACACGTTTTTTCGAAAATTTGGTATTTATTACTTCTCATATTAAAATAATTTATCGGTAAATTAGCTTTTGACCACGACTCCGTTCGCGTGGAATGGTGACTTCCTGCAGATTTTTGGTATAAAAACTATCCTAAATCCTTTCTCGAGTTCGAAGCTATGTATGTACCAAATTACATAGAAATTAGTTAGTAGTTTAGGCGTGAAGAAAAGACAGACAGACGGTTACTTTCGCATTTATAATATTAGGTTGGATTTAATAGTAAGACTCTCCAGGAGAGATACAACCCCGACAAAAGTGTTATTAACCAATTACTGTGGCTGTTTTCATCACGTAAGATAAGTCAATGTAGTAGACTAAGTGAGCTATTATTTTTTAGGATAAATAACTTAGGGCTACAATACGTATTTTCGTTACGTACGAGTAATTCTTAATTTTTGATGATCGATTCTTTATTTTATTGACAGTTCTACTCTCTTTTTATCATTGAAAACTAATTTCAAATAAAAACGCGACCTTTCTAGTGTGCGAGTTTCTATAATTTCTTAATAAAGTAACAAACATGAAGAACCTACAAGGTTTCCGTTTTTTTGCCAATTGGCTACGGAACCCTAAAAATTTATAATCATGAATGGGGGTAACGGTAGCATTTTATGATGTGAAATTCATGAGTTTATGATATGAAATTATAAACTAAACTAAATAATAAGAAAATTCCAAAATTGTTGAAAATAGTTTTCCTGTCTTCGCTTTTTAAAGATTGAGGGGATTATTCGATAAGCGCTTAGCGTAAAAGAAGAAAAGTTGGGTATGGGATTATTTTTTCATTAAAATCTTTTTTTTTCTGGTTTTAACTGACTATTAAGTCTTCATAATCTGTTCAATGAAAGTCGTAAGCATTCTTACCAGCACTTAAACATATGATAATTTATTTTTCGAAGTCATAAGCGATTTTTTTTTGTCAGGGGAAAATCATCAAATGACTTCTCCTGCCCAGGGTTATGCGAGAGAGAGTGTCAGACTCTTACTGACTAAAACCATTCCGTTACTTCTCCTGCTTTAGGCCGAGGCCGCGGTACCTAATTGCCCTTACCACGCTGTTCCTAGACCAATCCTGATAAACACCATTTATCTTAAAAAAATTGTATAATAAGGTTTTTATAGGTACATTCAATTATTTCTAAAATCCATTCACTACGTACAACACAATTCATGCATTTGGTTCGAAATCTCTCATAACGTCTTGACATTACACTTTAAAATGCAATCGTCTCGTTACCGTACGAAGAAATCATTCAGTGAGTACCACTCAGAAATTCCACTCCATACTTTCAGTACAATAATCGCAAAAATAAATCCGCTTAGCCACAGAAAGACTGGCGAAATAAAATATTCTATTAGCAAAATCCGTTGGCTCATAATTCACTCAGAGAGCAGCGTACCGTGGGCATGGCAGGTGGTCTTAATAAATACGAAAATGGCCTATCGCGAGGTTAGTAATAAATTCAAAAGGCAATCAACGCCACGGGGGCGGGTAAAAATATTAATAGCCGAGAAATAATTATGTATTCATGACTTCCAGCGTCGGTCGGGGATGAAGTGGAGCTGAAGCATCGGGGTAAACTAAATCCGCTGGGATTGGGCGAAGTGGCTCGACCGGCGACCTCGCCGCCGCCACCGTACGCCGCGGTCAGACCTCACCTCGCGTTTTTACTAAGTGCTAGGATTATCGGATATTAACCTACTGACTACCATTTTATATTTGCGCTGCATTTCGATTTTAGTTTTGTTTAATATATGTTTAAAAGTCTTGCATCTCACGCCTGTGTCTCATGACTGATTTAGTAACACGTTTTGCAGACAACGCGTTCGGTCAGAGTTTTAGAATTATTTGGTAAAAATTGAATTATTTTGTGCCAAACCTTTTCTTTAGATTAAATTGAAATGTTGAGGTTATGATATAATATTCCTCTAAAATACAGTGTTACGAATTAAATCTGTCTTTACACAGGGTACTCAAACATTAACAACTTCCAAAGCGTTCGTTACGGCCAGTAAATTCTAAGTGGCCTGCGGCTTTTACCTCCGAAAATTTAGTTCATATTGAGAAGCTATGAAAGTTTGACAAACCAACAAACAAACTGAATATGCTATTATTTACACTTCGTTACGTGTGTTACTCGACGAATTTATAGTTTAAGTAAGGTAAATAGATTGAGATTTTTTTTCTCTCGAAAGGGCCCATTGGTCCTGCGTTTGGCCATTATCTCGCCTGTGATAAGATGTGATGCGACTTATGATAGAGCACGCCTACTTACATGCAATGCGTTCATCTGGGCCTTGAAGATATGGGCCAGCTTATATATTCCCTACGGGGAAGACATTATTAATATTGACGATTTGAAATTATACAAACTAGAATCATTGGTTTTGGTATTTAAATTAGTTCGATCGCTAATACAATTTCCAGTCACAGATGGTGTTTATTAATCAAGTGCGTCTGAAAACAAAACAAGCCAAATCAGCTTTTCGCGTTCGGTTGCAAGTCATCAATCAATCGTTAATCCAACGACGCAATATCCATAAAATGGATCGCGGGAGGTCGGCGTGCAGTCGGTACGCATTGGGTACGTGGTACGTAATTCTGACGGAGCGAGCCGACGACAATGCCGCAATCGGAGCAGCAATCTGCATAATGGATTGCTGGGCGAACGCTTCGTCCGGTCGCCGCTCATTCAATTGTCGCGGTCGCCGATGTGTCGCGCCGTTATTACGGACTCCGGAATTAATAATTTCATGGGCGTATGGGCGCGAAGCCTCATGCCTCATTGGACGTTAGATTTTTATGAACACATTTTTTTTTCTTTTGTAATTAGCTGGATTAGGTGCCTTTGTTGTTGACTCTGTTGACGTTGGGTTCGCTTGATTGTCGTTGTAGGTAGAAGTTATTTAATTAAGCGAAAATATTGTTTAAGTAAACCTTTAAAATCAACCATTGAACACGTTATACCAAAAATAAATATAGCTTTTTTGAAAATGTTAAATCACGCTATGTGTGAACTCGTAGTTGATACAACATAATATCGAATTGCCGTTAATGTATGTACAGTAAATTGTCCGAGTTAGTCATTTTGAATTTGAAATGCAAAATAACACAGTGACAGTACAGACACAGTTTACTGGCACATGTCCCATCGGGGATCTTTGCATATTTTACAAACTGTTTTGTCAAATTCTAATAATTTATTCAACGGATTTAGTGGGATCTCTAATCTATTGATACAACACGCTATTAATGCTGTTTGCTAGCTAACAATATTAGTAATATATATAAACCTTTTAGTTAACACAAAACGATGGGTTGGTAGTATTGATCATCTATTGGTAATTATATTTGTAGCTAGATCCTAGTAGAGTATTTAAGTAGTAGAGACTTTAAGGTATCGCGTTTTTTTTGTTTAGAGATTTTATCTCATCTTCTCTGACGGCATTTTGCTGTTACACCTAGGTATATATGAATATCTACATACAGCGTTGTGTTTCGCCGTGTGAGTGAGGTTACCGGAGGCCCAATCCTTGCCCTCCCCCGATTCCTCCGTAATCCCTAAATCTCCAAAACCTTAGGGTTTTCCTAATCCCTAAAAGGTCGTAACTCCTCCGTTGCGGGTGTCCATGGGCGGCGCTGATTGCTTACCATGACGTAATCCGTCTACTCTTCTGCCGACTTATTTTTGCTGATTACATAAAAAAACTTCAATATTTATGTAAGTAATTCAATCAGTCCTATTATTTTTACAGTGCAGGGATCTGGAGTATTTTAGAATTATAACATAAATGCTAGAAAACATAAAACACTTGTGTGAAAAATTAATTTGGGGCTTCGCTTTCTTTCTTAGCTGCACTACTCTAATCTGCATTTCTCTGCCCTAATCTACCGTGCACTACCATAATTTTACTTACTCTACCCTCCCCTACCGCATATTACCTACAAAGCCTACTTTGTAATCAATAAGCAGTTCAAATCAGTTTTCGTTTGTAATCAGTCAAAACAAAAATCGAATAAGCGAAAACAGTTCAGCTATTCTCGAGATTGGCGCGAAAAACTAAATATTTAGCGATTCATTTGTTCTTGTTCTAAGTTTAAATATTTAAATATTATGTCGCACCTCTCTAACCAATTGCAGCCAGTCACTTCAATCAAACTCCGTTTTATTACTGCACCTATCACGTCTGCCATCTTGTCTTACTCCAGAACAACGTCACAAGACGAACGGCTCAATAACGCCTCCTAATCTAAGACCGGCTTTCAGCAGCCACCAAGATTTACCGGCCACATATAATATGTTGTGGACGAACAATAGCCGGGATATTGATTTAAACTATGATATAGTGCGTACATCTTGATCTGCGGTCTAGTGCAAGGTAGTGGAAATCCCTGTTTTCACTGTTTTGACAAGTGATTTGTTGGCTTTGGTTTTAGATCGGTGCGTTACTAACTTAAGAATGGCTTTTGTAATTTTTTATGCGCTATTGAGTAGTTTTCATATGTCAAAAAATCATTAATTCGAATATTCTGTACAATTAATTATTATTAAAACATAATCATGCTTTCATTCATAGTTTTAACTATGGACCTAATTTAGATTTTTTCTAGTGATTTTTTCCAAAATAAGTGTTTAGGACAGGTAGCTAAGGTTTTAATAACCCATGTGTTGTCCTTTCAGCTACTAACAACAAACTACCACAAAGTTTGAAAGTTCGACGGGCCTATAATCTGCCGGCACTTGACACTGGCAGTATAGTCGACAACATTAAATTGGAGACTCGGCTGCCATTGAAGAAAAAAAAATTTGCCATTTCACTTCAAAACATTATGTCGTCATATATTTCGAGTTATACAAATTAAATAGAAAAATATAGTTTTTGACATTTCAATAAAAGTAGGTCTATAATCGACTACAATCATAGTTGAAAACTACCGAATTGAGTGTGACGCAATAAGTTACTTTTTTTTCGCTTGTTTTATTAGAAGTAGTTATGTAACTGCTGATTAATACCTACTTAGTAAGAATTTTCATTTCGAGGAAGCTTTTAAAATTTTAGAAATTCTAGTTAAAATAAATATTAACATTACAATTTTAATTTATCTATCGCTTTTCAAATTCTGGCGTTGTGTTTTGTCGTATGAGTGTGGTTGCTTGAGGCTCAATCCTTCTCCCCTTTCCCAATCCCCAACGCCAAAATAGCCCCCAATCTCCAAATCCCTAAGAAAAGATTTGCTTTTGTAACTCTTTTGGGAGGATCTGATTTACCATCTGTGTCTACTGTTTCCTTTGCTGACCTATAAACGTGATTAATAATCTTTATATATAAAAATGGATCGCAAAATGTGTTGGTAAGCGCATAACTCAACAACGCCTGGACCAATTTCGCTAATTCTTTTTTTGTTGTGTTTGTTATTGTCCGGAGAAGGTTCTTTTTAAAGAAAATATTAGAAAAGTAAAAGTGACCCACTGATAGCGAGATACTTGGACCCGTGCGAAGCGGGGGCGGGCCGCTAGGTAGTAATAAATAAATGATGTCATTCAAACTGTAAACCCTAAAACATGGACATATCTACATCCTAACTATTAGACAATTGTCATTAACAATGCGATACGTTCTAATTGCTTGATATAATGAGATTAGGTTACTATGTACGATTAATAATTAATTACACACATACTCACACGTCATCAAGTAATCGAGTCACGAAGCCTAAACCATGTTAATTGATTAATTTGCAATCATTGTGCCGTCAAGAATCAATCTGCCAAATAAGATGATATTGCCACTTATACATAGACAAAGTTATATGTGTGTATATCTATGTTGATATCATATTACGTTCTTATTAAGGTCAATTGAATTGATTGATAAGATTTTGTTGAGAGGAAAATGTTTAACCTTGATTGTTATATTATTGTAATTATAATAAAGTCTAATCATGTAGCTACATATCTGTATATTGTTAATAATAATATATAAAGTCATTCAACTGCATGTTTTTGTGGTAAAAGTATTTTATGTATATTATTATAAAAAAATATGAATAAATTACAAGATCTTTTTTTTAAATGGTCCTTTCCTTGGCATTAAATATTCATTGTCAAAACAAGGAATAACATTTTGTAAATTTGGTTTTACCAGTTCGTCTAGTAATTAATAAAGATATACATAAACACTTAATACTAAACCATATAAAGCAATAACTATACTGAGTACTAGATAAATTAAAAATTAAAAAATAACCCCGACACATAAAACATAAGCTACCCTTAAAAGGTATATAATAAAAAAAAACTTTTGAAATCCTTTCATCCGTTCAGGAGCTATGATGCCACAGACACACAGACAGACACGTCAAACTTATTGAACTTTTTGTTTTTTGTGACGCACAAGTCATAAACTTTCATTTGATACCCCACTTGAGCATATTTGCAGACATTCGGTTTTCCTTCCCCACTTTAACTCCCCATAACTTTTAAAAGGCTTAACCGATTTTCATCAAGCATGTCTAAGAACACTCGCCAGTAAAACACCTGTAATACAAAAAAACTAAATTGAAATCGGTTCATTCGTTCAGAAGCTATGATGCTACAGACAGACAGACAGACACGTCAAACTTATAACACCCCTCTTTTTGCTTCGGGGGTTAATTAAAATGTGCTTTATTGTAATACGGCTATTTATAGCATAACTATGTACCTATATACAGAAACAGGAACAAAAAAAGAAAATACATTTAAAAACATCTACAGCACTATCTATACGCCACCCATTCACAAACTCTTTTACACGGAAAAGCAATTCAATTAAACGAAAAAGGTAATTCGAATACACCGGGGAATACGAACAGTCTATTAAAATAACTAATCCGGCAATTTCAGTTACATAGTCAGCTAGGTAATTGGAATCCATGAACGGTGCACCCATTTCTCGTATGAGCCGTCGGTCAATAGAAAAATACAAAGGCCTGACTACAATAGGGCCATTCACTGGCCTTAAACGGTCGCGAACCAAATGGAAATTTCAATGTTCACGAAACTCAAAACTATCCCGATAGCTGATGGTTGTACTTGATTTCTTTCTCTTCCATGTAATGTACGGCTATTTTTAGCTTTTTTCAGCTCTCAGCGACATTAGTGGCTATTAATTTCCTTATCTTCTGCCCTTGTCCTGCACGTCGATTCTATAAAATTTGTTTGATTTTGAATCTTGCGTGTGATTCTGTAAGACTACATTCTAAACTTCGAATCTGAATCCGCCGTGAGTAGTAGTACACTAGCGCTACACTTGCGAGTTGAACTAAATTGACAGCAACATTTTGATAGATAAAGTATGAGATGACGTTAAAAGTAACATTCTAAAATTTAATTTCCCCGTCACTTCGACGCTCACTTCAGACTCGAACAAGATTCAAAATCAAACAAATTTTATAGAATCGACGTGCTTGTTCGAGTGTGAAGTGACCGTCGAAGTGAAATTACATTATAAAATACCACTTTTAACATCACCTCATTTATATATACTTTATCTATCAAAATATTGCTGTCAATTTAGTTCAACTCGCAAACACGCGCTAGTGTACTACTACTCACAGCGGATTCAGATTCGAAGTTTAGAATGAAGTCTTACAGAATCACACTGCTGGTACTACAATGTAGTTGAAGGTTTATATGTATGTACTAGATGCTACGCGCGTAAGTAGGTTAGTTGAAATGTGATATGGTATATTATGCTTTCGATTTTTCGGATACTAACATCATGATTGAGTCTTCTAAAAGTACAGTTCTTAGGGGGACCTAATATGTATATCTAGCACTGGTATAGTTATAACAGGCACGTGAAACTCACTTGCTTCTTCCACCTATCACTGGATTGTGTCTGCATCACCCAAGGATGAGACTGGTAGAGAATGCTCATTAAATTAAGTTCGCCTGAAGTATTTTTTGCATGATTTATAAATAAATAGATAATAATAATTAAATAGGAATTAATTGTTTCAGTTTTGATGAGTATTGTAATCTAGACATTTTAACAGAAGGCAGAAAGTCTGAAATCGTGCTAGAAGATTCCAAAGTCGTCTCACTCAGCCGATTGCATGTAGGCGTTAGTAATTCACAATGGACATCACTGCCAGTTCCCAGCATAATCCTCGACTCGCTTCTTACGACAGCCAAGATGAAGTACCAGGGTAACATAACTACGAAGTGAGTGAATGCACAAAGCGCGTCAAACTCGTAACGTACCCCTTGACTCCATAAATCCAGCTTGTTTCAACTGCGTGTCATTTCGATGCAGACATCTTGACCATTTATGACACCCTGGTACGTTGGTCGTTACAAGTGTTGGTTTACTGTGGCAAACGAAATAAGTTCACATCACTTATGATTCTTCATCATCACTATATTATGTAGAATTAAATAACTTATGAGATTACGTATTACGTGATATAGTAAATTTATTTATCTACTAGACTAGTTGATTTTTTAACGTATAGGTACGATACTGTCGCATAAAATTCAGTAAGCAAGTTACTTAACTGGAAAATAATTTTAGCCAATTTTTGTTGACCAAGCTTATCTCTTTCATCCAGCGATTAGTTCTCACCATCATATCCTTAGACATAGGGTGGCAGTTACATTCGTAATACATTACTAATGAATGGTGTGTAGGAGCCAAGATAATAACTCGCACAATAGGGCAGGAAACAGCGCTCGGCCGCAGCTACATTATGTAATAATACAGAATCCTTCGGGCTACCTGTGGACTTGCACTTAGATCTACGAATGTGATAGAATTGTGGTACTAAATAATTTTGTGATACTTAATTTATTTTTAAATCACATTATTATCCTGTGTCGTGGTGGCCCGGATGTTAAGGCGCCCGCTTCTCATGCATGAGGGTGCCGGTTCGAAACCTGGCAAGTACCGATGTAACTTATTTCGATGTACTTTCTATTTATATGTACTTTCTATCATTATTTAGACACCCCTGACATACGGTAATTGACATATGTAGAGATAAAATTGCTTACGTGTTGACCAAGAAGTTATTCCGGGTTCGAAACCTGACAAGTGCCAATTTGTATTTCTATTTTTACTACTTATCTAAGTGGGCAATAGGCTGATGATGGTCGTATAGCTGAAATGGTTTACATTTCTCAATAAAACATGAGCCATTTGTCATCTGTGTTAAGCAAGTGAAGCCACTGGCACACGCTTGTACAGACAATCATACAGAAGGAGTAAGATAAGAAAATAATGACGTTTGTAAAAAAAATGATTTTCATCAAATTAAAATACTTAATAAAAGAAATTAAACTTATTTACTATCAAAAGAAATGGTGTCCTGTCTAAGACTTCCTAACTCTGTACGCGTGGTCGTAGAGTATCAGTGCAGTAATGAAGCCCACGTTGGTACCATTTGTTCAAGTGTGAAATCCTTAATGTTTGCAAACAGGTACAAGTCAGTATCACCAGGTGTACTGACTTATTTCTCCCTACACCCTGCATTCCTGTCAAGTACCTCATGTTTATGTAGATGAATTGAAACTGAGATTAATTGGGAATAATTTCAATTCCGGCTAACTTCAACCGAGTTTGTGTTTGGTAGATTGAAGTGGTAATGGTTTGGGATAGTTCTAATTTTATTTAACTTCGTACTTATTATTACGTCAAAGGTTGGGTAAAGTTAGTTTATCCACATACAACCATTTTCTTTGTGTAAACTTTCAATCCTTAGCAACGCTCAAATATATAACATGCGTGTTGTATTCCAGCTTCAATTTTGTACTTTCCTAGGTCAAGAATGTTTTTTTTTTTGACTATTCAGTACTAAATGAATAATTAAAAAAACCTACATTTGTTTTTATATTATACCTACTTTAATTGTAGATTTTTTTCTAGGTAACTTTTCCTCATTAAGTAAGATTTTTGACGTTAAAAAAATGAAGACGTCATCATGTGTTACAAGTTACAAAATTCATATAAAAGTATCGTTTTTGACATTTTAATACAGAGGGCCTATGTACTATGACGTCTTAAAGCGTCAATGTTCCCGGCGAGAAAAGGGGATGGAGCTATACACCTTTAATAGCTCCATCCTTTTTTCTGGTAGGCCCTCTGTAGGCCGGCCATGACGTTAAAGCGTGAATTTTTCGGGCGAAAGAGAGGGAAGGTGCTATACACCTTTTATAGCACCTCTTTCTCGTCCGATAGATTTACGCTTTACCACTTTATGGTAGGCCTACTGGTATCTGATTTGACCAGTTGGAAACTACCGTATTACTAGAAATTTCAGAATGACTTAATTTTATCATGGAACGTACGATCATCATGAACTTTAAGAATGAAGTTTATGATGATCTCCATTCGGAATTTTATCTGTAACTTTAAAGAAAACACAAAACACAGTTTTTATATAGCTCCTTTATTAATTTATGGATCCTATAATTATGTTGTTCTACTATTAGTAATTAATAGATTATTACGAGAAGTGCTTAAGATTTTGTCATTCTATCACCTGACCACAGAGTCATTATAAGTAAACAATTTGATTTGTGTCTCTGGTCTGTGAAGATAGTTATGAAGTCCAGCTTCTTAACAGAAACTATCTCCAATGATCTGATTTAGACAAACTTTCCCTTGATCACTTGAGTTTATATATTTTTTTTTTATATAAGGTGGTAGAAGATCAGACGAATACCTGATGGTAAGCTATCGACGCCGTATATGCCTTGTTACACCAGGGGAGTTGCAAGTGCGTTGCCAGCCTTTTAGGGAAGGATTTGAGGGGACATTGAGGTTTCGTTCTAACGGTAACCTCAGGTACACGGTGATTAAGACAAATGTTGTGTCACGCCAGTTTCTGTGACGCTGTGTCACTCCGGTGATCATTCGTGGCGAACCATGGCTACACGCATCTCCCGCTAACTAACTATTTATAACATTTAAATAATTAATAGCATCTTAGTTTCTCGTACTGAGAACCGCGAATAAACTGTAGGCCGACCTGAGCACCTGAAATAAAAAAAAAAACATTTAAGTATATGCTATGCTAATTTTATTTAAAAACAAAAAAAAACAACAAAGTTGCTAACCGAAACGTAGGTTGTGAGAGATAGTGGAACAATCCCGGCCACTACCGGAGTGATATCCTTGGACCAGCGCAGCATGGCGATGAGGAGGTCGCGACGGAGTCGTGGAGACGCTGACAACCAGCCACTTAGGTACACTGCAGTCGCTACAGATTCACTCTGCAAATTAAGTAATCTATAGCATTTCATTATCTCGTAGGTAAATCCAGTCATGGCACATCTCAAAATCTCAAGCTAATTATTTGTCATTTAATCTTTCGAACTTATTATTCAAATATTAGTTCTCAAAGGGGTTATTAAAAAATTACCTAACATCGCAATATAAAAAACACTTCTTTATTAACTTTTACTTAATAGATATCTTAGCAAACCTGAAAAAAACTTACTTGAAATTGCACCATGTTGCCGAAATAGCAGTAAAGGAACACCCGCATCAGCAACACAACGAGCACCACTGAGAAGAATACGAACGCTACCGACATTATTGGACTCTGAAACAGACACATATGGTAAGAAAAGAAGTCTAAATCTTATTTTGTATCTTACACTTAACACTGCGTGGATGACCTAATCCATTGATCCAATCCATTAATCCAATGATTCAATCCAAACACAGATATTAAGACAAAGATTTTCAGAAAATAATTTCATTATAATAATTTCAAATCTATACTAATGTTATAAAGAGGTAAAATTTGTAAGTTTGTATGTAAGGAAAAGGAAATCTTTGGAACCGCTGGTTGGATTGCCAAAATTCTTTCACTGATAGGTAGTTACTAATGTTCCTGAGTGCTATAGGCTATAACACATCACGCTACGATTAAATGGAGCCCAGCAGCAGGTGAAACTGCGCGAGAGTAGCTAGTGTAAAATAAGGAAAAACAAAAAATGGTGTTGAAACAAACATTAGGATTGTACATTAATAAATAAGAAAAATAAACATTCCATATAAAAATAAATTAATTCAATTATGCTACTTACGTAACTCATCACGAATGTGACCAAACAGAGCAAAGCCGAGGAGCTAAACAATTCAAATGCTATCGCGAGGTTAAAAATGTCACTTACTTCCTTTGTAAACCTAGAAAAAATACCCTTTGTTTAGTATAAATTGTGCCCTCATTTACAAAGACGCGACGCCGGGTGTTCCTCGTACATTGCTGTAGCGGAACGCGTTATTGCTAACCTAAACTCAAATATATGAGCAATCACAGCAAGTTAAGGAACACGTGCCGTGTCTCCGTAACTAAAGCCTAAGGCAGGGCGGGTGAGGCCCAGCGTGCCATCCAGCGAAGCGGCCTCATCAGTGGCCGGCTGTGATAGAATGCGAAGAGATAAAGATCAAGCTCAGTCAAGTCAAGACCAAAACCCTACCCCTCCCTCCAGCCCTTCCCAATTCTTAAATATCCGATACACTTAACCTCAAAAGACCGGCAACGCATTCGTAACTCCTTTAGTGTTGCGGGTGTCCATGGGCGGCGAAGATTTCTTACCATCAGGTTATCGGTATACTCGTTTGCCGACCTATATCATAAAAAAACTGGCTAATGATGATTACAAAACTTTTTTAACAAAACACATTCGTCTATAACAAGTTATTATTCGAATTCATTCTCACCAGGCCACAGTTTCGTATCTCTGAATGTAATGCACGAACCGGTGCCTAAGGTCTTTATCGAGTTCATCCCCATACATAATACGTCCTTCATCTTGTACCCTTTCCGTTGCACCGGAGCTATCGAACAAGTGTTCTAAATTGTACTTGATGATCTTCAATTGAACTTCCGCCTGCGCATAATACGTTGCTATGAGGCAGTCGATTGCCAAGTGCCCGTATCCAATCCATCCTATAGGTGACACCTCCATCAATACTGAGAATGAGTAGCTGTGGACAAAATTGAATATTAGTAAACTTTTATGTTACTTATCTGTTTTGAGAATTCGTGATGGTTGCCCGTTTTGAAACCGACCAAGCACCAATGAGGCTTTTTTTAAAGAATAATTAGATACCACTGACATACGGCAAAGGCAAAGAAAGCAAGTGTATGGTCCCTTACTAGACCGTACACTATTTTAGATGATAGTCGAAAGGAATAAAATAAGGTTAAGTATTGAAAACTACTGTATTGACCAAATGTACCAGAAGGTAAAAATAAGCTTAATGGACTGAGCGGAAATGATATGAGTGACGTAGCCCTTGTCGGCTGTAATCAGAACGCTTAGCTAACTTGGTAGCTCAACGCGAACTGAAACAATGAAACAATGACTTAACAACTATCGACTGAAAATGACAATGATGATGATGTCATGAAACTTATATGCAAGATTTTGCCTGCAGTTTCGCACACGAGCAATGGATGTTCAACACCAACATTTTCCAACTTACCCAGTCCAAGACCTGGTTTCAAAAGGAGTGTAAATATAAACTTGTGCGTTTGGATCCTGGTATCTTTTGGCGAACAGAGATCCCGGCCAGAACACTCCTGCCAATCCTACGGCAAGCTTCATGTACTTGATGATACGATACGTATTTCTTGTTGCTTCTTGAAGCATCTCTTCATCTTTCTTCGTATAGGGTGCGAATATGGGTTCTGAAAATTGAATCTATTAGTAATCTGTTGTTCTTTTAATTTAATACCTACTTAGATATTACTTAACACGTTAAGCGCCATAGGGGTCACCGGTGACCTCCGTTAGCGGAGGATTCGCCTTTAACATTTTTCCATCGGCAGTCAAAGGCTTAATTATTTTAAGTGTACTAGGTGTCCCAGTTAATGAAGCTAGAGCGTGAGAAGCTTATTCTGCGGAGCATGGCAGTGCCCCGACATAGTCATACTTTTTTTAAGCTGTGATACCAGACTCAGGAGTTGATCGATATAATACCTACTGCCAAGTTGTGAGCATTATTCGAGAAATGAACAATGTTAACGAGCTTTACAATTTATATTTAAGTGGTATCTGGTAGACGTGATTTTCCATAAACATAGTCAGCCTGATAAAGTTTACTATATGTAAAATGAATGCGTCTCCAGTTTTAGGAATAACAACTACTGTTCTTATTCATGATTACTCAATATTCCATTAAGTATAGGTCTCTATTAACCTACATATTCTTATTTTATTTTGGGATAGAGTGGCAAACGGGTATCTTGATCACCTAACAATAAGCGCCGCTTGTGGAACAAGAATCATCACAGAAATTCGGGATCCGAAAAAATCCTTCAATAACCTCATTCACACTGCACTTTTGTATTAAAATGATCTTACCATACATTATTTTATTGAGTTTCTCAATCCTCGACATAAACACGTTTAATGTAATAATTTTTACAGCCAAGGTCAGTTGTAGGATTTCAATCGTTGCACCATCGAATACATCCACATTGTTGCGGAATCCCTGTAATTTAAAACCGACCTCAGAACTTTTCGTCATTCCTTAAAAGAGTAGTCAAATAGGATATGCCGGCTTCATCTACATTAATAATGTGCGTACGTTTAAAAGTGCTGTTTTATGGTCTATTTTAATTTACAAAAATAAATTATTTGTATCAAACAGGTCTATATATAATAATAAATTATGTTTCATTGTAAAAAAAATCTAGTTGTAGACGGTATAATTTATCTCGTCTTGAACGTGGAAGTAAAAAATGGTTTATGAAGTTGTATAGGGTACCAATGGACGGGAGTGTTGATATATTTGCAACGTATACAAGCACAATTGCACGCCATTGGACAAGCCTCAGTCTGCGTATGTAAGGATGAAGTAAGCATCAATGGTTTGGGGGCCGGAGGTTAGGGCGCCCGCTTTTCTTACATGAGCGGTTTCGAAACCTGGCAAGTACCAATGTGACTTTGCCCGAGTTAGATGTACTTTCTATGATTATTCAGACACCGCTGACATACGGTGAAGGAAAACATCGTTAAGGAAACATGGACTAATACATTATAAGTATGAAATCGCCAATCCGCCTTGAGCAAGCGTGGTGATTAATGCTCAAACTTTCTCCGTGTGTAAAGAGACCTTTGCTCAGCAGTGGGTACTTATAGGCTAATGATGTGATGTGAAAGCATCAATGACGATAATAAAGATGATATGCCAAAATAAATTTAATACAAAAATTCTACCTGCACGATAAATATCAGGTGGACAGCGTTATACGCAATAACAAGGAGAAACGCCAAAAGCCTGTAGATATGGTGACATATCCATATGCAGATGTTCCTTGGTTTTTCCAAAAACGTATAAAATCCAGCCCATAGTAATATGTTGTACACTTCAACAAAAGGATCGAATGGAGTTACTTTTTGTTCAGACATATTGTTTTTTAAGTTTTTTAATGTAATTGTATGTTACAGCTAACGTTCATTACGTGACTATGACGATTGATGACTTAAAGAATTACCGATAGTTAATAAATAACCTCAATTTAATAGGTAATGTATAGATGGAATAATTTATCAGTCAAACATGTATTTTGTGACTTATATTTCCGTTTTAATTATCTATACTAATACTATAAAATAAAGAGGAAAACTTTGTTTTATTGTTTGTTTGTTTGTATTGAAGAACCTCGGAAACCAAGAGACCGGTTTAAAAAATCCGATTCCATTGAAATGCTGAACTTTTCCTGGTGAAAATAGGCTGTATGAAAATATCATAAAATTAAGAGATCTGTACAAAATTTATTATATTAATTTATTTAAGGGCTGTATTTTCAATTGTCTGATAAATGTTACTTATCTGATGAATAAAATTGTTGTCGTCCCTGTCTTATACAAACATTCTGACGCGACAGCATCAAAATTGTTCCCCAGGTAACTTTTGTCTAACCATTGAAAGATCAGCCCTAAGTTAATAATTATGTATAAATATTTTTCAAATCATTCGCGCGTTCGGATCGTAATTTTTTTTTTTATTGGAATACTATTTTTCAATACTTTACGTTTTTCGTCAATTTTAATAAAACCACGTAATCAAGTAAATACAAGTATTCTTTATGGCATATAGGAGTGTGGATATGTTTGTCTAAAGGCGCACGAAGCCGGGACGTTATGCTAGTGATAATTTTAACGCTTTTATTACACGCTAATTAATTACTTGATTCTAAATGGAAAAGCCTCATTGCCCACCCATAATTATGTTAAAGGACTTTCACTATTTCCTTTTCTTAGTTTTTGTAATCCAATGTTAAGTAATAAAATAAATAAAATAATTCAATGCGGAATGAGACAATTTTAAAGAAATACAGAATATAGCTACTTTATTAATTTACAAATGGTATACTTATAATATACTAGCTATTCTCGCGCGGTTTCACCAACTGCTCGGCTCTACAGATCGTAGCCTTCTTCTATAAATGGACTAACAAACACAATAATAATTATTCAATTCGAAACAGTAGTTCTAGAGATAAGCGTTTTCAAACAAACAAACTTAGTAAAATTAGTAAAGATTATTGATAAAATTATACACTACTAGCTTCCGCTCGCGGCTTCGCCCGCATGGTATGTTGATAAAAAGTAGCCTATGTCCTATTCCGGATTGTATCCTATACCTGTGCCAAATTTCATCCAGATCCGTCCGGCCGTTTTGAGTAACAAACATCGAAACTTCCGCATTCATAATATTAGTAAAAAGTAACATATAATATTATTAGTTGTCATGGTGACCTATAGGGCTTTTTTTTGTGAGGGGAAAATCATCAAATAACTTCTCCCGCCCAGGGCCGGGCGGGAGGGAGTGTCAGACTCTTACTGACTAAAAACCCCCCTGTTCCTTCTCCTGCTCTGGGCCGAGGTCGCGGTGCCTCATTGCGCTTACCCCGCAACCCCGGGCCAACATCAGCCATTTAGGGCCCCGTCTGTGGTGGGGTGACCTATAGGGCTAGGTTTCTCATTTGTGAGGACCCGGTTCAAAAACTGCTAAATACTTATGTGACTTTTTCAGAGTTATACCTATGTACTTTCTAACTTTATTAAGACAACATTGACTTGTTGTGAAGAAAAACATTAAGCTAAAACCTTTTTGTGGAGGGTAAATAATCAAATGACTTCTCTTGCCCAGGGTAAGGCGAAAGGGAGTGTCAGACTGTTACTGACTAAAAAGACCATGTTCCTTCTACTGTTCCAGGCCGAGGCCAGGGTGCCCACTTTAGTGATTCTTGCCACTGTATCCTTCAAAGTAGCAATTTTGTATATAGATGAATAGGAACTGAGATTAATTGAAGATGGTTTCTATTGGATAGTTTCCTAGGTCAATAATAAATTAATTTGACGTTTCAAAACAATAAAATATCGATAACTATACTTTTATTCATCGATCGATCGATACACAAAATTTTAGATAATTTTTAAGAATTTTTTACGCTGTTTGACGCAAAAATACTATGACATCATAACTCAGTGTTTCATACAAACATGGAAAAATATCGTTTATTGACATTTGGATAAAAGTATTGAATTTGACTAGTTGGAAACTACCGTATTCTGAGTTATTTTAAGAAAGACGTCTTCTAAGTTTAATAAAATCGGTAAATCATACGAAATTATGTTGAACACCAGATAGGTACACTTAGATTATAATGAGTAGTGTCACTCTTAAGCACAATACATTGTAGCTTCTCACCCCACAAGTTGACAAATAGCTAAAATTAAATTTGATCATCAAATTGGTATGTTTATCATCAATTCAAAGGTTCGACATCTTGAAATTCTATCAGTAAGTTTTAAGAAACATAATCGGGTGATCAAATGTCCGATGAAGTCAGCCGTGTGAGTTTATGAGATCCAGAGTCTCAAGCAAAAAAATATTACTGATGTCTACTCCCGCCCAGGGTAAAGCAAGAGAGAGGCGGAGAGGCGGTGGTCACCCCAAGCACTTGTGCTCTTCACTTTACTTGTGAAGGAAAGAGGCTTATGTTCAGCAGAGGACTAGTTCTAGAAAAAGTTTCTGCATACTATTTTATTACTGGCGATATTGTTTTTCTTTCCGTTCCAGTAAAATCATGAAGTTAGAAACCTTAATACAGGGAGGGGCAGGTTTTGTAGTGTAAGCTGTGGTCCTGAAGGGGGAGAGACCTGTGAGGTGACTCAAAACAAAGAGCTTCAGATCAATCACCATATTACGCCATTAGAGAGACCCTAATTTGCTTATGAATGAAATGGGCTAATGAGCCAAAACTTATTCGAAAGACCCTAAGCTAAGGCTGATGGGTTCCAATATTTTAGGCCCAAATGTATTCTTAAAATATTGTCTCTGGTTGATAAATTCCTTCGATTTAATTGGTAACGTATGGAATTATTTATTAATCTAACATGTATTTTGTGACTTACATTTCCTTTTTAATTATGAGTGATAATTTTAATAGTGACTTCGTAATGGTTGCTTATTAACTAGTTGACGTTTTGAACAGATGGTCGTGTTAGATAATTTTAGTAAAGACCTCCATATATAGTGTAAGTAGTAGTAGTACTTAGTAGTAACACGGAATGCACGTTAAGAATTAAGACAATTTCAAAGAAACAAAGTTTACAGTTTTTTTATAGATACTTTATTAATTAGTTGATTATTATGTTGGTGCAACGTACATATTATTTATACTCATAAGTCAACATAATCTACAACTAAAATTTATACAATTTGCAAATAGGTTAGTGCATTTCAATAGTAATGTATTCTAAAAATAAATATATGTATTTCAATGCTTCGTACTGAGAACCGCGAACAAGCTGTAAGCTGATCTGAGAACCTGAAACAAACAACCATTTATTGTAAGATTATATTAATCCTTTAAAAATACTTTATATAGATGAGAGGTTACTTTGTTTGTGGATAATGGCAGTTGTCACACATAGAATTATAAGATAGAACGCATGTCACCTTGAGGGGAGCTGTTGGAAATTAGCAATAATGTGGGTTGCCGTTAACACAAGTTTGTGCTTTAGGAAAAGTGGTCAAATGGAACAAATCTCCTAACTAGCTCTGGTTTACCTAAGTTTCTGCTTTGATGATCCAAGTTATTTTTAAAGAGGATACAGTATGTTGGCCTTATTCAAAATGTGTGTCAGTTTCTTAGCAGTAAGCCACTCACATCTCCCCCATTTGCCAAAGTAATGTTTACATTTTTCACAGAAAACCGTCGAGAAGTAACACTAACGCAGTGTTTCGCCGTGTGGGTGAGTTATAGGACACCCAATCCTTCTCCCTCCCATCCTCAATCCTCAAATCAATTCCTCATAACCGATAGGGGACAGGCAAAAGGCACTTTGAGTAACTCCTTTGGCATTACGAGTGTCCATGCACAGCGCCGATTGCTTGCCATCAGGTTATCCGTCTGCTCTTTTGGCGACCTATGCCATAAATATAACATATAAGTATACATTACTTTGTTTGACAAGTGCCGTTCACTGTCATCTAGTTTCCAATACACCAGTCTGGAGTCACCTATAACTATGGAATAAGAATATTTTCTGTTATACCTCATCATCATCTTTATCATCAAGCTATAAGTGCCCACTGCTGAGCGAAGGTCTCTTCTCACACGGAGGAGGTTTGAGCATTAATCACCACGCTTGCTCAATGCGGATTGGCAATTGCAATCCTCACGATGTTTTCCTTCACCATATTATTATGTCAGTGGTGTCTAAGTAATCATAGAAAGTATACTTAACTCGGAAAAAGTCAAAACTCTCATGCACGAGCATGAGGAGCAGGCGCCTTAACCTCCAGGCCACCACGACACTGTACCTAATTTCTTCATATTTTACGGAAAAGGTCTACCTACACTAACCAGGTTCGTGCTCTCGTGTCCGTCCGTCTTTGGGTGCATTCGTGACTTCAAGGTCCGACTGATAAATCTGCTGATCTGAATGTCTTCTTTTTGAGTGGGATCAAAATTTATTCCTTTGTTACCTTTAACGAATAAAATACATTGTACTCTGTAAAGATCGCAGCCGTGGTGACCCGGTGTGGTTGGGACTCAGTGGATGTTAGGGCATCTCATGCATGAGAAGCAACCATTTCGGTGGTTACAGGGATTAAAAGATGGCCACTTGGCTTTCCGAACAATATGTAGATACTTTCTAAATTTATACATGACTGATTAATAGCGAAGAAAAATAACATGAGGAAATCTCAATTATAATCAATATCATCAATAAATACCTACATGTAATAAAATTTTAAAAGGTCGGTGTCTGTACATGGAAAATAATTAAGAAAAACTTTACGGTTTATCTGTACGTTTGTTCGGGCTAATCTCAAAAACGGCTTAACCTACGAGTAATTGAATGGGGTATGCTGAGATTATCATTAAGTATTTGTTTTATTCGATTCAGAAATAAAAAAAGTATGTCAATCTGAAGAATTGCATCACCAGATCAAACTCAAATGATGATGATGATGATGATGATGATCTTTTTTTGCAAATGCAATGTATTGTGTGTACTATGTATCTACTCGTGTTTTTTCAGTGATGTAAACTGTTGTTTAGTTTGACATTATTATTCTAATAATTTTAATTCTATAAATAAAAATAATATTGTATTATTCTTGGTTTACTAGAAAAAACATAAAACTATAATCAATATTTTCTTTTGTTTCTTGGTATTTTTATTAGTAGCGGTCAAAATTTTTTTAAGTTATAAGAAGACATTCACAATAACTAACCGAAACATAAGTGGTGAGGGATAACGGAATGATTCCAGACACTCGAGGAGTGATACTCTTCGACCAGCGCAGCATGGCGATGAGGAGGTGGCGCCGGAATCGTGGAGACGCTGACAGCCAATCACTGAGGTACACTGATGTCATTATCGAATCACTCTGCAATTGGAATACTGATCGAGAAGGTCAGTTGACTTAACTAACCTAACCCTCCTTAAAGGAGATCCTGCCCACTATAAATTAAATACAGCATTAGGTATTTCAAGACTAATTAATATAAGAACTTATTACCTATGTGAAACAATGGATTTATTTTTTCAATTAAAACAGCAATTTTGCTCGACAAAATATATGTGTACCTACGTATAAAGAAGATCTAAATGAAGTCACTATTTCATATCAGACAACTCTGAGAAGTTCCGAAATAAACTCGGAGGTCAGTCTCTTTTAAAGTTCTGATAATTTAAAAAATAACTGCCAATTCTGTAGTCTATTAAAGACAGGCACGGAAATGGGAGTTGACAAGCAGTTCAACTAATAAAGTCCTTTCCTAAACACATAGTAGTATAACAGTTATTAATAAAGTACGTAAGTAAACCCAGAACTAAAAGCTCATTTCGAAAGTAGGAAGTGAAACTAACTTCGTATTGCACCAAATTGCCAAAATAGCAATAAAGGAACACTTGCATTAGTAATACTCCGAGCATCACCGCGAGGAACGCAAACGCCATTGAGAACGGTGGTGTCTGAAACAGAGAAGAACATACAAAAATATCCAAAAATTTCATGGACAGACGTACTGTTTCATAAAGCCTTAGCTTTGTATTTGCCAAAAACGTATGTAGAACGGGGAATAAACAAAAAACTCATCAGGATTTTATTAACTAGAAAGCAAAATGTTCCTTGTAGCATCTAGCGGTACATAACGTCCTACTTACGTAACTCATCTTGAAAGTGACCATACAAAGCACAGCAGCGGAGCCAAAGAATTCAAATGCCAACGCGTGATTAAATATTCCACTTACTTCTTTTGTATACCTAGAAAATTAAATAAAAGGCCCCAGTTTTTTGTAAAGTTCATATTTTATTTTTCAAGGAAAGGAAGCTCAACCCTTTCATCCCCCATCACTCCTCAGCTCCTCATGGGCAACCCATATGCTTACCATCATGTGCTTACCAACTGTTCGTTCGCTATCACATATTAAATAAATAACTATTTATTAGTAAAACTGTACGGTCTTTCTAAGCTTGTCTTGAATGATTTCTCTAAGTTCAAATAACAGCATCCTATACTCAAGTGGGGCAACGATGTCTTCATTTCTGGATGTAGGTGGTATACACCATAACTTTACTACTACCGTTTTTTAAGTCTGGATAAATGACCTCTCCCGCCCAGGGTAAGGCGAGAGAGAGTGTCAGACTTTTACTGATTAAAACCCCCCGATTCTTTTCCTGCTCCCGGCCACGGCCGCGGAGATTCAATGCGCTTAACCCAAACCCCGGCTGAACATCAGCCCTATAGGGCCCGGTCTACGGTAACTTTATTACTACCTAAACTTTTTTTTTATCCTCACCAGGTCACAGCTTCGTATCTCTGAACGTAATGTACAAATCGGTCCCTAAGATCTCCATTCAGCTCATCCCTATAAAAAATATGTCGTCCATGGTATACCCCGTCTGATGCACCGTCAGTATCAAACAAATGCTCTAAGTTGTACTTGATGATCTTCAATTGAACTTCTGCCTGCGCATAATACGTTGCTATGAGGCAGTCGATTCCTAAGTGTCCGAACCCAGTCCACGGTAAGGGTAGCACTTCCATCATTACTGAGAATGAATACCTGTGGACCAATAAAATGTAATGTTTTGAGTCTTCCATCAAATAATTTTAATTCTTTTACACTGTGTTGTACTTATTCCGAACCACAATATTTTTCCAAATTTCGTTGCTAATTTTAAGAACATGAAGCGTAATAACAACCAAACTCATATAATATCCACCAGTCCATAGCAACCCCTTTCAATTATTACCACATTTCGCAATATTCTTGGGGATTATCCTTGGATGCACTTTCATAGTGCATACAGGGATAATTGCCGGCTAATGTCCCATTTCACATATATTAAAGTTGTTCAACGGCCTTTGCGAGTTGGCTTCGGCCCCTCGTACGCCTTCCAAAGGTCCGGAATCCTGTGATCCCATGAAAGGAAACGAACCAAACTCATCCTCATATTATTTTGAGATAGAAATCTTTGGACCTAATCAGACAAGACACATCCAGTGGTGCTCTCAAATTCACCCTTTTACAATTTCTGGACAATTTTGCCATTTTTTGGTGCAGCTAACTCATCCATTTCCAACTGTGAGAGCAACTTACCCAGTCCAAGAAACGGTTTCAAAAGGCGAGTATATATAAACCACTGCCTCTGAGTCTTGGTATCTCTTAGCGAACAGAGATCCTGCCCAGCTCACTCCAGCCATTATTATGCTGATCTTCATGAATTTGACGAGACGATGTGACGTCCTCGTCGTCTCAAGCAGCATCTCTTCGTCTTTCTTCGTGTTCGTTGCGAATATGGGATCTGAAAAGTCCAATGTCAATCCTTAAATATCTGAAACCCTTATGGGCCAGTAACGCACTCATAACTCCTTTGGTGTTGTGGGTGTCCATGGCCAGCGCCGATTGCTTACCATCAGGCAATCCGTCTGCACGTTTGCCGAATTATCTCTATTAAAAAAAATCAAAAATAAAAGCTGACTTACCATTCAATAAATTGTTAATTTTATCGATTCTCGACATGTTCAAGTTTATAGTAAAGGCTTTCACAACCAAGTTCATTTGTGGAATTTCGATCATTGCACTATCGAATACATCGTCCCAACTATTACGACTTCCCTGCAAAAGTTTTTTTTTATTATTTTCAAGTTTTACAAATCGTAACAACCTATTACCTAGTTACATATGTATGTATATAAATAAATAAGAGACAATATATAATAACATCTTCTTTTAGAACTTAAGTAAGAAAACCTAGGGATCGTTAATTCGGAGTTTTGGGAATCAATGTCGTGACCTACTAAAAATATTTACAATATTTTCGTAACGCCTTATCCTAACACCTCCCATAATGGCCTACTTGCGGTTGGGTGGAATAAGCCAAGCTTACCCTTAGCACTTACCATTTACAAAATCTCAAACCACAAGCCGCTTTTTTGAGGAGACAATCATCAAATGAGGGAGTTTCAGGCTCCTACTAACTAAAGGCCACCCCGTTCCGTTCTCCTGTTATGGGCCGAGGCCGCGTTATTTTAAATGATAGATTAAGATGGAAATCTTAGGTCATCTGGCTTATTTGAACACTAACCTATTTGAAAACATTACAGACTAACCTGTATGATAAATATCAGATGCACTGCATTAAATGCAACAGCCAATAAGAACGCAAAAAGCCTGTAGATCTGATGACATATCCTTAAGGACCTGCTCTTTGTTTTTTTCAACAACCTACAGTATCCAGTCCACATTAAAAGTTTGTAAACTTCAGAAAAAGAATCGAATGGAGTTATTTTTTGTTCAGCCATAATTCTATGTTAAAATGTTAACAATGATCCAGCAATTGCCCTTAACTGAACAGTTCTCTCGTTTAATAGATAATGAAAAGAATAATTTATCAATGAGACTTTCATTTAGGCTTTAATTATGAGTGATAATTTTAATTATAGTATTTGCTTTTCAGACGATAATAAATGGTTAGTCTCGATCTTGCTTACGGGCTGTACCTACTTTATTTTAATTTCACTTTAAAAAAGAAGGTTCGAGAGTTGTAGTTTATCTATATGTGTGGGTGAGTAGTGGACTATATTATTGGCTGACAGGAATAGGACTTGTCAGAATTACTGTGAATTTTGAATGACATGTCGGCTATTCATTTGACAAAAAATATTATTATGTCACACTAATGCTTATGTTTATCTATTTTTAATTAACGATTGAAGCCCTTGCGTACTCGTTAATTAAAGGTAACTTGCTAAACATACCACTCGTTTTAGTAGCTGGTGTCTGAAATATAGTGAAATAATCACGAAGTAAAAAATAAACCACTATGTTATAGTAAGCATTTATTTTCTATCTAACAAATACTCCTTAAAGCTAACAATTAACATTATGGTTTAAATGAACACATTAAAAGGGGGGCAACCACACTTGGAAGTGGGGCCCGAAGTCTAGCTTTTTTCGGAGTGCTTCTTCGAAAACCGCATCTCTGGACGCGTCACGGGGTCCCGAAGTATCCTTGCCATATTCCCGACTGACTTCGCGCGCCGCCCGCACAAACTTTGACACTTGAGCCACACTTTCTCTCACATCCTCCACTGGCAACTGTAAAATAATTTTAATTAATAGACCCTTTGAAGCAGTAAACAAAGAAACAAGACTAGAAGAAGGAAATGATAGTTTAGGACAATCCGACGATTAGTTGTCATTACTTAAAAATTGTCTTAATGAGTTTCAAGCATCTCCAGTTTAAAAACGTACAAATAATGGTTATAAAGGTTTCTTAGGTTTCTTAGGCTTTTGTTTATCCGTTGTTGGTAGAAGATATGCAATGTTATCTGTCTTAACTTTGACCATTGACTTTTTAGAACTAAAAAAACTATGATAGATACGTAAATTCTTTGATTGCACGGTTGACATCGAGCTGGGTGACATCGTGACCACCGGCTTCCGTAAAACGTGTCGCTAATTCGATTCCAACACTTTGTGTGATCCGCAAGTTATTGTTCCAGGTCTGGGTGTGATGTGTGTGTGACATTGTGTGTTTGTAAACGCACCCAAGACACAACAGAATCTTAGAATTGACCTACGGTTTATAATAAAATGTATACAAAACCTCACCTCATCATTATTAGGTAAGGAATGTGGATATATTCTGATCCAATGTCCCACTCTGCCGATGGCTCGGTTCCAGCAGACGCCGTTCCCCCACTTGCAGGCGGTCATGACACGTCGGCGTGAAGCAGCCGTGGAGTATCCGCCACGCCACGACTCGTCCACACTCTCCGTTTGGGGCGTAGGCCCACTTGATGAAGACTGTAACGAAAATAATTAAAAGAAGTGTTTTGAACAAAACTTTTAATACATATGGTTCGCAACCCTAGCATCTATAACGATATCAACTAAGTTTTTGGATAATTTTGCAATTTTAATATCTATCTACCATACTCTTCAATATTAGGGGTACCAAAAAATATTGATGTAAAATAATAATTGCAGAGTATAGTTTAAATCATCCCGTCTTTTATATAATTCAAAGGATTCAATTTAACAAATTGAATTAACATCAAAAATCATGCCAATGGGTTTGTTCGACATCTTCATCGGGCGATAAGTAATTTAAATATGAAAATATTCAACTTAAACCATTACAATCAGAATCTTGCTACAATAAAGTGGCATTGTATAACTAAACGGTGTAGTCACGGAAGATATTTTTCTACTCAAATCGAAGTTCTATTTTAGACCTTCGATATTTCGCGACATAATTACGTATTCATCCTTGTAATACCTCTGTCAAGGCCGGAGCCTTCGGTAAAATGGCGGGAGGGGTGAAAGAGCAAGATTTTATAAAAACAAACATCACGACATTCTCGAATTATGTTAATAGTATCGAATAGTTTTATATTGCGGAATTCATTTTTATTATCCGTTTGACATTGAATATAATGTTTTGATGAAACATTTTTTCTTTGTAATGTAAGTAGCAGTTAGGCTATGAAAGTAAATATTAATGCCATACGGTAAAACTTAAAGACTACAAGGACAAGTCCTCTAACATAATACGTAGAAGAAATAGTGTTTTTATCTTTGCTTGCATTTTTTATTTTTATTTTTCTTGCATTTTTTATTTTTGCATTTGCATTTTTATTTTTGCTTTTTTTTATTTTTCTTGCATTTGCAAATACTTTCATGTCTTCACCGTAAATTAAAATTTACCTGCACATCAGCTTCACTGCTCGTATCCGTTTTGAAGCGCACGCCGTGTACTTCTTTGGGTTTTTCCGCTGATTCCTGTATTTTGCGATTAATATTTCTGTATTGAGCCAATCATCCGATACTTATGAAAACTTGAAAAATTTGGAAAAAGACAGTTTGCAGAAGTGATATATCGCGTCATTCGCCGTGGACACAATCCAATTATGATGAAGAGTTGCAGACAAATTGAGTTTAAAGTAAAACGAGGTTTATTGAACAGTAACAAGGGTAAACTTGTTTATTCCAATTCAAAGAACAGTTGAATAACCATAATTATACCCCACGACCTCACAGAAAACCGGCGTGAAACAATAACAGTGTAGTGTTTCGCCGTGTAAGTGAGGTTACCGGAGGCCCAATCCGTCCCCTCCCCAATCCCTAAGTCTCCAAATCCCTAATCCCCAAAAGGTCGGCAACGGACTCGTAACTCCTCTGTTGCGAGTGTCCATGGGCGGCGCTGATTGTTTACCATCAGGTAATCCGTCTGCTCGTTTGCCGACCTATTACATAAAAATCTTATCCTGTCACGAAATTATTCCTGTTTTTATCAAGAAGGCGCGGTCTTACAATATTGGTTTACAAAAGATACTAACCTGGATTTTCTCTTTCTCAGGTACTCCGTTAGGTGGTGTAGGTGGTGGGGTATTGGTTGTGGCGCCGGGGCCGGCCAGCGTGACGCAGTGCAGCGGCAGGGCGCGGCGACGGCGCGGTCGTGCAGTTCGCCGCCCCGCCGAACGGGTGCGCGCGCGACTCCCTCCATTATTCTCCTCCTCCGAACTGCAACTATCATGTGTAACAATCACTTGTCTAAATTTTAAGAGGTGAAATCTTGTAATCCTTGTTGATTTATATAATACTATAACTTATACTTAATTTAATGAAAAAAAAGAGCAATTAGGGTTAAGTGATTAAAACATTTTTATCAGTCAACCTTCCGCTTCTGTACGAATGCCACAGGATGGCCCGGAGGCTGGGGAACTGACTGTCGCGCAACGTCTCACAGGTTCGAATCCCGCACGCAACAACTCTGACTAAGAAATTGTAAACGAACCCACAGCACAGGAGAAAATGAGTTAAAAAAAAACGTAGATTAAAACACCACTATAACTAAAGACGTTTTGACTCGATTAATTCACCATAACAACACTTCACCTGTTCGTAAGTGGTGTTGGAGGAGGTGGCGCCTTCAGCTTGGCGAGTCCTGTATGCTTCATGGGAAGTCCCAGCAGGTCAAACAGCTCGTGCAGCATCGGTTGCTTCACCACCACGTCTGCCTCGCAGTCGGAGGCTAATGCAGGAGAAAGGTTCACCTGAAAATGACAGATGCATGATTAGATTTCAATATTTCTGTTTCTCTTTCTTTTTCTGTGTATCGAAGTTTCATATACTTAAAATAACAATCAAAAACATCGCGCCTAAATTAGTTTCCAAGATAAGCAAGCTCAAAGAGCTAAGCTAAGAGCTAAGGCAAGTTCAAAGAGAAAGGTGTTTACTAACCTCCAACAACCAAGGCTTCAAGCAATCATCGAGTAGGACATCAAACCCGTAGAACTCGAAGCAGTTCCTAGCTGGTGGTGTACCAGTTGCTTGAGCCAGCAAGGTGAGCGTCACCAGCGCCCTGATCCGCTGCCACACCACCCACTCCGCCGCACCCCAGCGCCCGATAAGGGCTTTTCGGACCTGCGTCAACGTCCATTTGCACCCTGCAATTTTAGAAAAAGGGTCCTTAGATAATTTGGTCATACATTTTATGAGGATGATACTCAAAGTCTAATTTTAATACTGAGTCGAGGTTTGGCTTAACAATATCCCTATCTGTTATACGGTTAGAGAAATTAAATGGTACTTGGTAGTGATATTGCCGAGCCAAAACTCGTGGTAAATGTTCACTACCTAATGAAAGCTAGATCAAAATATTTACATACTTAAAAGCAGAAGTAAAGATGATGAATGTAAGCACTTTCTTCAGCAGAGATGTATTGTAAGACGAGTGCAAAGTTTAAACGAATGAAAATCTACTTCTCACCTTAGAAGTGACATTAAACGCTACAGTGGCAAAACTGAACGATGCTCTTACTATTATAGATGAAGAGATTACTCAATATAAATAATCTAATCTACTATGTGTTACTTTCTACGCCCTTTTTTAACTTCTAACTACATTATTACCAGACAATAGTGTTGATAGTAAAATTGCGAGTAAATATTTGAAAACATAGAAAATGGGAAAAAACACAAACATATTGGATCATAAAATATCTATTTCATTACGCTTTGGTTTTACAACCAAGGACACTGCACTCACTGTACTGGCCGATATTTTCTCAGTTTTTAGTAAAGCTTTAGCAAACTTTACCATCAACACCAGGGCAAAACTAAGAAAGTGAAAATATATAAAGTAGGTTATAATAATAATTTACAATAAACCGTCAATACATACAACAGCAACAAGATAACTTGGTTATAAGCATCACACCCAGTTGTCAGACGGCCGGTGTCAAGGGACCAGGCGCCTTCAAGAGAGACGTAACACTCACCGCTACCGATTCGGTCCTTACATTCAGCGTATCGCGGGCCGCTCTTGTTGAGGGACGAGTTCGTCAGGTGGCGGTACGGGTTGTGGATATCCGATAGCGTGTACTTGTCCGTGCCTGAAACATTAAAAAAAAGGATGGAATCATCTGTTGTTCAAATCAAATCAAAATCATTTATTCCAACTAAAGCATAAATAGGTACTTTTGAAACGTCAAAATAGAATAGTAGTCTGTCACTCTGTTCGTCAGTGAATCTAGGTGCTCGTTCCAAATTGTAGTTTCTTGTAGTGTCATCTTTCTTAAAGTTTGCTGCTTATCAAGGATGGGATGTTGTTAAAATCTTAGATCTAAAATAATACTATTGCATAAATAAAGCATTTGCTGTCTTTTTGCGACAGAAAAAACTACTTTCTGATGCATTAAATTAACATTTGATTTGATTTATTTGATTAATATTTTAGTAGATTGCTTTTGTTTTTGAACATTTATCTAAACTGTTTGTTTTTCTTTAACCAAACCAAAACAATGATAAGTAAATTAATAAAAAGTCCATATTAATAAGTCAGTAGGCATATTTATGAATTAAAATGTCTGCAAAGTTCTATAACCTAGACCTTCTATAAACTAGAGGTTCTGCATACTTCATGGGCCTATGCAGGAAAACCTAAATCTTTATCTCAAGAGAACATCCATAAGAGTACCGAATCTCGCGAGTCCCTCAGCGTACATGTAGGCGGTGAGCGGTCTGTAGCCAGGCACACACACGTACAGCCGGAGGTCGAACTTGTAACCAGCTATCAGTAGAGGTCGCTCGATGTAGCGCTGCACCACCGCCGATGTCCCGCAGTTCATCTCACACAGGCTCTGAAACATTTTCACCGAGATTTAGATTACCATATTTCATGCAAGCTGTTTATTGACACAGTTTCATTGTGTTATACTCTTAAGTGAGGTTACTGGACAATTAATTCTTCCACCTCCTCCCTTCAGCAAATTTCAATTCTCTTACAACCTCAAACAAGGCTGGAACACACTTTTAACTCTTTCAGTATTGCCGGTGTCCATGTGCGGTCACGATAGCTTACGATCAGGTGATCTGTCTATTTGGCCCGCTTATCCTATTGATAAGTGAGTAGTACTGAGACCCTCCCAATCATAGATCAGAGTCTTTTAAAATTTAAACAAATGAATAAGATTCTATGCACATATGCCAAAAAAGTAACTTTCAAGTTCTAACATGTTCTTTTTTAAGGGGGAATCATCAAATCACTTCTCTCTCTCTGAGTACAGCAAGAAGAAGTATCGGGCTCTTACTGACTAAAATTCACCATCATTCCTTCTCCAAACCGAAGCTGCGGTTCCAGACGCAAATTCTCCTTTCAAATCTTCTGACAAATTCTGTCAGCATTGAAAAATTATATCAATGTTTTAATACACATACCCTAAACAAAAATATTCCTCTGCCCTGACTCTGGGCGACAGGTTTGTGTATCCACACGACGTTGGCTCCAGCTCCATTCTCGTCCCGTCGCAGCCGAGAGCATTCTGACACCAGCTTCGCATACTCCAAGGGTAAGTGGTAGCATGGAGGACTGGAATGAAAGAAGAATGATCAGTTATAACCACAGTACTTCAACGACCTTGATTTTGGAAGACTACACGCGCGTTTTCCTTTAATCCACTACTAACGTGGTGTACCTACATATAAAAATAATCTTATAAACTCAAGGCATACTTTAGTTACATATAAAACTTGCATATGTATAGATAGATTGCTGACGGTTAACAAAAAAGAAATAGAAACCACTCAACTCACAAATATCCACACTAGTAATAATATCAAGACTATTCATAAGTATCAAGACATTAAAGTTCACAAAAACACCTTGAGGAAAAATACGTCACAACATAGTCGTTTACTATTCATAGCATTTGAAGAATCATTCATAATTAAGGACTATAAATAACTTTCCGAAAATAGCGTAGACCGAAATAGGGCCACAGACAACTTCGGAACGAAACCCCTTTCAACGTTCAGGTAACGAATAAATTCGCGTAATTTTACGACAGACAACCCGACCGACGATATAAAAGTAACCGACTCTATACTTAGAAAAAGGCAGGTATTTGAGGCGTGCCGATAATAACAGGGAACACCGTATACGTGCTGATACCGGACTACCGTCTGCACCAGACCATAAAATTTCACCAGCGCAGATTGCCGATAAGAATTTACAAGTAAATATATGGATGTTCACAAGTTCGCAAACACCCCTTATATCGTAAAATGCCGACCGTCATCTTTACGAAAAAAATGCATGCATAAGAGCTAGTGTACACGCAATAATATCGTAACGAATACTCTGCTTTACTACAAATAGTAGAAATAAATCGTACACATAACTATTACCTATACCTACTCCAGTATTCAAATCCAGTGCCAAAGTACGCAATTTTTCAAACTCTTATCAGTATTTAATATTTACGATTATTTATTGTTACGTGCAATATCGATGCGTGTGGAAAATTGGCCTCGTAAACTATTTTTATTAACCCTGTTCTGAATTTATATTTTAAAGTCAATGGTAGACTTATAGACGTCATTCAAAGAGACGTATTTAAATTCTATTATTTGTTTGTAATGTAACTAATGTAAAACATTGTTGATTGGTCCACTACGTCAAGCTAATGTTGATTAAATATATACTACCTACTGCTCCCGCCCCCCTCGTGCTACCCTCAAAACAGAATGTTTGGGGTGATGCAGTCAGTTTTGTGGTTCCAACAATGAATAATATTATCCAAAACAAAACAAAACTATGACATTGGTACGTTTTTCTTGGTGCAATCGTCACGCGATCTCCACGGTACCACTTGGGGGTAATTGCTTGAAATACGTTCATTAATATTCGAAACAATGATTTGATATTACCGTGACCTTTCACCTTAAGACACGATGCAGGAATTTTTAATATGACCTTTAAAAACTTGGCAGTAAGAGTTAAACTGTTCGATGCCATGCAGGAATTACAGCGAAGGTCTCATTGAATTCACTGAAACAGTTAACTTTAAATTCTTTTAATATTAATTAATTGCAAGTACGTTTAGCGTGGCCACAGTCGCATGCAATAAATTTTAAGTTTGTTGGTTTATTACTTGATGGGGAACCGAGTCAAGTTGAATGTCAAGAGTATCCTAAGAAATTACAGTTAACTGCAGTAAATTCTATGAAATTTTAATAAATAATGCTATGACATGACATTGCATTTTTTACAAAGAACTGTTGTAAAACATTAAACGTTTCCTTTTTCTAAACATGCTATTAATCCATGTAGTTGGAGTAAATGTCTGTGACTGACTTTATTTTTTATTGATATAAATATGTAGTTTATTACTCTTAGCATTTTCTTTTGATTTATCAAATATAACTATAATATAAATGCTATACAACCAGCATACAAATATAAAGTTTAAAGTACGCAATGATGAACATGTGTACATAATTAAAGACAGGATTAAAATAAAAATACCTTTGCATATAATATTTATGAACTTGGCTATTAATTGTAAAGATAAAATCATTGGAAATTTTATTAGTCTTAAATCTTATTTATTTAATTTTAAAACTATAACAAAAACAGATATACAAATTGTCATTGGTGTCACAAACTAAGCACATTTCGTATCTTGTTGCTAATACAAAAGTATTATACACATCAAAATCATACCACGAAATTATAACCTATCAAACTCTGAAACGCATATCATCATTGAATTCCAATAAAGACATCTGCCTAATTTCTAGCATTAAATTACACACTACAGTTACTTTTTGCGGGAAATTCTTTTTTACCTTACTAAGAATAGGTAATACCGTGAAACACGCGATATAGCGCGTGGCTTCATTCAAATACCCGGTGACGTGAAGCGATTGACTCGTGACCCGGACCACGGTACACGACAGTATCTATAGACCTTTCTATACATACATATATATTTTTACTTTACGTAGGTACTAGGTACGCACAGCATAGATCAATGAGCTGCACATGTGACCCTACTCGAATGAAAGTTTCCTTTGCGCTCACTAGATGGCGCTAGTAAGGATTAAAGTCGACTTGGGCCATACAGCACAATTATCAGGATCGTTGTCCGGATATTTTATTCTACTGACTATAATAGCTAATTATAAAATGCAAATCACACAAGTCACTTGAAAAAGACTGAAGAATCGTCTGCACTACATCATATGAAGGAAAACGTATAAAACAATCCTGTCATTAATATGACAGGATTGTTTTATACGTTTTCCTTCAGTCTATGATTGAAGCTAACTTTTATGATTGATGGCTAGACTTGGCTCATTTGCTTCACGTCCCTTACATGAAGCTCCCGAACATCGTATTTGTGGAAATTCTTCAACGATAAAGGGGAATTGGTTGAATCGTAAATCAAAATTGCATGTGGGTAATTTTACCAAAACGTACTTTTTATAAGGGATGAAAATACGACATTGCCCCGAAACCATCATAATATAAAAATAAAAGCAAAGTTGGAAACATATTTTCCCTCAATTTCGTAAACTGTAGCGCCATAAACCTAATTTCTGTTACAAATTGTGCACTGAATTTTATTGGGCCCAAACGTCGAAATTAAAAAGAAAACCTCATAATGGCTTCCGAATTTTACGACAATTTTAAATCAATTTTATTAATCTTTGAAAAACAATTGGGGTTCACCGGGTTGTTAATTTTCATCAGGATGAAATTACAATTTACAATCGGCACGGTAACATTGGCCCTGCGTGTACAAAAATGGTTTGAGCCCGTTTTTATTGCTTTAAATTTATAAAAATGGACCAGATATCAAACCTTTTTCATTATTATCGTGAGCAATGAAATCATGTTTACATTTTGCGTTTTGTTTTTCAAACATTTACGTTGGGAACAAATAAAACGTAAGCTGTTTTAATTTTATAACCTTTGCATGTTTCTATAAATATTAAATCACGTTTTGTTACTTTGTTGTTTTCGTTATTCATTTCTTGCATCAGATTGTATTATAATATTTACTACCCGCTGCTTCGCTCCCATCATTTGACTTCCCCTTCAGTACACTTCCTTCCCTACATTACCTACTTTACCCTTCTTTACTTATCCTACCGTACCTACTCTTCCCTATCCTATGTTCTCCTCCATCGCCAATTCTCAACAAAATCAGTTCAGCCGTTTTTGAGTTATATACGACTTTCTTATAGATTTAGGTAGTATAAATTCTTAGATTAATAACTAACTTTATTTGGTAATTACCTACCTACGGAAATCTCGTAATCTCTATCGTATTTTTAAATAACAATCACTGGAAAATTCCATTCTATTAAATAACAATAAAATTTCAACTGAACTGTTTATACTTAAGTTTGTTTATAGTATTTTCCATTAAAAATTACTTTCGCCTAAAACCTTTATTGAAAGTAATTTAACTCCTGAAATCGAATTAAGTATTTTGAATTGTCCATTAACTACTCAAAAGACAAAATAGGTACGCAATCAAAATAGATTATGATAATAATTCTCGTTCTGTTAACACGCAATGGTGTAAATTTAATGATAACATCTTTGATTGCGATTTGTAATATTACAATGATTTTGTCAGATATATTGTTTCGTAAAGTAATATTTTTGACTGAATGATTGGCCGATGTAAACATATCTATTCACATATCTGCTTTCAATGAATAATTTAACTTACTCATACATGGATTATCAAAAATAGCCTAGCCGTTCCGTGTGCTAATCGCTACGGCTTATGGCTACATAAGCCGTAGCGATTAGCACACAACATTTGCTTCGTGTGCTAAGTTCAAAAGTTCGAGAACAACTTATTGTTGACACTGATTGACCGACTGATCTTATTGTTACACTCAAGTTCAACAAACAATTCTCGGTAACACCTCGGAAATCAAGACAACCCTTTCAATTTTCTACTAGCAGCCTACATGACAAATTTAGCTATTAAATTAAACGGCCTGAGTACTTCAGGATCGTGGTAAAACGACTACTTAAACTAGCTGGCTACGACACATACAGACATAACAAATCTGCCTCCCTATAAGTGTATCAATTATCTTTACATTCTCGTCTGTTTGAAAAATCTCAAATAAAAAAAACATTTCTCTTATCCGTATTACAAGCAATTAGTTTAAAAATGAGGAAAAACATTGTATATAAACTTACATTTATCGTTTGAATCTCATAAACATTCGATCTTGGCCTTTTATAGCTAATCACAACTCCATATAAACGCACCGATATAAAAATGTTAATTACAATTACTTACTTGCTATGCGGTAAAAAACATAGTGCAATGAGACCATATATGATTAATGGTGGACATCTTGTCCATACTAATAATATATTAGCAAAAGAAGACATATTTGTTGCAGCGTGGCGGGAAAACCGGAACTTGGATACATACTTAGTACCAATTTTCTGTGTGATTGGACGGTAAACTAGCCGACGAAATACTTGATGGTAAGCAGTCGGCGCCGCCCATGGACATCCGCAGCACCGGAGTTGTTACAAATGGGTTGCCTTTTATACTCAGCGGCGGCGACCTCTCATGTTGGCGAGCTTAGTCGAGGCCACGGTGTGGATCAAGGGTAATTGGGAAGCTATCTCCTCTTTCTGCAAAGTAGTCATGCTTGCAAAGCGAGCGAAAGGAGGCAGCATGAAAGAACTATCCTCCTCACGCCCTAGCCGCCGACGAGCGACGATCTCCATCGCTAGGCCAAACAGGTAAATCTCGTGCTTTGATCATATTTTAGTCAACACGTTAGATCGATATTTAAATGATTTATCACCGTGATTATTGGTCATTAAAAATTAATTGCCACCATTATTTATATATGCACTTGACAGGTCGTTACACGAGACATATTGTCACAAAAGCCACCTATAATAATAAAATATAATAAATTATTTTTTATTGGAACATATACTTAATAAACATGGACATGTGTGAAGAAGAAAATTAAATATTATTATAAATAAACAATTATAAATTTATAATATGTTACACTTCTTGACTGCACGGTTGGTGCGGTGAATGGGCAACTGGCTGCCGTGCAACGTGTCGCGGGTTCGATTCCCGCACGGAACAACTCTTTGTGTGATCCACAAATTGTTGTTCCGGGTCTGGGTGTCATGTGTATGTGAAATTGTATGTTTGTAACCGCACCCACGACACAGGAGAAAATCTTAATGTGGGGCAGGTGGGGCAACGTTGTTCAAAAAAAAAATACTTACATGTTTGAAGTATGTGAGATCTTTTCAAGAATCTTCACTTACCGATAAACAACTTAATACTTTAACTGACCTCGTAACACAATTATTGCTGGATAGCCACACTTACGGGTAAACAACGAATGACGATTCGATTTTTTATCTAGGTACTATGGACCGGCGATACAACCTACGATGGGACCCGCCTTTCTTCTAAGCACCTTAACTTTTTATACCAAATAACAGACTCTGGCAAATCATAAAACTACTAGACAGAAATACAAAACAAATGAAGTGATATTTTAAAAACTCCTAGAAATATCGACTTGGATCGTCTTAACAATATTTCCCCTTTGTCTGTCAGCAAGGGGAAGATTAGTTGCCTGCCAAATTCACGTTACATGTGCCCATAGCAATATGCCCCTAGGGGAACAACCCTCAAATATGGCAGGTACTATCATAAACTCACAATTTACGTTGTAGTGAAAAGGAAAAACTATTTGTATGGGGAATAAATCGACAGGAAACCAGGAGTTTGGATAACAAATTTCCTTTTCTGATAGTTAGTAGGTAGTCTAAATTCTATGCGTATGTCGTGGCCAACTTTCAAGCTGAAAACTAAGTAGTCGGTTATTTGAATTCAAGCTTTTAGAAAGGGAGGACCACCCGAAGGTAGAACATACTGTAAATATCCAAGCAGGGTGCTTGGGCTGAAGCATCGCCGTGTCCTCAGTGAACTGATCGACGGCGGCGACATCTCGAGTCCGGCTATGGTTGCAATGCTCACTAAGAAACAGAAGAAGCGCGTGAGGGAACTATCCTCCTCTACCCCCTGCCGCCGCAGTAAGAGACACTCCGCGCGTCGGGGATCGGGTGACGATCTCCGGCCATCGTAAGCTTCATCTCAAGCAAGGGTAACTCGCTGTCCGACCAGCTCAAAGAGCTATTGGCCTACCACAGACGGGGCACAACAAGGCCAAACCGCAATAAGATAACGTGGCCTCGGCCTGGAGCGGGCAAGGGGACGGGAACAGGTTTGGTGTAGTCGGTTGAATTCAGATAGGGTGCGGTACCTACCTAGATGCATGTTGAATGAAGCTGTCTACATTTCTAGTTAAAGTTCGCACTTATATACAGGTATTACTATATACAAGCATGACTGCACGGCTGGCGCGGTGGCTGGATAACTGGCTGCCGCGCAACGTGTCGCGGGCTCAATTCCCGCACAGAACAACTCTTTGTGTGATCCACAATTGTTTGTTCCGGGTCTGGCTATGATGTGTATGCGAAATTGTATGTTTGTAAACGGAGCCACGACACAGGAAAAATTCAAGAGTGCGGCAACGTTTAAAGAAATAAATAAATTTTCCAGATGAGCATACCTGGTAATATTAAATACTAGACTAGTAATATAATTGTGCTATAATTTAGTTTCCCGTCATGTCATCAAGAATCTCAAGTGCAAAACTTGACATCCGTTATACCTATATACTGATTGTATACAGGTAATGAGGTTAAAGCAACTAATTGTACAAACAAACAAATCTACAGTTAGGTACACGAGTTTCTTACTTATGTAAGAAACTGATATTTAAGTTTTGGTAGTGTGAGTACTACCACAGATACTGTGGTACTACATACTTTCAGCAAATTAAATTATAACTTCATCATCACATAATCGGCCTATAAGTGCCCACTGCTGAGCAAACGGCTCTTTTCACATGGAAAACATTTGAGTAATTTATACACAACGCTTGCTCAGGGCAGATTGGCCATTTGAAACTTATAATTAGAAATTATAAGTCCAGGTTTCCTCACGATGATTTCTTTCACCGTATGTCAGTGGTGTCTAAATAATCTGAGAAAGTAGATATTACAAAGTAAATATTGAACATTGTATGCAACAAAAGGGACTTACTTCGTACATAATATAGTCGTAATTATGCTTACTAGATGACACCTCGGCCGACTTAAGTACATTTACTGTAGCCAAATTTTTTTTATCAGTCTATTAAATATTTGGTGAATTAAATTTTCCAATTGAAACGAAAACTATTTAAATCGGTAGAGTCGTTCTTGAGTTGATTCACTAAAAACATACACATTTATTTTTCTTTTTTAAGTGAGGTAGGTAGCTTTCTTAACATGTTAATGTATTTCCCTGCGTTTAGAATATTATCAATCCAGTTTCAAAACGGACAAAATAAAAAAAGAACGATTTTCAAATTAAGAACAATAGCAACATAAACAAACAAATTATCGAGACCTCTTGACCGTACCTTACTACGTTCTAACAATTGCACGAAGTTCACACCACACGTAACATGTAGTTAGGTGTGATTTTTGACGTCAGTACTAATTTCTGACGTCAAAAATTGTCACAAACACTTCCATGTGACTGATGCACCAGTTTTCTGGTCAAGGCCGATACTAAGGAAAAACCAACGCCACTTACCACGTAGACAGATTTGCAAGACAAAAGAATAAAAACTAAATGGCATTTAGGTACAAACTACACAGTACTATGTGTGTTGAATGTCAAATGTTAATACAGTCATTTTTTAACCATAAACAAGTTTTATTATTTTCTATATACATTGTTTTAGAAACTTTTTTTACTTTTCTTATACTTTTTTGTATAATGTAATACTTTTTTTTGTCTTATAGCATCTAGGTAAAATGTGGGGGCGTGTTCGAAAAAGTAAACATTCTAGTAAATATTAAAATCAGTTACTGTTAAACAAAATGACTACTTCTAATTCTGTCGATATGTCATGGGGTTAGTTTTCATTCAAATTTATTCAGTAGTTTTTGCGTGAGAGGGAAACAAGTATCTAACCAGTTGTTTTTGCGTGAAACAATCTTACAAATCTATAACAAGTTTACAATGTACCTACCTGAAATCGTACACTGCTCCGTAAATCCTCTTCATGCAACGTAACAGACGAGAAAGATTATCTTTTCTGCATATCGATCCACCTTTCGGTATATGGTTCATGAACTGCAACAAAGATTACTATCTAAAACCACTTTACAACAAGTATAGAGCTATTTACTATTGGGGAAACAAAAACGTAAAGGGTAAACAACTCTATGACATTTAAAAATAATTACTTAAAGCATTTTCAATTATATTTGCAAAAAATGTTGATTTTGAAAAGACCACTCCAGTTAAGATCGAGATAAGATTAAATAACTTATAGGTATGTAACAATAATTGCCACATAAATCTACTCGATGACAACAAGACATTTTAAAAACAAACATTCACTGTATTTTACTTAATTTTTTTTTGTTTTATAGGTATAATAGGTCGGCAAACTAACTAACGGATTACCTGATGGTAAGCAATCAGCACCGCCCATGGAGGGCGTCCATGGGCGGTGACAGAGGAGTTACAAGTGCATTGCTGACTTTTTGGGGATTAGGGATTTGGAGATTTAGGAATTGGGGAGGGATTAGTGGAGGGGAATGATTGGGCCTCCGGTAACCTCACTCACGAGGCGGAACACAACGATTTGGTTGTTTTATGCCGGTTTTCTGTAAGGCCGTGGTATCACTCCGGTCGTGTCGGTGCCGAAGCATGGCTCTCCCACACTTATTTTGCAATTATCAGGATTTCTTTCCAGTAAGGTACAGTCAGCGTCAAATATATTAGGACATTAAGAGTTCTCAATTACACAAATCATCAAAATATCCGTACAACAAAGTCATGATGTTTTTATGAGAACGTCGATTGAGCGATGAGCTTGCTCGACTGGAGTGGAACCACGGCCTCATATGATACCACCGTGAAACTTGCACTTATCCCCAATACCCAAGTCTTCAAATCCCTAACTCTACAAAACGGACAACCATGTCCATGAGCAACGCCGATTGCATACCTTCAAGTGTTCATTCAGCTCATTTGCCGGCTTGTCCTTTAGAAAGTAGGCACCCATTTTGGAATTTTTTCCCGATGAAAGAGAGAAATAAGAATATGACCAAACCTGCCAGTCTCCTAAAGTCTTGTAGCTTGCCGCCGGAAAGGCGCTGGTCTTCCACCAAAGGTTCCATCGTTCTTCTAAGCCGCTGTGGTAGCCAGGGTACATACGCCAGCCCCGTTCAGCGCATACCTGATGTGTTACATAGAAATGTTAAGACGGGAAACAAATAATACCTAATGGGTTTTTTCTGCCAATTATAATTATTGCAGTTGCTGGTTTTTCCACTAACACAGCTGCTACAAATAATTTCCATTACTATTAGTTTACGGTTTATCTATGCACGTTTACCCTGGATATTTTCGTTACACAAGATATGTATACGTGTTAAGGTACAAATTCGTCAATGTCTATATTTTTAAGAAAATCTGACTTAGTAGTGTTTTACTACCCTTGTATAAAAGTACTCAATAAATGAATATGGCAAATACCTCATACTTTCATTATATATTTCTGCTTAATACAACTCGTCGATATTCCATAGGCAAATTAGTGTGGTGATTAATGCTCATTCCTTATTCGTTTGAGAATAAATCTTTGCTCAGCAGTTGGCACTTTTTAGACTAATTATCATTATTACAAACTCCATTTAATTTCAAACTGTTTTATTCTTTATATAATATATCAAGTATACAAGTATATGTATAATATTACACTAAGTTAAACGCTAGTTTTCTTTCACACTACCCAAGATCGTGGATGCATTAATTCAAGCCACCCAGACCCTAAATAACAACTTGTGGATCACATAAGGTGTTGTTCCTTGCGGGAATCGAACCCGCAATACGTAGCGCAGCAGCCAGATACCCGGTTACTGCGCCAACCGTGTCCAAATTAGTTGTAACTATCAGAAAAATTGAATGCAAAGTCACTATTAACTTTATATTGCTAATACCTGCCGCATAGGAATACCCTATGTCTTGTTATTTGCAATAAATAACATTTATGTAACAATTAGTTAAGATTAACAGCTGTCTTGTACAATGAATATATTAATTTATATACATAAATATTGATATACGAGTTGGCATATTACATATAAAGTTGTCTTGTTGTCTTGTCGGCCTGTCACAATTGCGACTGTCAAGTAGGATTTGAGTTCCTGGTCCAGAACAAGATCAGGATAAAAAAAAATATAAAAAATTCAAAAACGAATTTGGAATCCTATCGAAGCTCAACTACTAAATGCTCATTTCGTCTTCAAACTATGCATTCACAATTCTACCGATTATAAAAAAATGTTGCTTTGGTTATAATTTATTTATAACATACTAGCTATTCTCGCGCGGTTTCACCCGCTGCCCGTCTCCATTTAATCGTAGCGTGATGTTTTATAGCCTATAGCACTCAGGAATATTGTAGCTATCTATCAGTGAAAGAATTTTGGAAATGTAACCAGCGATTCCAAAGATTACCCCCTACAATATAAACTTCAAACTTATAAATTTTACCTCTTTATAATATTATTATAGATAATACAGAAGTATAGATGTGCATATAACTATACATTAAAGGTTTCGCATCAAACATACGAGAAAATTAACAAATTTAATTAAAAGTTAAAGAAGAAAGAGTAGTTATACCTCTTTCGCCAATGTTTTTTCTTTCAAAGAGGTGCTTATCCATATTATGAATATAAAAATCAATAAAATTGTTTTATTTACCTACAATAATAAACAATACTTCATAGTTTATAAGGAACAACATAATACTGGCGAGTTCACGACTAAATGACTAATTGTGTCAATGAAATAATAAAGTGCAATTATATCTCATATACACACTGTAATAAAGGCTACGTCTAGGACGAAACCAGTTAACTGCAGATACTATAACATCTTTACAAGAACGTGTTAATTAAACAGGTGACGTCATCAAAAATAATAGCTTACGGTAAATAAATACGTGCCATAAAATAACGATAAATCATTAAAAACTACTTGATTTTACAACTGACTAGTGCTTATCAATCAACTCTAAAGTCATCAAACTAAGGATAATTAAGTACCAAATTCCTCAACAAGTTCTACAATATACCTTCACCAGCAGGCCAGGCCCTGTACCGCTGTCATTCAGCCTGAATATAAAAGGTTCATCATCATCGAAGCTGCCTTCCATCCTTCAGCGCAGCCCTAGAAACATGCCTGTTTATTTCTCAAAGTTAGACACGATCCATCGGGAACATTTCCAACTTTATTCATATCAGACGCAATACATCTTCGCCTTCAATGGAATATACTCGTGTATGCGAACGCGTGAATCGCATGTCAGCTTATCATTGCAATCGTAATATAGAGAAGTCGTGATATTGTTCGAAACACGTTTAGTTGGGCGAGCGTATCGTTCGACTCGGGCCGACTGGCGCGCTCCGCCGCCCACCCAGCACTGTCTCCGACTCACAAGCTGATGCCCCCAGCCCCAGTGATTTATAACTCCCCGTTCGTGACACGAGCCTCCTGTAAAAAGCAACGTAACAACGATAATGCATTTTGTTAGTCTAATGACGCGTCGCTTTTTATACTTATTTAACCGAACAAGTTCGGTAAAGTTGAATAACATTTTTGATGGATGCTACACGACGGTTATATTTTTATGGTTGCGAACGATACGATATGATATCGTTGACGTACTTTTATTACGTTAAATAAAATTAATTTTGGGTTTGCATTAAGAAAGACAACTGTATAGGGGTATTGTACTGTAAAAGTCATATTGATACAAATTTTCATTGAAGGTTAGTGCTGCGACTGCTGCGTAGATCTTTAAGTGTGATACGATTGCGTACTTTTCAATATTACGTACTACTAAAATGAATAAATCATATTTAACGTGAATTTAAGTTTTACGCATGACTTTAAACAATCCCAAAAGCCATAAAATATCTGTTCAATTATAAGAGAACACGTGCTATATAATTAAATCAATGAACTTTACAAGTTCCTGCCGCTTCCCGTAACCCAGTTTACCAGCAAACAGTTTGCGTGATACAGGTTATTACAATATAAAATGCCCTCTTTTAAAACCCTACAGGCCGTTGTCAGTTGTCATTCAATCCTACCATTGTATAAAAAGGGCAAAATATTTCATTAGCCAAGTTACTAAGACGGGGGCTTGCGTGTTTCAATCTTTCAATACTTCCATTTACTCTAAGTCTCTATTACAAGAATAACAAAAAAACAGACTAGTTAATTAACCCATTAAAGTGCTACTACATGTGTTAGATAAATGACAGTGTAATGTATTATTATATTAACAAAGATCTGCATGCAAAAAATAGTGTCAATAAAATGACCTCCCATTAGAGCAGATCATCTCGTTATAGCTCGAAGATTTTTTATGGACAACAATTTACTTAACTTATTAACCTTATTGCCATGTTCATGAGTGTAAATTATTATACAAGAAAAACATGAAAAATTACAAAACAACTTTTAATTATGGGGTTGGAGATACTTTATTTTGTGATTGGAAAATCATCAAATATCTTCTCCCGCCCAGGGCCGGGCGGAAGCGAATGTCAGACTCTTACTGACTAAAAACCCCCCTGTTCCTTCTCCTGCTCTGGGCCGAGGTCGCGGTGCCTCATTGCGGTTACCCCGCAATCCCAGCTGAACATCAACTCTATAGGGCCCCGTCTGTGGTGGTCTATTGGCTGTTTGAGGCGCGCGCGGAACGCTACGCGCCGTACGCTCGAGCATGGTTCTGGTCGGGTGGCGAGCTACCCTTACTCGCCGACCGCAGACCCGCGCTTACAGTGGCCGGAGATCGTCTCTTGGTGGGGTTGGAAATGCAAGCGCAGTAATGTATAGCGGCCCTAGCTTGGTGCAGAAGAAGGAACGGGTTTTTAGTCTGTACAATCTGAAATTTCCTCTCACAAGAGACACTTCAAAACCTACTTACAATCCACTGGAGCAACTTTATTGAAATCCTAAGCAGATGTAAAACGGCACGAATGTAAAAAACTCGACATAAATATTGTAGCGAAAACAATAAGTCTAGCTTTCTGCGAGTAATGGTTCAACCAAGTTAACATATCAATATCGTAGAGGCAATAAATTCGAGCGCTTCGAGCATCAATGTAAGCACGTGACTCTGACATCTAAGGGTTTTGTTTCGTCTCCTATAAATTGTGTACGAAAAACTAGTTTGTGGCGGTTCCACTCGCGTTCGTTCTTTACTTAGATATTCTTTAACCTTTTTTTATTTTTCTACCTGATGGTAAGCAATCAGAGCCGCCCATGGACACCCACAATACAGGAGTTACGAGTGCGTTGCCGACCTTTTGGGTATTAGGGATTTGGAGATTGAGAGCTTGTGGATTGGGCCTCCGGTAATCTCACTCACACGGCGAAACACAATGCTATGGTTGTTTCTCGCCGGTTTTCAGTGATGCCGTGGTATCAGTCCAGTCGAGCCGACCCATTCATGATGAAACATGGCTCTCCCACACTTAAAACCTATTCCAATCATTATTATCACGGTTTTCAACTTCTCAAGGTCTTTCCATTGCTTCACGTTGTGCAGTAAAGTATTTTAGGATAGTGTGGAAAATTGACTTTCTTTTTTAAAAGAGGAGAATTTTCAAGATACTTTTGCCGGGCGAAGCGAGATCCGAGAGTACAAGTCTGTTAATGATTAAAAATTTAAAACCTACTTTTCCAGTTCCATGCCGAGTCGCGGTGAGGGAACTATCCTCCTTACACCCCAGCTGCCGCAGCAACAATCTCTGACCACCATAAGTGCAGATCTGCTTTCGGCGAGCAAGGGTAGCTCGCGGCTAATAAACCACCATAGACGGGGCGCTATAGGTCCGATGTCCAACAAGGGTTGCAGAACAAGCTCAATAAGGTACCGCGGCCTGGGCCCAAAGCAGGAGAAGGAACGGGAAGCTTCCTAGTCAGTAAGAGTCTGACACTCCTTCTCGCCAAAGACAAGAATCCATAGGATTAGACTTATGTCCACGCTCTACGCCTATCGCTTGCCGATTTTAATCGCTAGTGAATAAATCGAAAAGAACTGTGACTAACTGACTTCCTATAGAGACCTTTAATTAAATCAGTATCTAATGTACGGAAGCGACGACTGTCGAGTCATGGTGATAAACTGGTTTCTTGTCGTCATGTACAATGCTGATAATTCACAGTTCTACAAGACTGTGTCATGTTGACACCTTTTGGAACAATGCCCAACGTTTACGAAGCAAAAATACTAGATATCTACTATATACTACTACTATATACTGCTTGAATAAATAAAATATACCCAAAAAACATTACTTCTCCATATTAGAATGTAAATAGCTAAAGAATCTTGAAAATTTTATTTCAATACTGTTGTTCATCAGAATTATTATTTGTCCCTCAAATCCGCAACTTATTGCTCGGCTGCCGAACCACCGTATCCACTGTGCTGTCAAAATTCCACAATCAACTGACTTCTTGTGCTTATACGAATTCAATATCATAACTTGCCCTAGAGTATCGATATATTTATTCCATAGTACCTACTTCAAACCTCAAAAAAACCTAGCTTCACTGACGAACAGACTGACAGACTATACTATTTTGACGTTTCAAAAGTACTTATTTATAGTTGAGTCGGAATAAATAATTTTGACTACAAACTTTACGATGAAACCAGACGAGTCCGAGTCGAGTTGGCAGACCTTTTAAAAGGGGTAGGTACGCTCGTTATCTGAAGATTTTTAAAGTCAAGTACATGGGTGGCACTGATCACTCACTTCAGGTCATCCGTCTGCTCGTTTGCCAACTATTTAATAAAAAAACTAAAATGTTGTCTACACTCATGGTACGAAAAGCAAACGAGAGTGTCATACTACGCATAAAATAATATATAAACCTACCCAACTGACTCACGCACAGACCTCCTGTATTTTTATTGTTACGGCAATCGGAATCTAAATCAAACGACTTGCCGTGACCTAAGGCAGCGAGACTCGATAAGTTTCGTATATTGACCTACCTCAAACATGCATAGCACTTACCTCTGAATGAGTGACTTCTACTACGATATCATCAGTAACTCTGCTAATCGATAGCCCCTATTTGCATGGACCATATTTTGGCAAACGAGCAGCCGGGTCTCCTGATGGTAAGCTATCAGTGCCGTCCATGGGCATTGCCAGAAGAGTAACAAATGCGTTGCTAGTATTTTATAGGTTAGAAATTTGAGGATTTTGGGATTGGGGATGGATGGGGGAAGGACCAATGACGTAGTTTTATACATCATTGGGAAGGACTGTGCTTTCAGTAACCTCGCTTACACGGCGAAATAGAACGCAAGTGTTGTTGTTAATTAACATAATATGAAACCCAAAATAAACTACATTTTTTCTCGAACTATTATATACCTAACTATGTTTGTGTTTTTGTTGAAACTGCAAATTTCAACAAAAACAAACAAAGGCTCTAGGAATATAGTTTCAAATTAAAAAAACTTCGTCCTCAAAGGATTTCCAAAGTCACTACGCTGACATAAGAAATCATAGCCTATGATTTTGATTACCGGCCTAATTCTCCCTCCCCAGTCCCTACCCAATCCTTAAATTTTCAAAATCCTAATCCTCAAAATCCCCTTAACGGGCTTGTAACCCCTCCGGTGTTGGATGCATCTATGGGCGGCGCCGATTGCTTACCAAGAGGTAACCTGTCTACTTGGTATGTATGTATCACATAAAAAATAACTTTAAGTATAACAATGAAATAAATTGTAATTAAAAGGATAATAAAGGCCGTTGACTCGGCATTGTATTAAAATATAAGTACTAGAGTTGAATCGATTAGTATAAATAAATAGGTCTTAGTCATAATATTTGCAAAAGATAGCAATCGAGACAAATAAATACTACGGAACTGAGTTATGCGTCTGGTTTTTAAATTTAGAGATAATAATTCGTCTGTTTGATCTAGATTTTTGAATTAAATGTATGTGAAATAGTCGTAGTAAGTAGTTGCAAATGTAATTTCTTTGGACTAGAAAATTTTGAACACGTGCATTGTGCATGCGTGAGTGCACGTGCCGTATGTTATGGCGTAAATAGCGTCACTTGTACTTTATCTATTAAAAATGTCACGTTGCTAAAACAAAGTGTCTACCAGCTTCCTCCGCTAGACTAGACTGTTGATAAAAAAAAACTACCAAATCGATCCTGCCGTTTTGCATATAAGAATAAATATTGAGTTACTACGTCTCCGCTCAGTACTAAGTAGTGACGTCACAAGATATTGCAAATAAATGTATCGTGTTTGATGTTGTTAATTAATCGACGACACAGACCATTAAATAAATAATATTTAGTTATTATCCATTTTTATCCATTGAGTCTGGAATCATACCTTATTCGGCAATGGGCCTGGTTTTATTGGTGGACATTATTTGTGAAAATGGAGTGTTTCATTAATATCTATATCTCTTCTAACTCCCCTTTCAGGCAATATATGTGGTGAAGTTACGTTTTTTAAATGAGCGAGTACAAAACTGTACCTAATACGGTAGTTTCCAACTAGTCAAATTCAATACTTTTACCCAAACGTGAAAAACGATACGTTTCTATGAAATTTGTATGTAAAACTGAGCTATGACGTCATAACTTTTTTGCGTCAAATAGCTAACTTATTTCTTAATAATTAGCTAAAAAAATCTAAAAATTATTATATCGATCGATCGATGAATAAAAGTATAATTATTTTTCAATATTTTATTGTATTGAAACGTCGAAATAATTTATTTTTGACCTAGGAAACTACCCAATTATCCTACTTCGCTGACTTTAGCATGACCCTTTAAAGATCCCAAGATACGAAACATCATAAGCCAAGATCAAGAAGCTCGTAAACTTGGAAATTATAATAATAAACGTAAAACTCACACAAGATTTATAACTGGTTTTATAACCGTTTCATAAAAGTCATAAATAAATAAAATAGTTACGTTAGCCAACCGTGTCTAATGGCTTCTTACAATTCTATGTATAGTGCAATTACGGAACGAGCAATAGATTTTTGTCATTAAAATAAACGGTCTACAAAGTTTGAAGGTCGAGAAAAAATTCTCGAAGGATAGCGTACCTAACGTAAAGGTGAGTTTCCAATGTAGCTTCTTGGGAAAAAATCAGTTTTCTTTAGCTACCGATGTTATTATCATCAGCCTTATTCTGCTTACGGCTAGAGATAAGGTTTCCCTCCAACAATATCACCTCCTTTTGTCCAGCCACTGCCCGCAGCTTTGCGGATATCGTCACTTCACCCAATTGAAATACACTAAGTTTACCTAGAAAAGGCTCGGCCTTGATTAACCTTATACCTACCTGAAAACATTATAAACATATCTAACTGCATATGAACAGTATTGTACGAATATACTTTTAGTTTCGTGAATAATATATTGTTTTTGTAAGAAAAACATGTTTAATACCACCCGAAAAGAGACAACCGGTTTTTTGTTCACCAGATGCAAGAGCTGATTTTGTCGTGGAAGCTAGTCTATAATAAAAGTAAACATCTAGTTAACTAACAGTTGAAAAAAGCCTTGCAAACTAATGAAGACTAAACTATAATCAATATCCAAGCACAGTGCGAAAAGCCCTTTACTTAAAATATAATGAACTAAGTACATAATTTCGACGTGGAAATAACTGCCGTAATACGGTAATAGATGCAAGGGATGCACATTCTTTGAGAAAGTGCAAGGCCATAACGAACAGTAATTGTTCAAATGATAGCTTACCAGACTACTTTACTTACCCCTAATGACTCACGTGTCCTATAAAATCAAGTTTCCTGACGTCTGAAGGTTTATTTCTAAAAAACACGATTGCATTATGTTTGACATTCTGAAGTTCACGTTAATCAAAGACTAAAATGTCCAATTTATGATTCACTAAAGGAGGTGAATTGTCATTCGAAACTTTTTGCTTAATACTATAATTTGTCTCTTTTATGCATCAACCTTGGCATTTATGGCTTTGAGTTAGGTACTATGGGAATCATAAATAATTTGAATAAAACCACCAATTATTTTTATTAATACAAATTTAATCTCTAATAGGAGATTCCATATTAACCTGGCTGTATATACTATAACGCAATACAAAAAAAGTTAATAACAAAAATATTTACAGCTGGCAGGTAAAAAACTATAAAAAAGCTAATGTCACTTTTCCCGCGCTTTTGAAACGTCATACTTGTGGATTCCGTTCGCGTTTTTCGAGTCTCACTTCGTATCCATCGACTGCTTTCATCATGATATCTATTTTGACTCTGATAGAAGGATTAGGGCTCTGTTCAACGTCCATAATTACCTTATATTTGCGCAATATTGTTGACAATGTAGTCTTTATTGACATTAATGCATATTGATAACCTGCAAAAAAGATATCGGTTAGAAAAAATCCATTTATATCGTAAGTTATTTATAGAGATTTATAGAATTCTCATTGATCGCTTGGAACCTAGTTGTATAACTGTGGTAGAATTCTTAATCGGCATGCCCCAACTCTAAACCTAAGTGTGGGAAAGCTGTGCTTTCGCAGGAATGTGTCGGCTCGACCGGAGTGAGACCACGGCCTCACAGAAAACCGACGTGAAACAACCACAGCGCTGTGTTTCGCCGCGTGAATGAGGTTACCGCAGGCCCAATCCTTCCCCTTTTCTAATACCACCTCAATCCTAAAACCTCCAATCCCTCATCCCCAAAAGATCGGCAACGTACTCGTAACGCCTCCGTTGTGTCCATGGGCGGCGCTGATTGCTTACCATCAGGTAATCCGTCTGCTCGTTTGCCGACCTATTACATAAAAAAGCGCTTCAGCTTCATCGAAGTAAAATTAATAGTTTATTGCTCAATACATGTTCCGTGGCATAAAGACAAAATACGAAAGACGCATCAAAACAAGATTACAGACAGGGAGTTCCGGTTTTACCTAAACGCTTACTATGAACTGCGGACATTTAATGGAAATCCCTTTTACGATAAATAAACAGCACGTGCATTTATAGACACATATTTTATGCAGTAGCTAGTTGACTTACAAGAAATAATTATCTTTACTATAGATTCCGATAAAAGACAGCGATTCTCAATATAATATCTACAATACATACATGGGAAATAAAACAATGTCACAAAATTTACACTTCTTTTTAAGAATACGTTACCCCATTTTAGGTAACCTACAACAAAACTAACCCTAAACAACTGTTTGTGGATTGTTCCGTGCAGGAATCGAACCCACGACAGGTTACACAACAACCAGTAGCCCGGCAACTGAGTCAATTACAACTTAAAAGTCAGTACAACGATATTTTCTTTCTTTAATGGAAAAAGAAAAAATAAAATCCAAGAAAAATACGATGTATTTGTCAACTATTTAGACCAGGGCTTGTAAATATGCATAAACGTAATAAGCGAAAATAAAAAGACGAATTATAAAAAAAGTTTGAGGTTCTCTGCACTTGTCTTGTCCATTACAACTTTTTATATTAAGCAATTACGAGAAAAGATCCCCGTGTAACAAGTATTCAATGATTTCCGAGATGTAACGTAACGAACTACGAGCAATCTACTTTTTTAACCGACTTCTTCATGTAAAGGCAGCATTTTTAATTTACGTGACACATCTGAGGATGTTGACTCATACAGCATAATTGAAAAATTATTTGATCGCCATTTCAAACACAATTTAACAAAAGGATCCAAAGAATGAATTTTGTATTTTTGACAATAACAGTTAGAAATCTGCATAAAATTCAGGACTAGGTATACCAGAAGAACTTCGATACCTATTCATAAAAAATGATATGAAGATCGCTATCAATTCACTTACCAACGCAGTTCCTAGGACCATTACTGAAGGGCATATAACTGCAAGCATGTTCAAGATTAAATCGTTCTGGCAAGAATCTGTCGGGGTCAAATTTCTCGGCATCAGGACCCCAGTATTTAGGATCCCTGTGGACACCCCATATTGAGCAGGCTACGCCTGAACCAGCGGGAAGGACGCGTCCCGAAGCTGCAAAATATTTTTTGTTAGGTCCATATCGAATACAATACTTTACTAAACTAATGTCTATCTACTTTACTTTTTCTAAATACTGTATCTGAACAAATATTATCATCATCATCATTATCATCAGCTAGAAAACGTCAACTGCTGGGCAAAGATCTCCCCTTTAGTTTTCCAGGTCGAACGACAACGCTCTCATGGCTCCCCGCGACTCTGACGACTAAATAATATATCTAAATAATAATTCGTGACGTATAATATTTCTTATTAAGTAGCATTACTGATAATCTTTTAAAAGCAATCAAATTAACAACGATAAAGTGGATGAAATGTAAATAAAGTATTAAAAGCTGACAACAAAATTATTATTCTTTAAGAAACTGAATTTTACTTACGCAACGTAATGTCTTCTAAGACTTTCCTTATAATAAGAGGCACGGGAGGGAAGAGTCGCAAAGACTCCTTGACTACTCTCTCTAGATATTTCAACTTCATTAAATCTTCTTTGACTAACATTCTGTCATCTTCAAATACCTCGCACAATCTGTAAACAGATAACTATTTATAACATTAGCCAAAATCGATCCCCTTTTTTTATCGCATCTCTGTTTTCTCTGTTATTCAGTAGGTGCATAGCGTAGATGACAGTTGGTCTGAATAAAAACTGATACTTTTTATAATACTTAGTCAAGTAACTCAATGGCTTCGAATCAAATCATCATCGATTCAAATCATCAAATTCGACTTGGATCGAGAGGGATTGACTCTTACTGACTAAGCACCACCCTCTTCATTCTAGGAGAATGAAGAAAGGAAGGCCTAGACACATTATTGCGCTTAACCCGTAACCTAAATCAATGGCTGCATTAAACCTATTTTTTTTATAAATAGTTTAGAAGAAAGTCTTAAAATATGCCAAAGAAAGAAGCTTGACTGACAATGGCAACGTGTTTATAAATAACAGATCAGCTTTACAAGACAGAGCAATTACTTACGTAACCATAATACCTAGTTTAGTACTAACCTAGACAAGTGACAGGAAAATCTTGATGTTCTACATTTATTATTCATGTACAAGGTATAAATCAAGTTGTTACAGGTTAACGAATAAACAAAACAAAATCAACACGGAACAAGGAATTGATATCGGTGCTTGAACTGTTCCTGTAGGTAACCATAAACTAGAATGCCACATTTTATATCAAGCTAGTTGCCAGTCGGGTTTCTTAATATTGCAATGAAATAAAAATCCATACAATGCAACATTTCCGGTATATTTTGCAAAAATTACTTTCGAAAAACCTTGTTCTTTATCTCAATTTGCAAAACTTTCAAGGCAAGATTTTTAATTTCGATTTGCAAAAATTTTATTGACATACCTAATTAGCTCGACTTTAAAAGATAAACGAGATACTTGAGCTTGCTTTAAATAAAAACAATCAATTGGGCCTCCAAACTATTTCCTACCTAAGGAATATCTAACTTAACCTAAGCTTTGTATTAAATACCCTAAACTATAAACATAGCTCATCCATTCTAACCCCTCAAGACCAAAACTCTATTCAAATAGTACCACTTACTCTTGATATACTTTCTCCTGGATCTCTGGATATTTTCCAAGTAGCTGAAGAGTAAAGCCAATTGCAACAGCTGAGGTATCGGTACCAGCAACAGTAAGGGTTAATACCTCCTCTCTCAATTCTTCGTTGGTGTACCCATTTTCAGCACCAGATAAGTGTATCAGTAAGTCTAGGAATGTTTGTTTCTTGTATGCCCCTAAATCTGTAAGTAAAATGGATCTTTACCGGTTTTTCATTTTACGTGAGTCTTGGCTAATGACTTCGCAGCGGTATATGAACTCATTTCCCAATCGATCTTTGCTTACAACATAAATAAGTGCTTTCTTTTGAGGCTGACCTTATTTTGCAGATGGTTTATCTTTGATTTGATGGCCAATTGTCCCAAAAAAATGTCATTCTAATTTTGAACTGGGTCAAGAAATCGTTGCTGTATGTCTATCTTCTTAGTTCGAGTTCCTTTGCACAATTTTATTTTTTTGAACATTTTTAAATCTACTCATATTTATCAAAATGCCCCTTAAAACTTACCATATTCATGGTCCACCTCTGTTTGAGAGTCCTTTTCTCTTTTTAATTCTTCTCTCTTCTTTTCAATAACCTGTATTTAAAATAACTTGTTAAATGCTTGATGAATGAATGTTTAATTTATACTGAAACTGGAGTACTTTTATCAAATATCGAATTATTTGCAGTGATATAACATAATTAGTTTTATTATAAAAATGCATCACATTAGTAAGATTTCCTCGATTATTTCCTCGTTCATTTTTAGAAACATAGTTAATTTTTATAAAGTTTTACTTTTTATTTTACATTTTTTTTATAAAATTTTACTTTTTAAAACGATGTAGAATTAATTAAAAATCATATGCCATTATTATTTCAATTAAAAATAAAGTAAAAAGCAACAAATTACAATCATATGCTACAACAATTATTACAAGATCCCTCTGAAAACGCGTCCATTTTATTTCTTTGTTATTTAATCTTTTATCTTTACTCACCCGATTTGTGAAATCGTGCATAGTTTTTATACACGCTTGGTGTTTCTTGTACATTGGAAACATCTTGAACAGCCAATCCGGCTGCAGCCACAAATGGAAAATTCTCTTACAAACCATATTTAGAATATCGCACATAGCTCTTAGGAAGGGCGAGTCTGGATTCCCTTGCGCATTAATTTTCACACCTATTGCCGTTTCTGTAAGATAAAAAATGAATCAACGATATAATCCACGACACCATTAATGTATTTAAATCAAAAATATTCGAGTCCATTAAACAATAATCCGAATTTTTGTACACTCCTCCTATCTAAAATGTCTAAAATAATAACTACATTATACATTCATGTTGCATAATTCTAAATTTATAAATGGTAGCCCACATCAATTTTTTTATTTTATTTAGTTAATACTTTACTATGATTAATATTGTTGTCCTACCTATGTTAATTTAATTAGTTCTAGTTTTAATTTTTAAATATTTTGACTGTATAAACGCATAATTTTTAGAATGTTGGTTCGCTCGTTACTGGCTAATGTAGATATATGACCTACTGCCTATAACAATACTTTAAACCACTTTGTTTACATAAGCTGTGAGCCTACCTTATAATAAATAAATAAATATGTGCATACATCATCACATCCCTAAAGCTATAAGTGCCCACTGCTGAGCGAATGCCAAAAAAATCACAAGGACAAGGTTGGAGCATTAATCACCATGCTTGCTCAAGACAGATTGGCGATATCAAACTTATTATAAGAAATTACAAATCCAGGTTTCCTCGCGATGTTTTCTTTCGCCGTATGTCAATGGTGTCTAAATACGGTGTCTATATATCTACAATGTAGGTACACATAAAAAAAAACTTTGAACTCTAGACAAAGATGTTATTTATAGACCAAAAATAATTCAATAAGTTGTTCCAACTAAACGAAGTTACCTAAACAGTACATGTTTGCGTGTATAAATAATTATAGGGACAAACGAATCTAGACTGAACTACTTTGTATGATAAACTAGGATAATTTGAACCACCATCAATCATAATCACATGATGGGCATAAACTTCAACGATTTATTTACCAAAATTAGCGATAGAAGAAATAACCCCTAACCTAAATGAGGGCTTTGTCTTCAATTTGACCTTTATTTACCGACGAAATAACTTATTTTCGAAAATAATTTTCATGCGAATAAGTATATAACCAACTCTATCCGTTATTAAGCTTCTAGTCTTCGGATATATATCCGAAAAAAATATCTTACGTATCTTATCCGAAAAAATACCTGGCAACTATCATTTGTTCCGGACATTAGAGCGCGTTCAAACAAACTCTTTGGCTTTTAATATTAAGAACTACTACCCGCTAACCTTTGCATAAAACATAGAGGTATTCCTCGTAGCGCTCCCGTTTTGAAACGCTCCCATCTAAGCGCTCCCGTTTTATTCCTCTAAGCGCTCCCAAAAGAAGCGCTTCGAAGAACGATTAAAAATATTAAAATTAATTTCCTCGAAGCGCTCCCACGTTTAAAAATAGGGAAAAGCATGAAGTAAACGTAATGAATTATATCGATAATTTTTAAAAACTCATGTGTGCATCATCGACATCGAAGTTGCGAGAGGAAAACATTGTGAACAAACTCCAAATACTGACTCCTCTATTGACGGTAAACCTTTTTTATTTCTTTTTTGTTTCATTACGCGCATAATATGAAGTAAAGATATTAATTAAATTTTGTATTAGGTTTTTCTTCTTAAATTATACTTATTAATAGAAGAATAAATGCTATGTTTGAGATTTGTCAATTTTATTGTTTGGTTTGTATTTGTATGTTTTTTTAAACACAGTCTCAGTTGATAAAGAATATAAAAATGGAATGACCAGTATGAAACTCTACAAACTTAAAAACTTGTTTCTCCTACTTCTTTAACAGTATTAGTACAACATTAGTTTTGCAGGTTTCTGAAATAAGAAGCAGAATAAGAAGTCTATTAAGTAACTTACCGCACACAGAATCCAGAGTGTAGGTGCTGAGGAATGGCCAGGCTTGGAACTTTCCTTTGCCACTGCATCGCGAGAGCTGCTTCACTAACTTATCGCTCTGTTCCACGAACACTTGGACAAAGTTCTCTACTACTTTAGGACTGAAGGCTGGAACAAGGATCTTTCTACGACGACGCCAGATGGGCACTGTTATAAAAAAAAAAAAACATTTTTAAAAAGCAATCTTTAACAATTATCTGACTCTATCTGACTATATATACTAAACTACAGCAGTGTTTAGGGCTGCAGTAAATGGCGGCCTCGCCCGCAACCCCGGCAGGATTTTTAAAGCACCTGGTCTGTCTACTGGTCAGGAGTAAGCAGAAGCGAACATAGAGTGGTAGAACAGCGAAATACTAGTTTTATTCGTCGAATAAATTATTAAATGTAATGTATGATTATCACATCCTAGTACTGAACTCAAGTATAATAATCCTCATAATGAACCGTTTCGACCTTTCTTTTTTAATTCCAACTCTTTAGAGCCCAAACTCGTCACGATGTAATTGCTAAGCCAAATCCGACCCTGGCAACAACATTAAAAATTCTCACTGCATTACCCATCATAAAATTTGAAGGATAAGGTCACTTTTGCACGAGCAATGATAGACTGATAATCTAGCTGCATAGTGTTACATAACAATAATTATGATCCATTGCGCCAACACTATTTTAGGTGTTAAAGTTCATGTTTCACTGTATATAATACCTAGCGTGGATAATTAGGTGTCAGTCTAGGTATTACCACAAATCGGAGAATGACGAGGCAAAAACTTGATGATAAAATTTGGCTCGAAGTTCGAATATGGAATCGAATGAGTGACTTACCTACATAAAAAACACGTTTACCATCCCCGAAACGTATTGATATAAGTTGTCGATGTACAGAATTAATTCAAAAATTCGATGATTGTTTCAAGTGTGAACAACCGATTCGTTACTTGGGTATAGAGATATCAATGGAGCAAGCGTTTGCAAATCGCAACATTAGCTTCGCCATAAGTGCGAAATTGCCCGATACCATCAAGATCATGATGATACACAACGGAGTTTTTACATAATAACATACGCACACGTACAACCCAATTTACCTTGTCGTCGTATTTTTTATGTCATGTATGGCTGTGTTACGAAATATTCTTGTGCCACTGCATGCGTGTTGGCCAAAATTATTTTCCTTATTGTTGCTACCACTGAATTATTTCGAATTCGCTCGCATTTAGTCTTTAGGTGGGACAATTTTTTCGTACGTGACGAGAACACGTATAGTCTAGTTAGCATTGACAATATTACTCACGACCATTGATATTTTAGTCGCGTTTTAAAATTACCTATTATGTTCCACTTTCACATATAAACTATATTGTAGTCATATGAAGGTCAAAATAGCATCTAACAGGTACAGTACTTAGTGTTGCCAAGTTATTTCTAGAACTATCCATCTTTGCTTATTTTCTTGCTTTTTGCCAATGTGGGCTGTTTAATTTATTCAGGTCTTTTTATCAAAATAAAAAAATGACCCCTAATAGGAGGAGACTATCGATGCGTGTCACACAATCCTACTTAATCGAGTGCAATTTTGAATAAATTGCATTATCAAAGCTATGCTATACTACTATAACATACAAGAGTCATACATACCTGGAGCGAAAATTCCACCATTCCCTATAATTTTCCTGATGAACCTGTGAAGATCATCCTTTTCTAGACAAGTCTTCAGCACCATCTCGAGGTCAACGGGATTAACGACGACTGTAGAAAAACATTTTTACTTTAGGTGACCTATTTATGAAAATAACTTAAAAGAAAATATGCAGGTATAAAATAGTCAATATGTGTAGTTTTTGACAAACTTATTAACAAATTGTTTAATGTTGCCCCACACTAGGATTTTCTTCTGTGTCCTGGGTGCGTTTACAAACATACAATTTCGCATACACATCACGCCCAAGCCCGGATCAACAATTTGTGGAACACACAAAGAGTTGTTCCGTGCGGGATTGGAACCTGCGACACATCACGCCGCAGCCAGTTGCCCAGCCACCGCGCCAGCCGTGCAGTCAAATATTATATTGGTTGACCAACCTTCGTTGGTTGGTTAATAAATTTTGTCAATGTAGCAAGAAACGAAAGGATGGTGGATAAACCTAACCAAGACGGGCTTACCGCCTTCTTATAGCAAATAAAAGATCTTATGGCAAATAAAATATTATCTGTACAGAACAGTAAGCGGATCACGGAGTAAGGAGCTGACAATGATGACAGTATAAGATTTTTTTTAAATATAAATTAGAACGTACATTTAAATACTGATTACTGTTCAGTCATTCAGTCAGTCGTCATTCATAAACATGTAATTGTGACAAAGTTATGTATTTTAAATATATGTGAAGGGCATTCTGAAGCTTATTCTAATAAAATTACATTCGGAAATTCAAGCTTATATGTCTATTTTATTCATTCATTCACCCGCTGACCCGCTGACCCGCAGTCTTGGCAGGCCGCCTCACAAGCCCTAACACAAGGTGCATGGAGGCGTGAGTAGTTTTGTCTCCTTCGTTACCTCGGAGGTGCAATAGAAACTAAAGCTGACTAAATACCACGATGTCTTCGTAAGCGTCCAAAACATTTGCTTAAAACTCAGTACTGGCGCCAATCAAATTGGAAAGCCAAGAAGAAAGAAAAGGGTTGAGTAAGCAAAACTTAATAGAGAAAATACTTTATTTATTGAAAACTAGCAGACTGCCCCTGCTTCGCACGGGTACCCGACTACCCTGGTGTCAGTCATTTGTTTTGCAAGCGAACGGCCACGGCGTCGAAAGGGTTGTTAATTACCGCTATTCCCCTTTACTTTTCCAAAGTTTTCTCTCGTAAGAACCTTCTCCTTATAATAACGAACATAACAAGAAAAGAATTAGCAAAATTGATCCAGGCGTTATTTAGTTATGCGCTTACCAACACATTTTGCGATTCATTTTTATATTATAGAAGATAAAAAAAAAAACTCACGAACATCCACTTACTGGACGTAGTAGTGGATGTTCAAGTGAGTCTAGTAGTGTGTGCACGGTTCCTGATAAGGAGGTTTTCTTATGGAATAGGAGGCAAACCCTAGTTTCTTTAAGTGTGGGAGAGCCAAGCTTCGGCACGAATGGGTCAGCTCGACCGGAATAATACCACGGCCTTACAGAAAACCGGCGTGGAACAACCACAGCGTTGAGTTTCGCCGTGTGAGTTAGGTTACCGGAAGCCCAATCCTTCCCCTTCCCCAATCCCTTAATATCAAAACCCTAATCCCTAAAAGGTCGGCAACGCACTCGTAACTCCTCCGTGGCGGGTGTCCATGGGCGGCGGTGATTGCTTACCATCAGGTAATCCGTCTGCTCGATTGCCGACCTATTACATAAAAAAGCTTTTCTTAGTTAATTCAACAAGTAAGTCGTTATTTTTAATAAATTTTGTATATCTTACGATAGTGGATAAGGGATGATACTTACTAAAAAACAGCGTGTTTCCCAGCCAGCCTCTCAGGACACCATTGTTCTCCATGCTCTCGTAACTGTATTGTTGCAGCGAATGCATGATAGCTGTAAACATGAGCTCAGGTTAGGGATTCGTTCACGTACAACGATAAGGTAATCTCCATAAAATTAAGGATTGTCAAAAAAGACGGAGAAGTTGTTTCGCTTCGTCGTATATATATCACGCACATCTAAGGATTGGATTAGGTTGCCTGCAAAGGTCTTCCCGTCCAGTTAATAACTATTGCCTTCAAGGCTAATAAACTAGTGCGCCTTACCCTTTCCGATCGATTCCCGTCACTGCTTACCATCAGATGGCAATGCAGTTAAAAATTAGTTTGTATGATTTTAAAAAAGTCCGAGTAATGGACGATAGGTATTACTGATGGAGAACCAGGGAGCACCCCAGCGTTCGTTAAACCTTAACCTTTGAAACTGTAGTTTTGAAACCGTGATTATGTGCAACATATGATTATGTAGAGATACGCTATCGTACTATTTACGATTCCTAATGACAATCATAAACCATATTTAGTTATAGAGTTCCCAAAGATTCAAATGAATCAAAGAAACCCCAAAATGAAATCATTGCAAACCCTCAACGATTTCTTTCAGCTCCATCATCAGGACAACTCGAGGCCTTCATAAATTTGTAGTGCTTAAATAGACTTGATTACCAAATACAAAAGCAGACTCGACCCCCCCCCTAAAAATCAAAAGTTATTCCCCTCGATTTCGCTGAGTTCTTATTAGATCCTGAGTTGGTGACAATAGAATCGATTCGAATTTGTTTTTTTTTTGCACCAACTCACCCGGCGCACTCTTTATCCCCCCTTAACTAAGTAATGTTGTTATGAATATAAATTGACACTGTTATTGTACTATGTTATAAATGTAAAGATACTGACAGAAGAGTGTTGAAGTTTAAAGGAGACTAAAAATCTAAAAAACATTTTCGTAAATACTTGGCTATAGATGCTGTAATTATTTATTATATTAACTTAACTTGTTTTATTATTAACTTGATAAAAATACATAGGAATCTAAACTGCACTACACTAATTCAGAATTTAGAAAAATTAACACAAGAATATATCAAATTCCATTTCGTAGTCTTATTAAATTTTAATTAAGAAAAATAAACCTAAGAATTCATCAAATTCAGTTTCATAATTAAGTATTAATTAGGTTGGTACCCACAGTCTTCAATAATTCATCATGATCAGGTTATAAATGTATAGCAAATATAGCAAATTAAAAAAAATATATATAGTGAATAAAAGTTTAAGTATAAATATACTATATAGTTATATAAGTTTATATCGAATATTGTTATGAATTTATCAACTATCAATGATTGATGATAATAAAGTTTCTCACATATCGCAGGTTACCTATGTGGCAGGATTATAAATTTAAAATACCCCCGACAAACAATGTAATATTCCTTTAAAAAGTAATAATTAAATCGTGGGGGACCGATCCAATCATTTTACTATCAACTACATATTTCTATTTTGTCGGGGGTCTAATTTATTTTTTTATTTTATACTTTTTATATCATTTCCTATCAATTAAGTCATCATCATTCCCTTTCAGTGCCCTTTCATTTGACACCCCACTCGAGTATATTTGCAGACCTTCGAATCCCCTTCACCCCCTCCCCCCATAACTTCTAAACGGCTCAAACGATTTTCGTCAAACATGTCTAAGAACACAGGCACGTAAGTCACCTTTAATACAAAAAAAAACTAAATTGAAATCGCTTCACCCGTTCAGGCTCCACGATGCCACAGACAGACAGACAGACACGTCAAACTTATAACACATCTTTTTGCGTCGGGGGTGAAAAATAAAAAGGAAAACAAAGTTTAATTTATAGAGAGAGAAAAAAACAAAGAAAGAAAAGGAAAAATAAAACATTTTTTAAATAAAAATCTTATGAAAAGATGACTCTTTTCAACATACTCGGCGAACATGTATTTGAAAAAAACATCTACATATACGATCAAAAGCCCCATTTCAGGCATAAACAATTCAGCAAACATGTGAACGCAGACCAGAATTAGACTTGCAAGATCCCACTAGACCGAAGCGATATCACGGCCTCACAGAAAACCGGCGTGAAACAACCACAGCGTTGTGTTTCGCCGTGTGAGTGAGGTTACCGGAGGCACAACTCTTCCCCTTGCCTAATCCCTCCTCAGCCCCAAAATTCCTAAAAGGTCGGCACGCACTCGTAACTCCTCCGTTGCCATAGGCGGCGCTGATTGCTTACCATCAGGTTATCCGTCAGATAGTTTGCCGATTAATACATAAAAAAATACATAAATCCTTTTGATCTGTTATTATACCTAACCTAACAAAATATTGTCTTAGTTTGAAAATAAGAGATTATTCGCTGGATACTGATACTGGTAAACTTTTACGTGTTGCATAAAACGCAATACATATGCAAAAAGACATGCAAAGATAACATCCACTCTAGAAGATTATGAATTTTATTTAAGTATTGAGAACTAGCCAAACTTGGTGGTTTTACAATTGGAAATGGTAATTTTTACCATCGCCTGGTTTTACAATAGCTATATGTACCTAACAAAACAAAAAATATGCAGTAGACCACCACAGACGGAGCGCTTAAGGGTTGATGTTCAGCCGGGATCGCGGAGCAAGCGCAATTAGGCACCGCGCCCTCGGTCTAGAGCAGGAGAAGGAACGGGGGTTTTTAGTCAATAAGATTCTGGAACTCCCTCCAGCCCCACCTTGGGCGGGGAAGACATTTGATGAATTTCCGGCTGAACTTTGGACCTAGTGAACCTATAACTGAAGATAGAATAACTATAGCTTCGATTTCCTATTTGGATTGTTTTTCACATTTCCATCTTTATTACACAATTCAATCTGTATATTAATAAATTAATTTAAGAAAACCACCAAGCTCCACACTTTTATTTTAAACTTACTGCCGTTCTCAGATACATTTAATGATTACCAAAACTATTCTTTAGTACCTATCTATATAATTTATTCCAAAAACAATAGCTAAGAATTGACTTAAATAACCATTAAATGACTCTGCGTACGGCGGTAAGTTAGGACCTGCTTTGTACATGTCAAAGTCAAATCATTTATTTCAATTAGACCATTAAGTATAAGCAGATTTAAAGATAAAACATGTCAGTCAGTAGGTCAGTAATCTAGTGAAGTTGCTTGCTAGTTTCAAAGTTTAGAAGAATGAGAAAGAAATGCCATAGAAGTTACCCTTTTTCAATCGGTAATCTTTATCCAAATTAAGTTGGTTTCATTACAACCAAAAAAACAGAAAATGAAAATAACCTCAAGGACAATATGTTTAAACAGTTTCTTGCTGACCAGTCTAGACCCGATTGAAGGCACCCGATCACGAACATGACACGTAGGTACATCAGCATCGTCCAACGCAACATTACTGTAGGAAATCGAGCCGAGATCCAATGCCCGTGCCACCGCAAATGAGACTTTCGTGTCAGCACAGTCAGACAACTTTTTTTGTGAAGAGAATCATCAAATGACTTCTCTAGCATGAGGAAGTTTCAGACTGTTACTGACTAAAAACCCCCACGTTCCTTCTCCTGATCCAGGCCGAGGCCGCGATAGCCCTATAGGGCCCCGCCTGTGGTGGTCTATTGGCTCTTTGAGGAGCGCGCGGTGCGCTACGCTCCCTACGCTGGGGTATGACATCTCCAAGCTGACACTAGTTCCTTTATTCTACGAGACTGATTGTAATAGGTAATATTGTTTCCATCTACTTATGTTTCCGTTATTTGTTTTGTTTATGTAACACCACATGTTATTTCCCGATTTTCTTCACTAAAATTGGCTTTCTAATTACTCTCTGGACAATAACAAATACAACAAAAAAGATTTTTACGAAGTCGATTCCAGCTGGACAGATTTCGCTAGTTCTGCCTTCTTCAGGCCATATTTTAATATTTTAATACCTATGACGACGAATTCGTATAAACAAAACACTAACAATGAAACAATTGACACTATTAGACAAAGTATTCCAACTTCATCAAGCAATAATGTACAATTAAATTGAAATGGTCAATACGGCAGAATGGCAATTTCAAACCTAATATTATTAAAAAAAGCAAAATGGACCAAAACATTCAATATTATTGGAAAAAATGTCACCGAATTTTACGATATAAAATAAAAAAATTAAAGGTTATAATAGAAAAACATACATTCTAAAATTATGTCATACTACCTAACATTTCCTATTGCACATAACACCTCAATTTTTTATTTTATTTATAGGTTTATTATTGTTTTTACGAGTTACAAGCACGTAATATTATAATGTTTAAAATAAATTAAATTGAAAAGTATTTTGTTTAATAGATATAACATAATTTGGTATTTAAACTTACCTTCAGTATCACCCATGAACTTGTGTGCAATACCAAGTCCAGGCAGTTCAGACTTAGGTCCAGGTAGAGCCGCGGCCAGCTTAACCATGTGTCTCCTTTTGGCCCACTCAGTGATCATCCACAGCACAAAAACCAGGAGCAATAACCACACAAACATTTTGTCACTTTATTAAAACACTAGTAACAAATATACGTGCAGTATAAGGAGTCAGTTGGTCAGGAGCATGTTGCGCACGCGCGCCTTCTCGCATATCGTACTAAAGAAAATGTGCACTCGATTTATATGAACATTTTTCCTCTGTTAACGTACACCTCTCGCACTAATTCTACTCCGGCATACATCGGGGTCGCCAAGTTCATGGCGTGGTTTACAAACAACCTTCGGACCATAAGGAAGGAACGCCTATTATTACATATTTACAAAAAAAAACACTTCATTTTTTATGTCGTAAATGCATATAATTATTGTTGTGAGACTGGTGTCTTCGATGCATTTAAGATGTAGAAGGGGTCATCGTATATAAAGGTAAAGTTTAGGATGCCGTTTTTGCTAAATGTATCAAATTAGGTGGTTAGACTGATAGACTAGAAGAGCGTGATCCCCAACTGTCTATACACTATGGTCAAATACTAGGACGTGTAGATTCCTAAGTAGGTACATACTTCGCAAGTACTCTTAGTATCCTTGTTAAGAACTACGGAGCCCAAAGCATTTTTATAATATTTGGCATCAACTGATTGCTTTAGTAACTTCTGATTTTTGATCATCATCATCACCAGCCAGTAAGGGCCCACTGCTGAGCAAGAACCTCTTCTCATCCCGTGACGATTTGAAGATTAAAGACCACACTTACTCCGGCTCAAGGCAAGGTAAGTGACGCGTCGCATAAAAACTGTGAAATTATCTGTCGGCGGTGATATCTTGGAACCGAAACGACCGACAATGAATTTCTTTTGGTGTTACGGATGTCCATGGGTGATGCTGATCATTTATCATCTAGACATCCATCTTCTTGGTTGCCCCCTCCCCTCTCCCCTACTCCCCCTCCCCTACTCCATGAAAAAGATCAATCGATAGTCAACTACGACCTTTAGCCAAATATGCAAAAAACATGTAGAAACATGACTTATGTGTTTCAAAACTTCCAAAAATGGGTGCACCGGTTATCGGTGCAGTCTTGCTCTCACTTGGTTTTATGCAATGGTAAGTAATTTTAATCAAAAGTCGGCAGATTTTATGTGCTCTTTAAAATTTGTGTATAAAACTTCATTGATCCGAATTTAATTGTAATTCTTAAATTTATTTATTTTTTTGTTATGTTTATCATATTATGTGTGGATTAGATATCGATATATCGATATATCGATAATGTTTTGTTTGGTTGGTATATCTTTTCTTTTTTGACCAATAATTTAACCGGAGAACATGACATGTTATACATAACATCAATATCATAGTTTGATAGACACGCTACAAATACGACCATAAAATTGCTTGGTTGCAATATTAAAAAAAAAAAATGCAAAATAAAGGCTGTTACGCACACCGAGGAATCGTGTTTTTACACACACGCTTGTGCACACATGTTTTCCAAGACGGTTTCATATTATTGTTCCGTGCGGTTTATCTGCCTTCTGTTTTATAATCTGAGGGCAAACCGCAGCAAGCAACTTCTGTATAATCTAAAAAATACAGGACATCACAGAAGAAAAATTCTTATTATAGGTAAACTCGCACTTCCGTGTGACGTCACGTCTAAGGATATTCGTATACTGGCTGTTAATAACAATATTGAAAATTGCTCCGCCTAATAATATTTATCATGTACCCGATAATTATGTACAGTAGCAAATAGTTATATCCTTCATAACGCATAGACTAGGCAAGGTGCACTCTAATGATAGCAGTTACACTATAATTATTATTTTGTTTTACACGAAGATAATGCGTGTAGACTGCATATTAGTTTTTTTTTATATTCAAGTATGCACCTTATGATGACGGTGATAAAACATAAAATTACTTAAATTGTGTTTCTGTATTTTTTTTACATTATCTCCATCCTCTTTTTTATCTTTAGCAGACTATGAATATATACTTTGAATAGACACAAATTTTCCTAATAACTGTCCGTATCGTTATTAAGGCCCAAGTGTAAGTTTTCTTTATGTTAACGCGATTGAAACGTTACCCCGGCCAGCCTCTGATTGGTTGATTAGCTTGCAACGGGCCAATCAGGGCCGCGGACGTCATTGACGTTTCGATCGCTGCTATTTAAAACAAACCTCAGTAGGCCTGTGATCGTATCATTATGTAATATGATCGATTTATGGTTTTATTGCACCTGTTATTATACTCTGAACTTAAGATATAGCATGTAGGCGGACCATGCCATTAATAACATAGCTAAGTAATTAATAATAATTTATATTTACATAGCTACGTCGCAAATAATTATTTAATACCTATGAAGGGACTTCCAGGAACAAATTGAAATGCCGCAGAGTATTAAATAAATGGCATAGTCGGGTAACGAGCATAGCAGTTGTATGTAGGTACCTACCTACGGAACACGATGTCTTTGTCTTAAGCAACTCGAGATAATTATGAGTTTGTTAATAAAACATGGCTACTAAATTTTATCGTTCAATCAATAAAACACAATAATTATAATAAATAGGACAAGTATGAATTAAGTATGTTTATTTATTCACATTTTTACGGTATCGTACAAGCTTTTCATGTTTGGGCTAAGGAGGTCGCTTTGTTCTGTATTTAAAAAAAAACATATTGGCGAGTTTCACGAGCGCTCGCGCACGCTACGCAGTGACGTTACCGGAGGCTCAATCCTTCCACTTCATCCATCCCTCCCCAATGCCTAAACCTCTAAATACATAATCGCCAAAAAGCCGGCAACCTCCTCTAAAGTTTCTGATAATTTTAAGCGGTACTGATTATTTACCATCAGTTAATCCGTATATTATTTTTGACGTCCTATCGCATAAACAAAGCCAAAAAGTATTTATTTCTAATTAATTTGGTTTTGATATAGGTAGCTTGCAATTTTTGTAGTTATCAGTATGTAGCTTTATCTAACTATGATTTTTTATATACATGATATTTATATTGTATTGGACTTACATACATTAACGATGATGGTTACACAAAGCAATAAATAAATTACTATAAACTTATAAATAAATATAAAGTTGACTTCAATTATTACTTTTACAATACTCACACATTATGTTAGATCTCCTTTTAAATATTAAAAATACATGTGATAGAGTTAGATGACATTTAATAATAGAATGATAGATCTACGTAAATAAGTGAAACAGATATCTAACGAATATATCACACAATAAGTACTTATATAATATTTTGTTCAATACAATAATCGAATTTGGGATCTTTTAAAATACAATAAGAAGGTACTTAGTCATAATGCAGTTATAGAACTGTGACGGAAACGTGGTTCAAACTCTTTGACATCATGACGTCAATGGATGGTTGTCAAACGTTGCCTAGAGATTGTAAATTTCGTCGTGAATTGTCAACACGAGTTGGTGTAATCGGTAAGGCGTGTGGATTACACCACAGAGACCCCGAGTTCGAGTCCCGCCGTAAACATGAAGTTTTTTAGTTGATGGAAGTTTTGTCGAACTTTCTGGAATTATTTGTGTGAAAGAAATGAAAAATTAAAGAGCGAGAAGGAGAATAAATAAAATTGAATAACGAAATTATTGGAAGGTTCTGGAGGCATGACGATCAAAAAGAATAACGAAATTGAATGTTCCAGAACCTGACCGGGGGTATATAAGCGGAACTGCGGCTCACCGCTGGCAGTTGAGTTCTAAGTCCAAAGCGATTCGGAAGAAAAGGAAGAAGTGACAAAGAAGAAAAGTGAGTGAAATAGTGAAGTGCAGTGAAACAGTGAAGTGCAGTGAGTTAAGTCAGCGTGAACAGTGGGCGGAAAAGTTGTGTCAGTTGGCCGGACTCTGCTGGAGAGGAACGCCGATAACCAAACTCCGTGGACGCTGTCACTTAAGTACAATAGAAAGTCTGAAAACCGGTATTAGTGTTTAATTTCATCCAATCCCGTAACCCAAGCCCGCATAGTCAGGAACTTGACGTCAGGCACGTAACAGAACATTATAATTAGTCTCCAATTTGTAAGCCTTGTAGGTCTACGCTACGAAATCAAAGCTCTCCCCTTCTTTTTGTATTTAATGCAACTATCAAGGTGTGCCGAGTTTAGAACTTTATTACAAAGTAATAATGTTAATAATCATTGTTGCAATATTACAAAAGTCTCTAACAAAGAAAGGTTGAGGTAGGTCAATGTGTGCTACGCAAAATACGCTTACCTAGGGTCGCCAGGCGACCGGATAAAGTCGCGCGTTTTTGATTAGGTAGGTACCAGACCGGCCAAAATTAGATACAGCCTATCTGGCGTTCTAGATTTCGACATTTCGGCAGATCATCATTAACTTCACCTATAAAATTCAGTTTTCACTCGACATAAATTTTCAACAATCTTAGTAGGTAATCGGCGTTTTTTCTCCAAAATGTTAGACCAAACACGCATCTCTGGGACGACCTGGCAACCCTACACTTACCTAAATCATATTTTCGTCAGGCCATAAAATCACCCAGTCAGAGAGACATCGGCCCTCTTACAACCTGTAGGTCGGTAGCTGATCATAGCTAGTCGTCACATAACCATATCCTGAATGAAACACTAGGTACTCTAATTAACAATAGCGAAGGCTGCTTAGGGTTGTGAGTTCTCTTGATTGAAATAATTGTGTCTGAAATCATAATAATTAAGGATTAGAATATGGACAGATGTTAGAGCTTGAGAAAATGAGAAATATAGTTTGCAAGAACAAACTTTAATTCGATTAAGGACTGATTTTTCAATGGTTACATAAAAGTTACCTAGGGAATAATTATAATGCTGTCGCGCCAGACAGTGACAGCAACAATTTTATTCCTCAGATTACTTTTATCTGATAAATCTATTGAAAAATCAGATCTTACAATTGCACAATAAGTAATTACGAATACCTACTGAAAAATAAAGCAAAATTTATAAAAAAAAAGCGTGGCTCGATATTATAATTGGAGTCTCGGTGTATCGTTTCTTTGATGTGTAATCTTAATATTTAGTATACATACGGAAGTGATAGCAACCTACTTCCTATCTGTAACAAACTGCAGAAGTATCACGAGGTAGGTAGAAACTGTACGCGCCAACTGAAAGAAACACCTTTCATTATTGTCAGGCCTCGGAAACTCGGAGACCTTAAACATGCATCATACCTATAGGTTAAGGATTATTTTTTTAGAAGCCAAATATAGACGAATGAGTCTTATACACAAACAGTGAAATGATAACCGGCCTCTGCGCTGCGAACCTCCTTTAAACATTTATTTTATTTAACTGGGGTTTAATTATAAGTTATACCGATTATACCGCTAGTTACCTTATAGGTTAGTTAGTTAGTTAGTAACGCGGCTCACCCCCGCTTTGCACGGGTCCAACAGGGTCCAACTGTCTCGCTAACAATGAAAGGGTCCCTTTTCTCCAATTTTCCCATCTACTTTTCTAATATTTTCTTTCATGAGAGCCTTCGTCTGACAATAATAAATACAAAATAAAAGGATTTGGCAAAATTGGTCCAGCCTTTTTTGAGTTATGCGCTTACCAACACATTCTGCGATTAATTTTTATATTATAGAAGAAGATAAGGTTTTCGTTTTTACCCTTTGAGTAGAATGTAGAAAACATCTACTAAAATTTCGTAATTTAAAAATTAAACTGCAATCACTACGTTACACGTACTTACATAGATTATAAGTACTTACTTAAGTTGCAGGTACGTATTCTTTTTAGACAAAAAAATGTTAAAGTATTTTTAACCATTTATCTTAATAATGATTATTATTTGAACACAAACCTGATGTAGCAATGAGTAATCGAGTGCGTAGAGTCCGTTAGCAGTAAACACGGGTTTCTGATGAAGGCACTGTACAGAGAACTGCAAAGCCTTAAAGAAAAAAATACAAATTTATTAAGCATTGGTTCTTCATAGAGGAAATAAACATTTATATATAGTATATGTAGCATAATGTACAATTGCAGTTACGTGCACCTCCCCAACCTCTTCAAGGATAAAAGCAATGAATATACAAACCACTATAGATCAAGTTACCTCTGCCGTTATCGCTTGCCCGAAATCGCAGTTCATTATCTCATGCAGCAAAAACGACGTGTTACTTGCCTGCAAACATACACATTATTAACTTCCTTATTCGGTTAAGTACAGGGTCCTCTTTATTATAAGATCTAGACGTTTTTGCCAGGTACTTTACCTCGTACATCGCAAGCTCGGATACAAAGACGATTAGAACGGTTACGCCAACCGAATAGAAAATTTGCCAAGCTACGTAGATGACAAACACTACGTATCTATCTACATCTCGAAACAAGCCAGCGGCGGTCGCTTCCATGAAGTAAAACATGTACACCACAATATAGGTGAGGCAAAGAAACAGAGTAATCATGCACATGGACCCGAACAATCGATTGGTAGCCTCAGCCACTCTGTATAGCTTGCCATACATCTTCGCACATGCCCTTATTTTCTCACAAATGTACTTCTCTTGGAGGCCTTCCGCCTTTCGAGGATTAACCATCATGTTTCCTCGAGCAAACAATTTGTATTCCCAAGACTTGTGGCTTTTTATATCATCAAGCACCTTGTTGATGTAACCAAATCTGCCTCGAATGACTCTGAGGAAAAAGAAGTAGTGCGCTGCCACAATGACAGCAAGGCTGTCCGAGTAAATAACTTGGTATAACCTCTCCATCGGAATGGGCACTTCCAGATAGCTCAATCCGACCCAAATACTGGCCAATCGTAAGAAAAACACAAGACACTGTAGTATCGACATTATAAGCGCAAGATGTGCGTCTTTCCTGTAGTCTACGTTCTCGCCTACGTCTTCCAAGCTCCTGTCGACTTCCACTACAATCTCCATGAAGCGGTTGTTGATGTTCAATCCGAAGGGAATCTTCCACAAACCAAATATCACAAACAACATTGAAGATAGTCTCTCGTAATCATCGCCGTATCTTTGCACTTTCGTATTGTATAAGATTCGTAGAATAGTTTGGTCCTGCACGAAAGCTGTGTAAGTACAATAAATGTATAGGCTATACCACAAACCGAAGCAAATAAATCCATGGAAACTGAACGTCCTGACGATGGTGTTATTGGAGGTTCGGTTCAAAATAAATATTGATATTCCGATTGACTTCCTCATGAAGTTAGACAGTTGTAGAGCTTCGACAATATTTCTATACTCCCTCATCTTTATGGGCTTCTTAAAATAATTGTCCAGAGGTTTTACTTTCATGACGATAAAAATTCTCAGTTGAACGTCCGTCCGTTTTGGTGGAAACCACGCTATGTGGGTAATTGAACAACATATTTTAATCAACTTAAGAAAATTACACTGTATTAAGTACTATAGTTAGACGTAGCCAAATTATGTTTACCTCAAACCTACCGAAGGATAAGTCCAATATAATCACTTCCTGAAATTAGTTAAATGTGCTATTAGTTTAGTAGGTACCGACTGATGTGTGTGAGCGTACGTAAGTAATTTGATCAAAATGTGTGTAAACATTTTAAGTGAAACATGCTAATTTTATATCAAATAAATAAGAATAAACAATAAACTAACAAAATAAGTTACTTGATTTTTCGTTGGAATTAAGCCTATTAATTGAAAGTTCAAGGAAATTAAAATAGTGTAATCATCTCTGCCGCTACCGCACAGTTAACGCGTGAACATAAAGTTACAACTACATTTGTTTGCAGACAAAGAAAGAAAAATGTTTTAAGTTTTTATTGTTGTTGTAATGAAGTTCACTAAAAACCAAACTAGCAATAAAGTCAGTCGGTAATTATTACATAATCATTAAATGTTTATCTGATGGTATTGTTCGTATTTAAAGCAATTGTCGCGACTAAATGAAAGGAGATAAGCAATATGTATAGTGAAATCAACCTTACTAGGTAAGGAACAAAATATGTTTTCCTGTGTTTTGGCAAGGCGTACAATAAACAAATAAAAATTAGGGCCAATCTACACTACTACTACACTTTTTTGAGCGGGGATTTTCGCAAATTGATTTCTCTCTCTCTCTGTCTTCGAAATGAGACTGACAGACTGACTGACTAAAACTGTCGTGTTCCTTCTACTACTTGCATTTGCAACACTGACTTATCATCATCTTTATTGGACGGTGGGCCCACGTAAGAGCCACCGCAGACCGCTACGCGCCGTACGCTCTAGTCTGGGTTTGGCGGGGTATTGTCGCGTGATCCTCGGAACCCTTGAAATATAGTGTATCCTCCTGCGAAGGGCCGATCTACACTTTAGAACAGGGGGCCTGGTTCAGCCACGGAGCAATTTTGCATCTAATTAGGACCACCATTAGGATGTTCCCTCGTATTGTGATACGTTAAACAAACATACACATAACGCCTTGAGCCAGAACAACAGTTCGGTAGTTTCCAACTAGTCAAATTCAATACTTTTATCCAAACGTCAAAAACGATACTTTTCTATGAAATTTGTATGAAAAACTGAGTTATGACGTCATAACATTTTTGCGTCAAATAGCTAACTTATTTCTTAATTATTAGCTACAAAATATCTAAAACTTAGTGTATCGATCGATCGATTAAATAAAAGTATAGTTATTTTTTAATATTTTATTGTATTGAAACGTCGAATTAATTTGTTTTTGACCTAGGAAACTACCCAATTTGTAGATTACTCAAAGGTTCCGTGCGGGATTAAAGAATGCCACACGATGCATGCTACTGGTTCCCCTGCCACCGTGTCAACAATGTAGTCCTGTACTAGCAAATGTAAGATTAACTTACTTTGAAAAGCTTAATAAAGTTTTATATAGATTTTTATATTAGGTATATAGGTATATTTAAGGGCTGTCTGGCGGTGATTACCAACGTACCATAGCCGTTACATAGAGCGTTGCCAACTAGAGGATTTGGAATAAAACTAAACATTGGTATTCGCAGTATATCCACCGGATATTCAGTAATTTATTTCTCCTGAACGTTCACATTTACAGTGATAATCTACATATGAACATCGTAGGCATTATATTGTCATAAAGGAATATAGGCATGTTATGTACACAGGAATATTAAGGTTGACAAAATTATTTGTTGGAACTATTTATAAGCACTATACAATTTTACATGATCAGAAATTACAAGCACATTGGTATACTACTATTATAGTATATAGCTTCGCTGCGTTAGCGACATAAAACTATTTTATAGCTATATTTTGATAAATAGCTAACTAATAATGTACACAAAAAAATAAATTGTGCTCTTTCATAATCCTTAAAACAAATTATATAATATAGGGAATATTGAGAGCTTATAATATATTCTCCGTTTCTATCCTACATAACACCGTACAACTTTGATAGCCAGTTCATAAGAAGCATTCTAAAACAAATCTTCGTACCTAGCAACTAATTTAAAAATAGAACGTGAAAAATACAGATTACAACAATTTCACTGCATCAGTAACAATATTAGGTATATGTTATTAATATGGCACAAATATAGTTTTCTTTTATTACGGTAACATTGATGTACAAATATACTTTATTTATTTGCGTCCCGCATTAATTGAAAGCTTAGTTTCTGGTACATTAAGTCTTTTGTTTGGTGTATTGTGCTAGCGTACGAGCGGTGTTCAAATATTTTAGCTCATTTTCATCATTAGAAAATATTTAATTTTAGAAAGACATCGCAAAATGTTAGCATTATATCCTTATTAGTATGATTATGCCAATATTCCATAATACACACACAGATTTCATAAAAGGAGAACATTTCCAAACACTCGTACTTCAAAATAGAATACCAATAAATTATATACTTTGAATTTGAGATCAAGACAAAGAGTTAGTAATGTTAGTGAAAGGTACCAATCGCGGCCAGTATACTAACTAATACGAAAAAAAAAAACTGAAAATATTGTAAAAAAAAATGAAAGTAACAAAATATAAAGCTGCCTCTCAAATAAAATCAGCCTGATTCAATTCTCTTAATTCATCATTATACACCGACCACTCGAGGCAGTCCAAAATACTCTTTATTAAGTACCTTGGCCAGACCTGAATGCACGCTCAACATCTGAAGTAATATAATCCATATAAAACACATTTACATACATAAGAGTCGCGTATTTCAGTTTATCTGGACAAGGCCTATAGATATTGCCACACACTGCCGACGAATATTGCTGCCAACATTCTTATAGTTTACAAAAATAATATCCTACGGAATTCACGCCAGCTAATATTAAAAAAGTATATACTTTATATTCATACATTTATTGCAACTTTGTACCTACTCCATACAATTCATTTTAAAACTGGCCTCACATGTCACCACATACAACTACAAATAAAAAAGTTGCTATACATTCGACAGCATTTAAAATAGGAACGCAACGATTTTATTTTATGTACCAAGTTGTGAACGCATCTGGAATACGCCCCGCCCACTTTAATTTTACTTCAATCGTTCGCGAAAATATGTACTAATAACCTGAATGTATGGAGTTGGATATACACTGATGGTACAACATTTGATATACTTCTTATTATTATTGTTTTAAAACGTTTAATTAAAATTTTCTCTTAGACAAACTGCATAAAGCTATTAGAATTAACTTTCTACGAACTGGGATTGGACTAACTATTCTTGCGTAGCAGAATATGAAACTTTATGTAGGTTTTAATAAGTTTTTATTCAATTATTATTTTTTAAATCTACGGTCAATCTATTAAAATATCTAGGCATTATAAACATTAGGGACAAAGAAAAGTAAAGTATTGGTTATTATAAAATCGCGATGATATACTCTTACGGCTTCTTAATATTAAAAAGTATAATGTATTCTTCCAAATCGATTTTATAAATCGAAATGAGTATTCCCGGAAACCAGACGATCCAATTCGATAATGCTAACTTATGAATCAGAGATGCAGTCGATATAAAAAATAATAAAATTATCGAGATAATCACAAACCGTACTATTAGGAATCTTTTATAATACACTTCCTTTAAGCTTGTCTAATTTAAAGCTGCCCTTTGAATTCACCTATACTAAAATAGTAACTCTTTCAACATATTCTTTCGTTCGAGTAGGAAAGTAACTTTATTTATTACCTAAGTGGAATAAAATAGCTTGTTTTCATTGTAGGTAACAATTGTGTAAAGGCATCTCTTCACATAGGCAAGTAGAGTACAATTATATACGAGTAATATTTGAGACTCTGTACCAACTTATACTACATTAAACTTAGTGAAAAATAAATGCGCATAGTGGTCTTAATTTTGGTAAAGTAAAAATACACTCGAAACGATAATAAACTTAATGACGAAGGTAATGTTTTGTGATGATATCTATTCGCCTAATAATACCACTAAAATATCTCATAATAAAGTATTAAAATTGATGTTTAATGGAACTCGTGACACTAGTCGCGTGACATAATGTAGGTAATAAATAACGTGTCTAAGCTTTCATGCGAAGTGCCTTCGAATCAGGTTTTTTAAAACTATACTATTTAATTAATTGAGATGTATTAGTTATTTCGAACCATGTGTTCACTACATAATTCTATCAATAATTTCATTTAATACATTTTAATTAGACGCCGTAATATATTTAGATTATTTTTTATTATTGTAAAACGTTCCGAGTAAATATCACTTTTGATTATATTTTTTCTTAATTTCAATAATATTGAGTAAAGCACAAGTTCTAAAATTGTCACTGTCCAGTCAGTAGGCAGCGTAGGTATCAACAATGTTCGTGTAGTGAGCACACAGTCCATATAAAGGTGCTTCTTCCTAATTTCCAGAGCACCATAAAGTTTAGTAACACTTCAATATCGTTCCACAAACTTACCAAGATACCAAAGTAATCGTTCACTCAACTAAGTACACTGACCCACACTAAACAATATTCGTAATTCGTAACTAATAAAAACAATCACGCAGCCGCACCAATAACAAACACATTGCAAATACATTTTCATAAAGCTCAATTCTAATATAATTAAAATCACATCTCATTAAATATCTTTGGATACAACCAAATAAAATTATTCATTTATAGCGTACAAAAATACAAAAAATATACAAGAATGTCAAATATACGTAATTAAGGGAAGATGTGGAGATGGTGTAGAGCGCACAGTTTCGACCACCAACAGAGGGACGCGAGCACAGACTAGACACATCGTAACGAGGATATGGTCATATGGTACACTGTCTACAGTCGGGCGCGTCACTACTCGCGCCCTAGAAGTCCGTCAGCCTCTCCGAGGCGACATTGTTGTTGCAGTAGCTGAGATTCATAGGTCACAGAAGATCTTGTACGTGAGATGTGTCCAGGTTGGTGATGAGAGTTTTAAGGAACGTCATCTCCTTGCGAGCGTTCTCTAGTATGACGCGCGGGTCCTGCGACGTGCAGCGCAGGCAGTTCGGGGCAAACACCATCGCCAGGTTGGCAGAGTCCATCTTGGTTTGACTTACCACCTCTGGAGCGGTGAATTGTTGCAGGAAACTTATTAGATACGTCAGCACCTGAACAAATATTTCAAATTTAGTATTGTCGAACATCACACATAGATCGTAATAATTTTGTGCATGGTTCTATGGTTTTGTATGTGAAGTAAGTAAGTCTCGAGCAAAAGAATATCGAGTGTGGTGCCCAAATGCAAGTTAAATCTGAACGATGCTGAACTTCTTATTAACAACACACTGTTTTTTTTTATAAAAAAAAGCTTAGTTTTATCTGTTTTTGTTATTAACTATATATGTAATATTTGAGAACGATTTATACCAGCTTCTAAACGTCTGATCAACTTGAAACTTTACATACATATCAAGGACTAATGATAATACAATACTCTGATTACCTGACATTTGTAAGAAGCTAAAAATTTAATAATAACTAAAAGTTTACTGTTGCAAAGGAATATAAAATTAGTTTAAAAAATACCAGTCGATTGATGGGCGGCAGACGATGAAGGGCGCGCGTGCAAGCGGCGAAGTCAGTCCCGGCGGCGACGCAGGCTCCGTAGAGCGCGTCCGGGATGAGCGGTTCGTACAGCTCGCGGTACCACAGCTTCAGCAGGCTCGCTGGCGCGTGAGCGTCTAATCCAGAAACGATAAATAAACATGACATGTGTGACAGATTATACTGAACAAGCTGGTAACACTGACTTCGTAAAATACGTCAGGACTTCATGTGAGGATGTCAATATAATCTGTAACCGGCACCCGGAAGTACATTAAGAAACAAGTATTGTACAAATAATAAAAAAACGGAATTTATAATATCTGAGTTTTTTTAAACATTACAACATGTATCCTTTGTCTTTTTTACTCTCTACCTAATAAGTGGCTTTCCACATACCGGTCTAGAACCTGCAAGACCAGGCTTGGTTTCGAACCGGTACGGGGTCGGTGGAAAACATCGAATCACTTGTGCGTATTTTCTGTCAGGGGCTAATTTCATGTTCAATATCGATAACCGTTATTGATTTAGAATAAAAGGACAAATAAAGTCGCATTTATTTGAAATGCAAATAATTCTTTTCAAAAGCTACAACGGTTATGGTGCGAATCTACATCCTCAAGGTCGGTCGACTGCTGACAAAAATATATTCATTCGTTTTTGTGTTTACAGACAGACAGTAAATAAGACCCAATGAATGAAGATTCATTCATAGCAAAATATGTTCCTATTACCAATAAAATAAAATTTAAATCACGATAAAAACACTCACCGGTCAAAGATGAAGCATCAGGTAGTTCCCAGTTATCGATCTTGGCCTTCAGAGCATTGACTTCGTCGACATCAGCTGAGACACGGAAGATACCTTCTGTCTCCCTACCGTTGAGGGCCAGGACCTGCTGAGACAGGGCTACTTGCACCCAGGGCAACTGTCTGTTGGGAAACCGTTCCTTCTGTAACGCCATCACCTCGGATAACGTGTTCCCAAACATTGATTGTCTGAAGATTTGTATCTGAAAAACAATAATTATTATAGAGGGTCGCTATCGAGAGTTGTTCATTGATTTATTGGTTTGAATAAGAGGTGAGTTGCTGAAGTCGGTCAAAATACAAACGTAAAGCATTACTTATTTAGGACTATCTACTGGTATATGATTCAATATCGTTGTATATTATTTTATGAAGTGTTTTTAATAATTATATTTTTATCCTTTTTTCCCCTGTCTCACTCACCCTAGCTTGATCAATGTCATCGGTAGTCGGTTTCCTAGGCTGTCTCTTGCCTCCAAAGCCGATCCTCTCCAGCCGCTTGCACGCGACACCCGCGTAGTGAGATACTTGCACGTGAATTGGCCACTTGCCCACCTATAATAATACGTATTTGTTGTACAGAATGTTCCACGACGTAAATAGAGAAATTTATTAAAATAAATTATGATTTAAATTTAAAAACTATAATTGGGAGACCATGTAATGTAAAATATGGATATGAGTTTATTATGTAAATAAGAAGGTACGCCAGCTAGAAAAAAAAGAGAAGTTCACCGTTACAATTATTGTATTCTGAATATGTGTTCAAATTGGAGCTGAAGTAATTTCTAAGGGCGCTATGACGCATTTCCTCCGTCGAAAAATCTATTTGCTTTTTTTAAACAAATCGAGATAGTTTTTATAATAACTATCGTGAGACATACTAAATTAACTAAAAATCGCGGGTTACTCACGTGTAAATATTAAGAAAAGCTCTACTAGTTTCGAACCACAGAGGGTTTCTTCCTCATGAGCAGCGTGCGCGGACGCGGCGACGTCGCGCAGCCTACTGAACTAGTAGAGCTTTTATTAAATCGAGATAGAATAGTACCCTGGTCATTTGTAATTGAATGATTGGGAATATGAAGATATTACCTCTGGGAAGGCATCCGCGAAGGCGGGGTCCCTGTGCCTGTTGACGTAGTTGGTGAGCGCGGGCTGGAAGGCGGAGGAGGGCGGCACGAAGGCGAGGCAGACGGCCAGCAGCTCCCAGCCGCGCAGCAGCGAGTCGCGCAGCGGGTTCTCCGTCGTCTGACGGCACAGCTGCACGTACAGCTCGTCGCGCAGTCTGGGGGGGGCATATTGGTCATTTAGGCACTGCCACTAGCAGGCCGACTATAAATACAAACGATACGATACAAATGTCAAAAAACAATGTCAAATAACGTCATTTTCAAAAAAAAATTTCAACGTAATAAGTCTCTCTCTGAACTCATTTTACTTTACACTACTCATTGTATTTTGTTTGACAAACAAACAAAGTACTACAATGATAATTATTATTATTAATATCAATATGAAATCCTGCACTTACTTCTCATTAGAAAAAGTGGCGTGCAGGATATCTTGTGCAACAGAGTTGAGTGTCATGCCAGGCCTCGCTTTGCGGTCCCCCATGTAGATCTGTACTAGCCGGAACAAGTCAATGGCTGCTTTCTTATGTGCTTTGTCCCAATCTGCCCCCACCATGGGCGCGCTGATAGATGATGATGTCCATGAAAGAAGATCGCGTACTGATGCCTGGAGGTAAATAATATTTGTGATATTCAATAATGGTATTCAATTAAATGAGTTTAGTACTAAAATCAATGTAATAGTAATTAAGACTCAAATTTGCTAGACTATAAACTTTTGTCGGTAACATGATCCGACTGGTGACCCTTTTCGTTAGTGGCGCCCTCTATAAAGTGTCAATGAAATGCTGTTTTAATTTTATGATCACCAAGTAATACGAACCTTTCTCCGGAAGATTCCCTTATTGAAGTTAAGGTTATCCTTGGCAAAGATCTCAATATCTTGTTCAAGTGGTGGGCGTGGTGCATGCGAGCGCACGGGACTGTAAAGCGCCCCCGCGCCGTCCACTTCCGCGCCCCCTGCGCCCCCAGACGCGCCCCCACCGCCACCGCCACCCAGAGACGAAGTCTGCAGAAATTTAAAAAAAATAATTAAATAGTTTGCTTTTTAGGGACGTAATGGCTATGAAATTTCGGATACGGATATATGAATGATTATTAATTGGACACTGATATTAAATTATATCAGATTATCCGTTCGTTTCGGATAATTTCGGTTATATTAATATTTTAAGGAATTCCAACATAACGTTTCTCAATTAGGCTCCGCCCCTATTCGATTCGATATTATCCGAAACAAAAGGTTACGGTTACAGATATTTTTTTTTATATTGGAGCTCTCTAACATCCTTGGCTGGCTTTCACTTCACTAGTAGAAAACATCCCTAATTCTAATATTAGAAAGTACTTATTAAAAATGCTTTTATCATAAATCAAATCAAATCATATTCTTTATTCATAAACTGAATGTCGAATAATAAACATGAACTCACTCGATGAATGCCAGGCGAAGGTTGTCGATCTCGGTCGAATCCAACAAAGGTATTATAATATGACACCCCATGATTCATGTACTCCACGTCGACAGGCCTATGTGCGTACGAGTGAGGTAAATAAACCCCAGAGCCGTCATCATCATCCGGAGTTCTTGCGCCACCGTCCGACGACTCGTTATCCGGTTCGTGACCGGATAACGAACGGGATTCCGAGCCGGACCGGGAATGAGACCTTGATGAACCAGACTCGCCGTCTGAGCCGGAACCACCGCCGTAACGAGCGCGACCTGTTATTAAAGTCAAAATCTAAGCATTTATTTCAATTAATCCTATAAAATGTACTGAAGTCCTATACAATAAGGGTGGGAGAGCCAACCTGCGGCACGAATGGCTTGGTCGACCGGAGTGATACCTCGCAAAAAACTAACAGCGTTATTTCACGCGGCTAACTCATAAAAAAGGCTCTTTTGAAACGTCAATATTAAACTGTCCGTGAATATGTCTGTTAGTATAAACAAATAATAATACTTAAGTGTTAAAAATACAACTTATACAAAAGGATTACACTTGTAAAGTACAATACCGATTCTGATGAACTAAGGGTATAAAGAATTGAAAAATGTAGGCTTGATAAAGATGTTCCTATCTTCCTATCTTCAACCAACAAGCCTTTCAAAGACATACTACTCACTGGATAGTTTCGCCTGCTGTATGATATAGTCCTGCAGTGGCAACAAGTGCTGCATGCCACGTAAGTCCCAGTTGCAGTACAATGGGGAGCTTCCACCTTCATCCTCTTCTTCTTCGCCGTCCATTGCACCATCTTCTACTTCTACTGGCCTCTTATGTCCTGTAAATAAGGTTTATATTCGTTGAACATTAATATGGTGGTTAAATAATATCGACCTCATTACAAAACAAGGTTTTTCTTTAGTTTCAATCTAAAGTTTACACTCTAAACAATTGAGCAAGTTTTTGTATCAAGGTAGTTGAGAATAAGATTCAAATTACAAACTCGACTCAATGGAACTGAAGACTAAATATAAATCTTGTTTTGAAATAAGAGGGTATGGTTTAATAAGGGATGAATGTAAATTATGTATCGGGGAAATCTAATGTAAAATGACAGATTTTTTTTTATACTACTCCATTAGTGTTTGAATCCTTGGAGAGCGCCAAGGTTAACTAATAAGGCAGCCAACCATGAAGCACGTGTCTTATTTGTTTTAATATTTACACTCAATTTGTACCATGAGAGTAATGGCCATGTTCGATTTGAAAAAAAAATCACATATATAACCTTTTTACAATGTTTTATAACAAGTATTAATCAGTAAATGTTTACTTACGTCTTGATTTAGTACGATCCCTTGGCGCAGTAGACCTCTCTAATCTCTGATTGTGTTTCTGTACATTTGGCTCCGTCAATGGCGGTTCTACTAAGTTCACGCATTTCAACTTGTAGTTCACTAGACCAAAAAAATACATAGAATTATGAACTTTATTGTAATATCCCAGAATTCAATTTTTCATGAAAATTTATATAAACATTTTTTTATTCAAAAAACAACTTAAATACAATAAGATAAAGTTAGTTTTAGTTCATACCAGCAGCAATATTGTCCTGTTCGTTAGCAGAAGATAGCCTCATGAAGTTATGGTGCGGTTCGTGTGGCGGGGTTCGATGTTTGCTACTGCCTGATGACACTGATGTCTTGCTTGATGTGTAGCGTTCAGGCTCAGCTTGTTGGCGTCTGAGAAACGAGGACAAGGGGCTAGAATAATTAACTAACTTCTCGAATCTTAAATACAATTGGCATAGGATTTGTCTGTAACCGGGTTCTCCAGCAGTCAACAATTTATGAAATTGAGGATAAGAGACACGTTTTTATAATAAAATCATAATACAAAATACCACTCCCAAGTTACATTTATTTATGGAACTTTGTTATAGAAGTCCCATGGTGGGCGCCAACATCATAATATCAATTGCATTACGAAGAAATGTCTTTAAATCACTAATAAGACTGTAAGGTAGTGATCAGGTAGATATATAATAATATACATATTCAATTAGAAACAGAAATAATACCAAGTTATAATTAAAAAATAATGTTTTCAATCTTTACCTAGTAAAGTCCCTTGTTGGGTGCCAATTAGCGGAGGCATTGTGACGTAAATCTAGGCTAGTCTGTCTGAATGGTTTGTCCACGCTGTACACGGCCTGCTTTTCTGGGTACCTATCCATGCGTTCCAGTTCCGCTAGCCTATCTTTGTCTAAATGCCTGGAAATTAGAATAGAAAGTAATTAAAATTTATTTCATTAACATAATGCAACTTTAAATTTGAAATGAACTCAACAGCAATAAACAATACAGTAATTTCTATAAAATTTGTATGAAACACTGAGATATGACGTCATAGTAACATAGCTTACTTATTTCTTTAAAAAAATGCTAAAAGTTAGTGTATCGATCGGTTGATGAATAAAAGTATAGTTATTTTTCAATCTTTTGTTGTATTGGAACATCGAATTAATTTGTTGTTAAATTACAGCTTGAAACACACATTTATTGACATTTAAAAAATCCCAAAAACCATTCATATCTACAGAAAATAATCAAAGTAGGTATAGCATTTATTTCCAAATAACTACTAAATTTGTACATACTATGTCAGTATCACTTAGTACTACGAGTACTTACCGATCAGAAAACCTTTCCCTCGCATGTCTGGACAGTTGATGTGGTCTCTCCAAGCTGTGCATGACACGTGACCCGACGCTCGCCGCCGCGTCCGTCGCCAACGATATCGAAGACACTAGCGATGGTCGAGCTGCGGTCGTCTGGTGAAATGAAGTTCTTGGTTAGTTTAATCTATATTCAACCGGAAATCTTATAATGGTAAGAAGAAAATGAGGCATATTCTCAGGTCTAAGTCTTGCGAGGAATTAAACTGGTGACATTACTTGTAGAATGCGAACTGAATAGAGACTCATAATCATAAAAAATATATTTTGAGATGGCCATTCAATCTGTAGCAATGTTTTAAAATAGAAAGCTTAGGTAAACTTTCTTTCCCATCGAAATAATATCAATAATATTGATTAGCATGTTTACAATAAAGCACAAATGTATCTGAAGCAGACACATATTTGTAATTTGAACACAATAGAAGTGAATTTTATTTATGACAAATGTCCAATAGGCGCATGTCAAGGTTGCAAGCCGCTTTGTGCAGGACCTTACACTAAATTAGGTCGTCGTTACGCTGGTAAATGGCGTTCAAATAACTTTATACGAGACTAACTACTTTCGCGCGGTTTCACCCGCTGCTCGGCTTCTAGATCTTTGCGTGACATTTTATAGCCTATAACCTTCCTCAATAAGTGGACTAACAAACTCAAAGGAATTGTTCACAACGAACCAGTAGATCCGGAGATTAGCGCTTTCAAACAAACTCTTCAGTTTTATAATATTAGTATAGATACGCCATTTTCACTAAAATCCCGTATGTAAATATGTATATAAATCCCATGTGGTGTCCACATTTAAGTGATTGTTACACTGTAAAATTATCGTTAAGCACTTTATAATTGAAATTGTGTAAACAATGGTTGGTAAGCTTATTATAATAAAATAAATAAAATCCTTTTTTTATAAAATCTCTTGTCTTTTAAATTAAAAAAAAACGTATTAACCATTCTTCAAGGTCAAACGCCATTGCCAACAGTCGGAATCTCAAGTTGATAGTATTAATAGATCTCATGACACAATTTAAACACTGGTCTATTATTATTAAGTGGGAAAGTAGGACAACTGGACGGTCAAGTTTTGATGTCGTTTCGACAAGATTTCTTAGCGCGAATGCATACCCGTGGTATGTCGGAGCGCGGATCCAGTGTGTTTTCTATTGTTTGTCATATTGGCTATGTGCGCGACGGTGGCGACGCATAGCGTTTACAGCATTTGCGGAAGCTGTCAAATAATAACAACGCCCATAGACACACCACACTAGGTTGTCCTTTTGGGGGTTGGGATTTCAGGGAATACCTCAGGATTCATGGTTTAAGAGATTTGGATATGGTGGAAGGTGGGGGGTGAATTTGGCCACCGGTAGGCTCAATCACACGTCGCAAGCGTTGTTACAAGCCGGTACAAATTGGATTTAACTCAATTTTCATAATAATAAAACATACACAAATAAACAAATAATATAAAAACTGTACTTTAGAGCAATTTAGTATTATCTTGATGGGTTATAAATTGTAAAAAAAAGTTGAATTATATTGCTACAAACCTGTAAAAACGGCGTGGGCTGTGGTTTCTGTAGGGGACTGCTCGGACTCTGTGGCGACGCCGAGTCACAGGACGATCCTCCGGCCGATTGCTGTTTTAACTGGAAGCATTAGTATCGATCTATACGATCTATGCTACTGCTAAGTGCTAATACTACTGTTGTAACTATGTACCCAAAAATCGCACTTTGTGAAATATATATTTTGATTGTGAAATAAGCTTTTTGGTACAATAAGGCCCTGTTTCATCAATTTTAATAGCTATTTTTGCACTATTTTAAGACCTTATTCTCAACAAAAAAAAAATTAAGTATCAGCTGAGTTAACAGTAAATCATTCTGCAATAATGAAACAAGCGAAACAAGCTCTTGGAGTACCCTTGATTAAGAACCAACTTACTGTGATAAAGATAAACCTTTCATTTTACAATCATTAATACTAGTAAAAGGCTTTTGTAAGTGACTCGAGGCGCGTTAAGCGTGCTAGTTATTAACTATGAAGCGTGTCCACACAAAAATACCAGCTACATTATAATATTTACCTTTCTCCTAGTCAGTGGCGTGCTCTCAACAGATTTGAAATATTTTTCGTGCATCGAGTCATCGGATGCATCTTTCCTAGGTGATATAAAGCTGCCACTACGATTTAAACCTGTTGTGATTAAAAAGGTTTTTTTAGACAATTATATAAGACTTTTATCACTATCGTGGTTATCACACAGATATCAGCTGTTAAACCAAATTAAACGCTTTTTATTTAACCTAAAGACTTTTTTAAAGGAGGAAAATAATCGAATGATTTTTCTCGCCCTGAATGGGACAGAAGAGAGTGCACTCACTAAATAAAAGACACCTCGTTTATTCTTTTGCTTCGACCCAGGGCCGAGGGGCATTATTGCACTTGCATACGTAACCTCAGCTAAACATCAATCCTCAAATGTGTTTTATTGTTATTCAAATGTTTCAAATGTCATAGAAGTGGTGATTTTAATAAATAATATAAATTAAAATACGAATTCAAAATGTTTACCTGCATGTGGGGACCATTTCTCAGCTTCGTGTGCCTGTGCGGCACTGCTACGTTTTCTAAGTTGCGGAGTACATACAGGGGGATTACATACAGCTGCACTAAGTTCCTGAAACAATAAAATGTAAGTAATTTAATAAATATTATTATGCAGACTAAACGTTCGCAATTTCTCTTGTTGTTGCTGCAGTTGAAAAGAACTCGCGAGAAACTGGTAGTGTAAAAAAAAACAATGAAAACACTTCTAACTAATGGAAGTTCTGTAAACTAACTGGTAATCTATACTAATATTTTAAAGCTAAAGAGTTTGTTTGTTTGAGGAACTACCGCGCGAGAGTAGCTAGTCACCAATATACAGGAATAATCGAACCTTATTTGTCTACTGGTTTCAACTTAACTTAATTAATTTTTGCATTCAATGAAAATTAATAATTTATTTTTGTTGTTTAAAATAGTATTATTATGGTACTACTAGCGTATTTTTCATTTACCAATATCTTTTTCTGTAAAACCAACTTAAAATCGTTGTGTAGATGAAGCGTAAAAAATAAGAATCAAAATTTACTGTCGCTATTATAATGTTGTTTAGTATTAACATACCTGTTTCCTTCTCTGTTGTGCGCTACTAATGCTGCTGTCGGAAGAGCGACCGGAGTCCGTGTGCCGACATAGCTGGGTGGATCCATCCTCGCTTAACCTCCCGCGTCTGCTTTCACCACTATTCCTGGTTTAGAACAATATTAAATATAATATAACTTTGGTCTTCTATCACTTATTCAAACTTTCCATTCCCTATCTCAAATTTGATCCTATTAAAAACTATACCTTAAAAAATGTATTACATATTTCAAATAAATTAGGTACTATACGAGTCATTTTTTTATAAAGTAATAGTTTTTACAAAGTGACATTATAGTCGTTACGATTTCTTAACAATGTATACTAAACCCTTGCAATCGCCTGTTGAAACAAACAATAACAAACACTTCAATAAACAACAACATCTAAACTTAGATTCAAACAATGCTCCATAAATTACTATCCGAAACGAGAATCGTGTGTAATCGTTCCATTCACATATCATGAGCACATTATCGTCCTAATTAACATTATAGTAGCGATATCAAAACAAACAATGCCTATTCAAAATACGCACTATAATACTACTATGTCCAGTGCAAGTTTGTTGTATGTACGTTAACGCGTTCGACAGTTCGCTTCCAAAACGCCGCGTGTTTCGATCATGTTAACGTAAAAATAACTAGCACTTATCACTCAGTTGTATCGCAATTCAACGTTAATTAACTTTTAACGCATTGGACGTGAATGTTCTCACATACTCAATGATGGTACCACATAGGTGAGATATTTACCATAGTTTAATTAGTTAGCGACATCGCTAAGTAGTATATTCTCGCCAATTATACCAAGGAGTAAAATACTACACTTACGTGACTAGCAATGAAGGTAATGGCAGCTCTTATTGCATTGTACTGACAATGGCTGAATCGGAAAACAAGGATGAGCCCTAAGCCGAAGCCAGGCGCTATAACCCTTTTGGCGACATGCTCAGTAGTTCTTTAAGTGAAGTATCTGTCTATTCCAGTCTAATGTAGCAGTGATTTGCCATGTATGTACAAATACAAACAAAAATGAGACAACACAAAAATGTTTGATATGAAAATTCACACATGCTTCTTAATACAATACCTAGTGAAACATAATTATTTCTCACCTGTGATGGTAATGAGACCTCCTCGTTCGCACGGGACTGGTTTGCGTGAGAGTGACAGTTTTTGCGTTGCCGGGCGACAGTTTGCTGACGCTCGCGACTGTGCTGTTACCATTGCTGCTAACTGGGTCTAGTACTGGAGGCACCTAAAGCGAAAACAATTTGAAAGATTATATTGGTGTTCGGTCGCTTTTTCATCAAGTGGTATATAGTATACTACAAAAAAATTGAAATGGCCATAATAGCATGGCTATTTGGAATGTTTGCATGATCTCAAAAACTGATGAATGGAGTATCATGTGGTTTTCACCAATTTGTGGAGGGTTAGAGTTAGTTATATAATTAATGGAAACCTTTGGCTGCCAACAGAAAACTATTGAAGGCTAATTCTCCAATTTTCACTCATCTCATCAGTCACTGGTAACCTATGTGGCCATTAATGTGTTAAGCACAGTAAACAGGAAAAAATGTTATCATGAAATGTGACATTCAAGAAACACTGGTTTACATTTTATATTACTCATAGTATTCATGTTTTCATACACACAATTTCTAGGTATATGAGTATGAGTACCCTCAATTTTGTGGTTTATCATTGAGAATGTTTATCATATCTTTTGATCTGTGCCCACTCATAATAATTACAACAAAATTTATATTTATTATTCTTCACAATAAAGAACAAGTGTGAATGTTTACATTAATAATACACTTATTTTTATATGAAAGACTCCTTTTTTATTCAATAACACAGTGTAATCACTGTTTTAACCACTGACACAAGTATTGTATGTCAAACTTGATAAAAAAATTCCATAACAGCCACAAACTATTTGTCTTTCTATAGTTATTCTGTTTTAATTGATAATTATATTTTTACTATACCACAAAATTAATAAGTTAATGGATGGAACTATGTGAATGTTAGTATTTATAAGTTTTAAGTCAGTGTGTTTATAAGTAACCTTTTTCGTAAGTTATATAAAGCAATCATGGTTTAGACCAAATTCTTTACAATAGAAGTTCTCAAATACAACATTGTTCTAGTGTTTCTTTTCACTAAAGGACAAAAAGAAAACATAAATTTGTATTAAATTCTAACAAAAATATTTCAACAACTTTCCAACATAACTTAAAATTTAATGACAATTAAATTACTTCAGATCATTGACTTCAAGTAATAAAGCTTCATTCTCAAGAATAGCATTCCTAGTGTTGCTATGTTGAACTAAAATAGATTTGACCTCAATTCAGTGTGTGTTACTGCCACAAAAAATCAATTACTGCACCTCAATATAGATGTATTACTTTAACATCCTTTGGTTTTATAGGCTATGTGCATAAAACATATTGAGGTTAATTACTTTTTTAGAGATGGTATCATTACCAATGGGAATGAGTATATCACTTTAAACTGGTAGACATTTCACAGATGAGAAAAGAAACTTAAATTGAATTTAATAGTACTTTAGTTGTTAGTCTATATTGCATTGTTTACTATAAAAGATTGTTTAACTGATACATGATTAGATACTTTCATATATTTCATTACAAAACTAGATTGATAAAAAAATTATTAAAACCAAAAAATGCAAACACTTTTAATCCGTATTTAGCAACTTCAAAAGAGGAGTAGGTACTTTGAATGCATATTTGTCTAATACACAACCATTTGTAGGTAATTTTAAGAATTATTTTTTTATTTGTAATTTTGTCAGTAAGGAGTTTCTAAGACTTACCTGGGGCGCTGGCTGGTTAGTCTGTGTGGCACTCTCCCTCCTTTTTTGAGGGTCTGTATTTTGTTTCAATGTTTGTAATTTGGCTAGTGGTATGATGTCACAGTCAGTAGGCCTGTGCCACACTGTTGTCTAAAACAATAAAACATTTGTAAGGCTTTGTACACTTTTATTACTGTAATGGTTTTCATTCCTCGCTTCATTCGTCATTGTAATTACCTGTGTTGAAGCATTGTAATAGTAAAACCTATGTGTGTTGATATCAAAAAGTTCCCACCATTGTGAGGAGTCTGTACGTTTGACTTTTACACCCTAGAACAAAAGAAAACATTGCATTTAGCACTTTGTAAACATCAAATATGATTTATAATGTGGACTGAAAATAATTATCATATTATTATCCAATTAGGATTTTCACACATATGTAAAATTGGTAGATTATAAGTTTTTTATCTTTGTTATGAGGTAATGTGATTCTCAAGTATAATTAATAACTTTAATGAGTGTCAGAATGCAGTCACTGCATAAATACTGCATTACTTGCAAGATCTACTGTCCAACAATTATAAAATGAAGACTATTTAGCTAGTAGTAGTGTAATAATTGGGCCAACATCACAGTGAGTCATAGAAACTGGAATACCCCTTATCCTACAAAATAAAATTATTCAATTATTTAATTGACAAGTTATTTGAGTTCTGCTACTTCAATTGGCACATATTTCAAAAGCTCGTAAGTTAAACTAGTTAACCAACAGCAAATACTTGTCAGAAAAAAAGAACCGGCACTTACGTACGGAAGTGAATAAAAAATTGCCTAAAGTTTACCTCCGGTGGATCCCAGACGCATTCGCCAGTAGTTAGGTTAGCATACATATGCTCCTTTGTCTTCGGCTCGATTATCTCCACCCATTCCACCCTAGAATAAAACATCACGAAAGTCTTAACGTTACTGCCACTATCCTATCACACACCAACAATTTGACTACGAATTCAGGGCGTGACATTAGCGATTTCCGCGTACTTTATTGATTTTGCAACTTTCAACTACGGATATCGGAAGCAATTTGTCAACAATTTAAGTATAACATAAAAGTAACTTATTACCTTTCCGACGCCATTTTCACTAAATAACAATAACTTTTCTAAACTTCACTTACACATCCTAAACAATTATTTGACCTAAAATACGGATGAGAATAATCGGAATTTCGGAAACCATCCATGTTGAATGTTTACTTCATTGATGGGTGCGTTTGTAGTAGGGCCACAAACGTCACTTTATTAGTGTAGGTAGGTACGTAATATCTTCCGTGTAACGGAAAACATTTGTATCTATTTTTCTATTTATAATATATTTTTAGGGTAAAGTTAAACATTTATTCTTCGATATTTTTATTACAGGATAATCATTTAATCTGGTATTTAAAACATAAAGTTACCTATATATTAAATTGAAAGGGATGCAGAAAAGGACTCGTCATTCTTTGTCAAACTAAAGATTAATCAAATCAAATCAAATCAAAATCAAGATTCTTTTAAATTAAAAAGAAAAACTATTTTTACCATTCTTTATACCTATTTATACTAAACTTTGATTTCATAAAACTTTCAAAAGCTAAAATTGCATGTTTTCTTTTACATTATAGTCTATCCCTTATTTCCCTTTCAGCAATAAATGATGTAGTCCTAGCTTTATAAACATGATGACGTATCAAAATTGACTTGTTCACTTGACAGAAAATGAGCATTTTCAAAGATAGCTTTCATTGGTTAGTTGAATACAATATATGATAGGAAAAGTTTAAAAAAAGAATTGTATGACGAGCCCAACTTTCTAATTTTTAAAAAATACATGATTATTTTACTTCATTCATGCATAGAAACATTTTTGTCGACTTTTTATATTATCATGCATTTAATTATTTTTTTTATCAAGATGTCAGATTTAAGATCTGGTTAATAATCATAGCTGTCTCTGAAACACAGCAATCGGAAACATTGATCTCATTGATAAAATTTTCCTTAAGATTTGAGTTTTATTAAATATACTAAAACAAAATAAATACCAGTAAGTAAATGCACAAACATTATTAAATATAATATTCGGTTCCAGTTATCTTTTGTTTGTAATCAATGTTGCGGACTCTGACTATTAACCTTCTTATAAAATGCCGGCGGCCTAAGATTGCTGATTCATTTATTATTAAACAGTGCAGAGGCACGTCTACTTCATTTGATATTGGCCCTCAAACACTCCAGCCATCTAAAATAGTTAAGGGTCAGTAACTATATACTAGACAATAAGTTTTCATTTGTGCCAATATTTTTCTTTAGATTGTTGTGTAAATGTATTATTTTTTTCATATTTTAGCAATGGCTGATGATAAATCCCATTTCCTGTTGCCAAACAACCAAAGATTTGTGGAGTTGGACAGCTCCCAAGCATTTAACAAATTAACAGACAATGAAAAACTGTATGCTCACTACTTGAGTCAGGTTAGTTGTACTATTTTTCCTTATGGCACTGCGTCTTATTATGGCTACTAATAGTTTGTTTCATTAATTTATAAAATTACAAACTTGTCATTGACTATCTTCCTATATTTTTAACTAGCTACTCTTACACAGTTTCACCCGCTGCTCGGCTCCATTTGATATTAGTGTGATGTTTTATAGCCTATAGCACTCAGGAACATTGTAGCTATCTATCAGTGAAAGAATTTTGGCAATCTGATCACCGGTTCCAAAGATTACCCCCTACATACAAACTTTCAAATTTTACCTCTTTATAATATTATATTTTTAATAATGACAAAGAAGTGCCTATGTGAAAGAATGAGTAGGTACATTCATTTTATTTTAATTTGAAATTTATTTTGCTGTAACAAGCAAAACAACACAAAAATACAAATAAAGTCTTTATTATAAAATCTCATAAATGTGATTAACAACAAAACAATTAAATAACTCGAAATGAATTTATGTTTCATTGATAACCTTGTATGTAATTTTTTTGATGTAATGAGCAAGAATGAAAGCAGTGTATATAGTATAAGAATGATTTTAAACATATGTTAAATATCTATTGTCTGCTTGAAACTACATATATTATAATGTTAGCTATTTACATGGTTACAAACTGCAGCATTCTGAAGTTATTTTCAGCACATATCTGTAATAAGAATATTAAGAGATAACTTGATATTGTAAGTCATGAAGCTTTAATCTGTTAGGTTTTCAAAAACTAATATAATGTTGAAAAGACAAGGGATATACATATAAATTCCTCTTTAAAATTTTAGGCAGCATGGAACGGTGGTCTTATTGTTCTCATGCAGACCAGTCCAGAGTCTCCCAAGATCTTTTCTCTACTGCACAGGATTTTTTCCATGGAATCAATTCAGTCATTGAGGGAAGCAGCCAATGAACAGGGTGTTAACAATGATGATTTTCAAGTAAGAACCTTTTTTAATATTGAAAACACATCTATATATCTCTATCTCTATACATAATGTATGTTGTAAAAATTTGTAACATGCAGCATGTGAAATATTAAGATAATATTTTTAAGAAAAAAATACCTTAATATACTTAATCATTAGTATTGTTTTGTGTCACTACAGTTTTGAACATTCCTACAATACTAGTACCTACCTTATGTTCTAATTAGAAAAATAGAACTGATAAAGTTACCACATCCTTTGTAATAAAAATCAGAGTACTATTTACTATTTTGCGGTTGAAAAACATCCTCCTATAATTGATTGCAATGTTGTGGTTTGCAGGCATTTTTAGTGTATGCTGGTGGTATTTTTGCCAACAGCGGTAACTACAAGGGTTTTGGTGATACCAAGTTCATTCCGAATTTACCTAGCACCTCTTTTGAGCTGATTGTAAAGGGGTCGAAAGCTTTCGACGATGATGCCCAACATATGATGAAGCTTTGGCAACAATGTGAGAACTTTATCTATAGCATTGCTCCGAGACTCACTCGTCTCGGTTTGGCTGATAAGGTGAGTAGATAATGTCTTAGTTGGTATGAAGTTTTATTGCTATTTTCACCCATTTGTACTTGCATTTTATCTTGAAACTACAAACTATTGTTATTAAGTTGTTTTATATCTATCTTCATTATTATGCAATTTATGTTCTTGAGTTGCTCTTTTTAATCAGTAAATGATGATAATTTTTTCAAGTCTAGTTTGTTTTCGCAAAATTTAACCCTATGTGCACCTTTATAGTGTAATGAAGACATGATAATTTTCAGGGCGTAACAACTTATTTCTCCAGTAACGTCACAGAGGAAGATTCCAACTTGGTTAATGATTGGATGAAAACTAAACTCATTGAAGCTTACATTTGTCGTACATTCAAAACTAAGGCGGAAGATGGCTGTGAGTATTGCTGCTTGTTTAATTTTTTTTAAATCTACAAGTAGACAAAGCAATACAAACTATTTGCTGTGCCCATCAGGGTCCATGATTGCTACTATACATAATATTACCATCTTATCTTACATTGTGGATGCAATAAAGAATTATGATTATGATTATGATTATGTCAACCTACATACCTTACATATCAATATGCAACCAAATTAACTACAATCCCCATAATTTGTTGTCTATAGTTTTTAAAAGTTAAGTACCGCTATTGTAATTGTCCAACAGTACCACTGTATACCATCCATTTGGCCAGCGTGGAGTCTGCGCCGAAACCTCCACTTACGATGGCTCCAGAGAAGTACAAGGGTGCATACTTCCAAGTAACTCGTGGCGACTACTCTCCACTCCTCAAACTTGTGAACGACAACCTGATGAAGGCCAAGGAGTATGCTGCAAATGACAATGAGAGGAACATGCTGGAACATTACATCAATAGCTTCAGGGAAGGAGATCTGAGCGAGCATAAGGAGGGCAGTAGATATTGGATCAAGGATAAGGGACCAATTATTGAAACGTAAGACATTTTTGGACAATCCTAGGCTATTACACAATTTTGAGTATTATATTTCATGACATCAACAAGGCACTATATGAGCTGCCAAAATAACTCGAAAAACCGCATCATCTTAATTTCGGTTTACGTCTCATGCCAAAAAATAATGCAACTTTAGCATGACTCCACAAAAATTTCCAACATGATAACGAAAAATTGTAAATAAAATTATTAATCATTGTTTTAGATATCAAGGATTTATCGAAACTTACCGCGACCCTAGCGGTCAGCGCGGTGAGTTCGAAGGTTTCGTTGCCATGGTGAACAAGGAAATGTCCAAAAAGTTCGGAGATCTCGTCGACGGAGCCGAACGATTCATCAAGTTCCTGCCTTGGGGTGAAGACCTCGAGAAGGACCATTTCTTAAGACCTGACTTCACCAGTTTAGATGTTCTAACTTTCTCTGGAAGTGGCATCCCTGCTGGAATTAACATTCCCAATTGTATGTATATTTTTCATGGGATTTTTATTTCTGGGTTTATCTGTTCGCGATTGTTCCATTACTTTTCGCTGTTAACATGTGAGAAGAATTAATCAATTTGCTCTTTTATTACAGATGATGAAATTCGTCAAAACGAGGGCTTTAAGAACGTATCCCTTGGCAATGTAATCCCGGCTGCGTACAAAGAATCCGTGATTCCATTCCTCTCAGAGAAAGACAAGGAGTTATTGGAGAAATACAGGGTTGCCTCATTTGAAGTAAGCATTATTAGTCTTTACTGGCTTTGATAATGAAGTAAAATTTAAAATACACTTTATGCTGACTTGTCTAAAATCATATTTATATGCCTTTAAATAGGGCTGAATTTTATTTGGAACTAATTGTGTTGAATTAACTAAAATTCGCGGGTCACTCACGTGTAAATGTTGAGAAAAGCTCTACTAGTTTCGAACCACAGAGGGGTTCTTCCTCATGAGCAGCGTGCGCGGACACGGCGGCGACGTCGCGCAGGCTGCGCGACGTCGCCGCGTCCGCGAATAACCCCTCTGTGGTTCGAAACTAGTAGAGCTTTTCTCAACATTTACACGTGAGTAACCCGCGAATTTTAGTTAATTTAGTATGTCTCACGATAGTTATTATAAAAACATAATTGTGTTGAGTTAAATTCCTAATGCCATTCTTTTATATGCATAGGTACAAGTAGGATTGCATGAACTGCTCGGTCACGGCAGTGGCAAGCTGTTGATGCAGAATGCTGACGGCACCTTCAACTTTAATAAGGACTCCGTTATAAACCCTCTTACTGGTAAGATAATGTTATTTTTCTCAACACACTTCCTCATAGTGTCAAAATCATAATGACATATATCACACTGACTTTTTCATTACGATTATACTCTAGTGAGTAGCAAATTTTTTTTTTATAATATTGGTTGAGTTACTCTCACACTTGCGCTAAAATGCTATCCACGAAAAGCGCAAAAATAATATATAATTTTTTAGCCTATGGCCGATGCGCGCGCATAGGAAAGCTGATAAATTTTTCCCGCCATTACGATAGATTTTTCACAACTCGTCCCAATTTCCTTTTTTGAAGTTATTTATTTAAGTATTATTTTATTCAGAAGTGTATTGAAAAACGTCGTATGATACACATGTTTATTTATGAATACCGTCCTCGGCTCCTTGAGACCCTCGCCTGACGGATCGGGCCTCTATGCGCCTCTGCGGTAGTCACCAACTTTACATAGATGTACCAAAATGTACTAAATTTAGTATGATGTGTAACATTATATTTTACTGGCAAACTGTAATGACTTAACTTCTGCTAATTAATATAAGAGGAAACCAAGTTAATTTGTCCAAATTCTTACATCTAGTTATAATCATAATTTAATTGACAAAACAACGTTTGCCGGGTCAGTTAGTATACATTTGTTTCTTGTCGCAGGCAAACAGATTGAATCTTGGTACTCTCCGGGCGAGACTTATGACAGCAAGTTCACGACCCTCGGCTCTGCTTTCGAAGAGTGCCGCGCTGAAGCCGTCGGATTATACCTCTCCTTGGTGCCAGAGATTCTCAAGTTAGTATACAGTCAACCTGACGGGTTCATTGATTACCTATAAATTGTAAGTTAACATATCTTTTGACTGTACTGCTTACTCAGCGGCTGTGCAACTGGCTACTGTGATGTTATACATTTTAATTTCTACGATAAAACCATTTAGCAGTTTTTGCATTATACATTATTGGACATGAAGTAGAAAAGGGCCCATTTGTAAGTGTGGTGTTGACATTCCTCCCTCATGTCTACTCCCTAATTTTTCCCAATTGCACACACTCAAAAACCATTCAAAATCGTATCATGAAAAAAATTGGTCAACACATTTTTTTTCATAAAGCATAAATTACTATCATAATTTTGTTTCGTCATTTGTTTATAATATTTACGAACTAATCTTATATTCTAGAATCTTCGGTTACGAGGGTCAGGAAGCGCAGGACGTGACCTATGTCAACTGGTTGAGTTTGCTGTGGAACGGCGCCGCTAAAGCTACCGAGATGTACCAACCCAACACTAAAACTTGGCTTCAGGTACCTATTACTACTATATTCTAATGTTTTGTGTATAATGCAAATTCCTTATTTATAACCGATGAACTAAATATTCAAAATATATGTAAAATCTTGGAATGTTGAAATTATAAATTACCTTCTTAAATAAACATCGACGTTTTTAATAACTGCATATTTTAAATTCAATAAGCTTTATAATGAGGAGACAAACAGATATCTTAAACCAGAATCTTTATTAGTCTCCTATATTCCTACTAAACTACGTATCATATTAATACATCTCTTGTGTTTAGGCGCATGCCCGTGCTCGGTTCGTGCTGATGCGTCTGCTGGAGCTAGAGGGCGAGGGCATGCTCACCATCACGGAGTCTGAGCCCGGCAAGAACCTCCTCCTTACTCTGCAGCGGGAACATCTCGCCACTCGCGGCAAGAAGATCATTGGTACCTACCTAATTTATTTCATCTTTTTGTGTTTTCGTTTTGTTTTTCATAAACCTACTGAGCTGTTTTTGCTGCTGCTTCTATTGAGTATTATATATTATATTTAGACCCAAATCATGTTAATGAAACACATAGACACAAAATACAATCGAAACTTCCTAAAATAGCTTTTTAGAACGTTAGAATATACCAAAAAATCAACATCTTTTTTTATAAATATCAAACTCCCGCGCTATTTTCAGGTGATTTCCTGGTGAAACTCCAAACTATTAAGGCTACAGGAGACGTGGAGGCTGGAGAAAAATTGTTTGATAAGTACAGCCGGCTCGACGAGCCCTGGAACCGCTGGCGCGACATCGTCATGATGCACAAGCAACCGCGCAACATCTTTGTGCAACCAAATACTGTTGTCGTTGAGAGTAATAAAGGTAAGAAGTCTACAATTACTGTGAATACTCAAGTCATAGTCGATACGAGTGCAGTTCTGAATTCACCCAGACAGTCTAGATTTCAAAAGTAAAGATTATCTGTTCTTGTCTATGTCTTTCCAAGATATTGACAAAGCACAGTTCACTTTGCTTTCAATCCACTTATTACAGACAACCATTCTATTAATAAAACGTATAATTTCCACAGGTAAACAGGTAGAGCTGAAGCGCTACCCAGCCACGGCGGAAGGTATGATCACATCCTGGGTAGAACGCTTCCCTTCAACAGACGTGGACGACTACTTGGAAGAACTAGCTGAGAAGGATAGCGTACACTTCCGTGACCTCAAGGCTATAGCCACCGTGTAATTACTGTAATACGCATAATAAGTATTGAATGTTAAATATTGTATACTCCCAGTGGTACTAACTTTAAATATCATATAAATATTAAAACATATGCAAACTTGTATACTAATTTCTTGTTTTATTTGATAACTGATGAAAGAGATCTTGCAGGGTTTGACAGTTGAATGCAAATTTCATTTGTAATAAAGGCAAAACTCGATAGAAACAAAAAATAACAAAAAGCTTTTAGTAGATGGTTGTATTTTTATTGGGATAGACCTCATACAGCCTCCCAACACCCCTGCGACGCCTGTGAGTCAAGATCTACAGTAGAGACTCACCTGATGAAATCATATAAATATCGTATTGCCATACTAAACTTTCAGATTATATAATGGTGTACTGAGAGCATCCTAGCTCTTGTGAAGTGCTCAGTAGCTGGGCAACTGGCTCGGGTGATACGACCACAAATTTTTGTTTCGGGTGAAATCACTAATAATACAGGACAAATGACAAAACACATTTTAACTATATAATTTATTCACATTCAATACAAAACGTGTGTGATAGCAAATTTAATATCCATCTCAAGAATCACAGTTCCTATGTCACCGCGGTAACTATGTCTAAAGAGAAATATTAAAAATCATCACACACCAATAAATAATTTTCAATTCTAATAAAAATAATAAATAGATTCGAAATTACAAAGATGAACGGATTTGCGTAAAATTATTGCTTTTATAACACCACTGTAACTAGTCACTCCTTTCAGCAAATGAATTATGACAAACGAGTTGCGCTCCACCGCCGCGTCATGTACAATACTAGTCGAGTGGAACAAACGGCAGCGACTTTATAACAATACATTTAAAACTGAAAACACTATTGCTAAAAATATACACGTTTGTGTGAGTCTATAACACGTCCGGACTATACATAGTTATCCCTAATGAAATCGTCTAAGCACCATTCTATTCGATAACTGTTACGTCGTGACTTAGCATCCAATACTATAATGATTATGATAAATATTTAAACTTAAATTGACTTAGGGTCACATAAAAAATGTAAATTGATAGTAACTAAGAAAAAATATAGTTAATAATGTTGAGTAAAACGTATTTGTGCAAACACACTCTAAAATTTGTGTCATTTTATATATTTCAATAAAATGGACTATATCAAATCCAGTCACTTATGTTTTATAAAGGCACATAAGAATAAATTTACAATAAACACTTAACAAAAAGTTCACTCTTGCAAAATATATTATTATACTTCTATAGTCAATCGCATATTTTAACAGTAACAAAATGGGTTCAGCTTGGAAAGCCGTATCAAATATGCGGCTGTCGAGCACCGCGCTTTAGAGAAAGCCAACAAAGTTGATATACAATAATACATATAAAATTGATTTATAAATACAATCTCATATAATTTGATGAATCTGTGTGACACTATCTACACATTATTTATAATTATTTTGATTTGATACTCTGATACGCCTTGGATTCGGAAATGCTCAAAATACACTTTTATTGTTGCATGACTTATTTTATGAAGTCTGTGAGAGATTCATTGCAATATTATCTAAATTTGCCACTAAAGACAGTCTTCTGTCGGTGATGAGATTCTATTAATTTACACGAAATCTAGAGTACGTGAGTATAAACTACGTTTGGCAAAATTATCGATACAGCCCCAATTAGATCATCACTAATAAGACTAATGATATTGTAAATAAGTTATAACAAAAACAATGAAAGCATCAAGTTCCATCAGATACGCCTACACCTACAGTGTCCTCGCAATAAGTTTGTAGTTAATTGTCAAAAATGCTTATATAAATCACAAAATGAATTTGCATCCTGCACAATCAATAATTCCTCTCAGTCAACTTTCTCAGAGCATTCTGCACCGTCGCCTTCGCGGTCGCCTTTCGGTGAGATATTGGATCTGAAACATTACACTTGCGTTATGCGGTTGGAAACTTCATGGTCTCGTTCCTTCTCGTTGTATTGCTCTGCGATGTGTCAATCAATATAATGATAATAGTGCATATTATATATTTCTGATATTAATTCTACTGTCATGATATTGAACGTTAAGTGATGTCGATAGCTGTTGTGAAACTGTTTATAGAGTAACTACGAGCAATATCTTTGTGGACTCATTAAAGTGATTTATTAGATCTACTATCTACAGTTGGAGGCATATTTTACATATTTCACAAAACTTCGTTTGCTTATGTATAGGAAGTAAAACTTTTTAAAAGCATTAGTGCTATAAACTTTAATTCGGAAGCGTGAAGCGTGCACAGAATAAAATCGTATTATCTTTCACTTTGGGAGAGTTATTTTGAATTATTTACGTGACATGTAAGTACAAAAGTATACACACCTTGGCAGTGTTTCCTTCTCAGTGTCGGGTTTCCTTGTCACGCTGATTGATATTTTTTTTCTTTGCCTTATTTTTTCCAATATATTTTCCGGGCTCGGTTCTTTTTCACTCTCTTTCAAAATAATGGCAGAATTGCGAGTGGTTCTCTTCGGTCTATAAGTAGCATAGTTACCAGGTGAATACATTGATATGGTTCTGTTGTATTTGTGCGGATCTCTCAATGAGTTAACGAGGCTGTTATCCTCCGCTGCATCGCAGCTGTCCAAAAGTGATTTCGTTCTCGAGTACCTGTTTGCAGTGTATGAGGACGGTTGATCGTAATCTAGATAACTTCTGCTTCCCGGATATTTCCTAAAGTCGTTGCGATCGAGAGATCTATAAGTATCAATTTTATCATTCAGTCCATAGTTTTCAAACCTTATGTTACTTCTGGTGTTAACAGGCAGGTCAGTTAAAAGAGATCTATAGCGTTCCGTGGACGGCGACAAGTCAGACGAGACGGAAAGCCCTGGGGATATTGGAGACAAGTCGTAGGTAAGTGGTGATGTCGGCGACACGTCGTATTTAGTGTCAGTCGGTTGAGCGTGTATTCTAGCAACCGGATCGTACTCAGTTGCTCCAGGGCCTACTAAACTACTTTTTCTTCGCTGCTTCTTTTCGTTGAATCTAGAATAAAAGCTTTTCCTACGTATTCTGTCGACAATGTCTTCTTTTTCCGGCGTAGTGGAATCGTGACTTCGTAGATGTACTGTGGCGTGTTCTGAGGGTGACAGGGTTCTATCTGGTAATTTATTATCAGCACTAACGTCAGACTTTAACTCGGAGTTTGAAATAGTTGACCTACTTCTCGACCGGCTGCGACTCTGTGATTCATTGTAATCAGTATTTAAGCTACTGTCTACTAGTATGGCATTCTTTTCTGGAATATCTTTCTTTTCAGTCTCACCGTCAACAGAGGAAATATTCATAATTTGAGGTTCTATCACAGGATTAGTAGGAACTATTTTCTTAACTCTTGGCAACCTAGAGAAATCTAATTTTAAACTGTTTCTTATATTGGACTTGGATTCGTTTTCCTTTTTGGACACAGATCGATTACTATCGTTGTCCGTGGTTAACGTGGAGACGCTGTCACTAGACGTTCTACCATATTTACTTTTGCTTCCGACTCCATTTAGAAGCAGGGAGGTTGGTCTGCGAGGTTTGTCTTTATCCAGACTGTCCTCATTTGACTCAGCAGTGTTGGATTCAGTATTCCCATTAGTTTCAGTCTGGGGTTCAACACTTTCTGACAGTACTTTTTCAACAACTGGTTTTGATCTTTCCTTGGGCTCAAACTTTTTAAATAGTCCTAATACTTTGGAAACTGTAGTTTTGGTTGGAGGTGTATTCTGTGTTTCTAAAGCGGCAACATCAGTCAGAGTGACAGCTCTTTTAATAAGATTTGACTCGGTCGTAGGCTCCACATTGACTGGCACAGATTGCTCTCGTTGCAATCTGCTTAACTTGGAATTATCTTTTTTCGTTTCATTCCTTGTATTATTTTCAGCGCTCTTTTCAGGTGAGCTAGATTTATTAGACGCAAACTTTTCTAACTTATGACCTATCGATTGCAAAACTGATTTCTTTTTTGTGACTGTTGTCGATTTCGTAGCATCGTCATCGGCAACCTTTTCTTTTACTTTTTTAGTGACTTTCTTCTTTTCCGAAGTCACTTTAGCATCACTCGTATCTTGGTTGGTTCCCATGTCAGTCTTAGATTTCGATGAAACTTTCCTAATGATCTTTTTCTTAACCGTTACTTTCTTTTCGGGTTGTTCGGTGTCACCTGTTTTTGTAACTAATTCATCCTTTTTCGTCGACTGATCAGTTGTCGTATGTTTAGCGTCCCCGTTGGAAGTAACTTTCGTTACATCAACCGATGGTCCACCATTGGGAACTATTATACTGTTTTCTACTTTCACTTCTGGCGCTTCAGACTTATCATTTTCTCTATTTTTGATTATACTATACTTTTTCAAAGACAAAGTAGCGTCACTAGGCTTAGATTCTGTTTCCGATTTAAATTCGGCATTATTTTCCAACTTTACATCATTTTTCACTGGGTCAGGTTTTGTCATTGCCTCAGGCTTTTTCCTAGGCAAAGTAATACTGAAGCTTACTTCTACATCGGACTTGATTTCGGGATTAACGGGCTCGTCTTTTGGCGAAGTTTCTTTAGAATCTTCTTTCTTAACATTACGACTAATATAAACTTTTTCAGGCGACGGACTACTTGCAGGGTAACTTTTTGGTCTTATTAATTTTGACTCCCTCGGCAAGGACCTCTCTTTACTATCATAATCTCTGCTAAATGAAGTTTCAGGTAGTACATTTTCACTGGGTTCATCTATAGAATCTAAAGTCTTTACGGGATAGCTCTTGGGTCGGATTAACCTGGAATCTTTACTTGAGTTTTCATCAATAACAGATTTTTGTCGTGCGCTCTCCAAACTAGTGTATCGTTTTGAGTTCGACGTCGATGCGGACGAATCCACAGCGGTTTCTTTGATGTTATCGAGCATTGGGAAAAACGGAGTGTTTGACCTACTACGCTCCTTACTAGTAACAATCCCAATAGGCGACAGAGACTTTTTAGGAGGAATGACATCGTCCCTGAATGCTGGTGGGGCGTCGGCTATGTCAGTGGGACTTTTTGCAGCCGCTGCTTCTTGCGATTTGTTTCTTTTTTCTCTAATCTCTCGTAAGATTTTTTGAGTTTCCAATTCTCTTTCTTTTCGATGGCGCTCGTAAAGATTTTCGTCTGGTGGAGAGTCAAAGAAGTCTGAACGAAGGAACCTCGAAACGCGACGGCGTGGTTGGTCACCGCTACCCGCACGCAATGAGTGTCGCCGCAGCCCCACGCCCGCAGCTCCGGCCGCCGTGTTGCCGTACGATGAAGTGTAGTTAGGCTCCGAAGTGCCACTGCCGCCATCCGACCCGTATGACTCATCTAATGAAAATGTTCGCTCCGGAGTCAAGTATTTACTGAGTAGTGGTCGCTCGCGAGGTCGCGAGACGATGGGCTCTCGGATGAGTGAATTAGGCGAAGGACACTCCACGTCCACCGCAGCTAGGATCGGAGTCACCTCTCGCGAGCTAGACCGTCTTCGCGGCCGGGGAAGTGTTGAAAACTGAGGTGCAGCGACGTCCATCAGACTTTCCTCTTTAGTTTCTTTAACGATGTTCTGATGGTCAGTGGTCGGCAGAGGCTCTTCAATAGGAGTAGTCGGTTCGCGGACCCCAGGGGGCGTGGGCGCCGCGGGTGGCGTGGAAGCTTTCGGCGGAGTGGGGGTCGCGACGGCGTCGCATGGTTCTGCGGGTGCGGGCGGCTGGTCGTGGTCGACGGAGAGCGAGCGCGCGGGCTGGGCGGAGACGGGCGCGGCGGGCGGCGCGGGCGCGTGCAGCGACAGCGTGCGGCGCAGCTGGCGCGCGGCGGCGGCCGGCAGGTGGGCCAGCAACTGCCGCTGCAGGCGCCGCGACAGCGCGGGCGTCAGCCCCGACAACGCGCGCATCTCGCGCTCCGAGAACTCTATCGAGCTCAGGTCCAAGTCCGAGAGGTCTAGTCCGCTTTCGACGTTCGATTCCGAGTTTTGTTGGCCGGTACGGTGCTTACCGGTTTTCTTATTACTACCTGAAATTTAATCGAAAAACACACGTTTCGATCATGCAGAACGCTCGCTGTCATGGACTATTTACAATGTCGATTTGGCAAATCTGACTGGCGTCCGCTCGTCGATCGATAACGAAGGGAAACTACGAGCGGAACTTCCTTGTTGGATCATTATATAGAGATACGAATACAGAACTGATGGGCCCTCGTGTGCCCGGAGTGAATTCACGAACGATGCAAACATCGATGCGATCAGTTAAAAGTTAATACATAGTCTACAAATACTAAATACTGACTAGTCAAATTAGATCAAACGGTAAGCTTTAAGAATGCGAAAACAAATCACAAAAGAATGCATTAAAATGTTGCTTTTGTTGGGATAGTAATTGATCAAATGCGTTCTAAATTATGGCTTCAGCGATGTATTTCACATAGTAGAGGCATCTCTAGATCTGTAAACAGCCGCGGCGCACCGTGCGGAACACAAAACACATAAATGAAGAAATAAATATAGTTTAGTACCTATTCTTGTGTGGCGTTTGTGGCAGATTTGTGGTTGGCGCTGGTGCCGCTGTGAAGTGAAGATTTGGTCGGAGCATGCAGTGTAACGCGCAACCCAACTGCAACCACACCAACACAAGCTCACTACGCCGCCGCCCGCCGGCGCCGCAGCGCCCCGCGAGCTACGCCCCGCGAGCTACGCCCCGCGAGCTACGCCCCGCGAGCTACGCCCCGACATCGAGTGCTACCAGTCCACTAGCTACACACTTATATGCCGAGCCCGCTTGGCGAACAAATCAATTAACTGTCAGGCGCGCAATATATTATTGCTCAATCTTTGTACCCCACTGAAATTCTCGATAGTTGAAAAATAAAAAAATAAATTGATGAATTGTACTATTTAAACAAATGTACTGCAGTGGCACAGGAGATGCGACATGTGAAATGTCATGTATGTACATTTCATGCAACGCTACTCAAATAACTGAATTTATGATAATCGAGAGCAACGCAACATTTTCCTGCTAGTGTTAGCGGGTAGGAGAAAGTCAACACCTGCACAAAGAATGCAATTTGAATACAGTAATACACTACGATGCAAAAATGTTAACTTTATTAATTAAAACAATGTTAATGAACTCTAAAACACGATATATAATGGACTATGGAGGTTTGCGCGCCGTCAGTGCGACTGCGCTACCTAATAGTCTATCATATATGGACATTGATGTTAATTGAAAAGAAAAACAAAACAAAACCGACGGTGGAAAACGTCGCTAACATCGGAGGCAACAGTTACTGTAGTTCGTTGGTGGCGTAAATTGGAGGCCGGGCACTTCATGGAATGGTTTGATAGTTAATTTATTTGTTTTAGTGAAGCTAGCTTTCTTGTGAGTGTCGTTGACCGTGCGAGGCGCTAACTACTTGCGAGTTGCAGTGCAACGGTGACGCGACGACCTTATTGAAGTTTAGGTCCCATACAAAGTTTGTCAGCATACATAAATGAATGTGGAAAAGATTATCAATTCAAAAAAAAACGTTTTTATAAAAAATGTTCGATCACAGCAAATGCTTAAAAAAGTGACACATACCTAGTTAAAAAAAACGAGAATATTAGCAAAAACTGCTAATTTAAAGATTAAATCATTCATTTCTGTCGGCATCTTTTTATTTTATATTGGCTACTCGTAGTTTCTCAAATCAAAACTTTGTACATTAACATTTTACGTAGTGTGTTTTATTCATTTGTGAGATACTTATATAAATTCAAATCAGTGACATTCTAAAATTGCTATACTGTGCTATATATCCACAAGAAGTAGGAGATGGGCTGATGACAAATGTGGATGGAACCTTTAATTTCATTCCATGTAAATGAGTCTACAACACATATTACATGAAACAAAAACCACTTCGAATAAGGATCAAATTATGATTGATTTGCATGCTGCTATGCCAAACAGAATTTACAACATCAAGTGTTTATACAAAATAATTTGGAAACTTTGGTTTTCTACATAAGTAAGTGAAACTTGTGCAATTATTTCGTGTAGTAGAGTGATATCAATTCAACAATTTGTTTGTCTTAGTGTAGTTGAACTAGGAAAACTTATTCTATTAAAAAATGTACAATAAACAAATTATAGTAGGGATAATAATTATTCTTGATAATAATTGAGTAAAAAAATATATGCAAAAGATATAAGACATATTCTTGCAAAAATTGTATGAAAAATTTTAATTAATTTTGACAATTCTGAGATTTATAAGAGGCAAAATATAAGAATTTTGTAATGTTTTGAACTACAGCAACAAATGCGTGTGGCATGCGCTAGGCGTGCGTGTGCAACGTTTTCCCCGTGCGTGGGAGCAGGCGGCACTAGGGCGCTAGGCACTAGGGCGCTAGGCACTAGGGCGCTAGGCACTAGGGCGCTAGGCACTAGGGCGCTAGGCACTAGGGCGCTAGGCACTAGGGCGCTAGGCACTAGGGCGCTAGGCACTAGGGCGCTAGGCACTAGGGCGCTAGGCACTAGGGCGCTAGGCACTAGGGCTCTAGGCACTAGGGCGCTAGGCACTAGGGCTCTAGGCACTAGGGCGCTAGTTGCAGGCGGTGCTAGGCGGACTCACCTCGCGGCATGTGCTGGCGCGGCTTGAACATCGACTCGAAGCCCGTGTGCATGTCTCGCGGGCCCCAACCTTCGCGTCTGTGGTAATGTTACAATTATTATTCAACCATCATACAATTATTGTTTTACATATAGTTTATGTCTCACTAAAATTTATTCGAATATTCTTATTATCATCGAAATTTTGTTTGCATACGTAAATAGTCAAATATAAATACATATTTAAAACTTACGTTTCGGAAACACTTCTTTTACTTTCCACATATCTATGAGTGCTGCGTGTAATAATAATAATAAAATATTTTCAAACATTTAGGTATAATTAGACCATGTACATCAGCTCATACAAAATTTAGAAATAAGGTCAGATTAACAACTATTATGACATGGAAAAAATATGAAAAAATCAGTATTCCCTTTATTGTATGCTGAAATTTAACCAACAAGCCATGATTAGACTCATTTTCGGGCATGAAGTTTAATATGATTGTAATGAATAGTAAAAATACTGGAATTAAGTGTGATTGTGTTACTGTAGCGTGTAGTTATATTATTAAAAAAAGGTATACTCACAATAAGTTTCTCCGTGGTAAGTGAGGGCTGCATGCATAAAATTACATTATTTTAGTCAGAATGATAATGATAAAAGGATTAATCTGCACCCACTTGTATCCATTAAAGTATTGATTATACCACATGAAAAATCAATGAAAAACTTTATATGCATGATTGTTAATTTGTTTGTTATAAAAAAACTAAATATCTATTTATCTTTATTGATCAAATTGTGTTTTGTTATAATCAAACTTAACGAATAAAAATGATGGCAATAATAATAATTATGATTTTAGACTTCTACATGTTGGAGCTTTTTTAGCCCCTTTTTTTTGACAGGGAATATCATCAAATGACTTCTTCAGCCCAGGGTAAGGCGAGAGAGAGTGTCAGACTCTTACTGACTAAAAACTCCCCCATTTCTTCGCCTGCTCTGATCGAGGCCGCGGTGATTCATTGCGCATAGGTGTCATTAAGTAATGATACTGCAATAAGCTTGGATTTCAAAATTGCATTAACTCAGTAAAACTCACAAAATGTATTAATTTTTAGTTTTGAATACATGAAATGGATCAGTAAGTAAGATTATAATTTATTTATATTATTGAACACATCATCATTTTTTATAAATGAGCACTTTAGTTGAATTTTTAATGATACCTGTTTTATCAGGTCTTCGTTTTAAGTAATTAAAGTTATAAAGATCATTGAGATTACGGCCAACTGAATATCACATGGGCATAATTTAGAAGAAAATGTTTAGTTAACCCTAGTAATTACCTCAATAGTAATAAGGTACATTTTCGTGTATCAAATGTTGGTATATGCAGTTGACCGTGTATGATTGTATAGCTAAGCCATATAATGCTAAATAGCTTGAATATTACCTGTTGAAGAACGGCGACTGTAAGTTGTTGAATAGTGAGTGTTGACTAAAGCCGGGACCCTCCTCGCCGTTGAGGCGATTCGTTAGTGCACGCACCTGGAACGTTATGGCAACATGAAGAAGCCTTAATGGGGATATCCGCACCAGTGTACCTTCAGGCCTATTGCCCAATAGAGTATTAGCAACTTGTACTTATAAGATTTGTATCTATATGTGAAACTGATTTGAAAAGAGTAACCATGGCGTTTCTTGCTCGTTCTTCTTCATAAGAATCTATATTTTCTAGCAAGGCTGACCTATAGCAAAATAAAAAATCCATATGACCAGAGCGTAAATTTGTAGATTTAATACATTTTTTTGGGAAAACTGAGGTTGTAAAATCAATAGTCAATAGTAAAATGACACGTAAATAACAGTCTACGAGTCATTTTATTGACAATGCCAGAATTTAGACAGACAAAACGTTATTCGTCACCCGTATCTACCACTCGTCCTATTCTCGCCAATAAAGCGTAAATGTATGGAATTGACACCATCATTTGATTAAATATGTCAAAAATTGTATCAAGTCAAGTCATATGTTGAATTTTCTATTCATTGGTTAGATTAGTCTTGCCTAAGGGGGTCGGTGAATACCAATACTATAGCCCTTAATGTGCTAAATGTATAATCTTATTACAATTTTAATACAGCTTAATAAATTAGTTTTTAATCAGGAAAATTAAGAAAAGGACCGCCACCGTAATATTTTAAGGGCTGATTTTTCAATAGTCTGACTATGTTATTTGAGGAACAAAATATTGCTGTTACTGTCTAATACAAACATTCTGACGCGACAGAATCGTAATTATTCCCCAGATAACTTTCATCTAACCATTGAAAAATTAGCTCTAAAAATGTTAAACAGGCTCAAGATGAGTATGAATTGTTTATTTCCTGTATTGAAAATTCTATTAAGTAAAGAAAACCTTGTCCTTTCTAAGAAGATGCATGGCAGATGCATAGAGAACTGACTACATTGAATAAATTCCCTTTAAAAACAAGTAATTTAATAAATAGTTTTTTCATAATTTTAAATAATATGTTTTATAATACGGACGGACAGGGTTTTTATTACACTCATGATGTTATTACAAGAAGTAAAATATGTGTTACCCTGTCGAGTAGCGTAGAGAAGAGGTTTTCAGCGGTGAGTAGATGGAAGCCCTCGTCCTCCTCGTCGTCCTCCCCGGAGCTGACGGACTCAGCGCGCGCGGCGCGGCTGGGCCGCAGTCTGTGCATGTGAGAGTCTTCCTCCTCCTCTGACTCTCCGCCACTCACTAAGCTGCTGGAGATTATTCGTAACATGCATGGTTAAATATAAGTTCTAGACACGTAGGTATCATAATATTAACTATGACTTTTCAATATAAGAATATTTTTTTATGGTATAGGTTGGCAAACGAGCAGACGGATTACCTTATGGTAAGCAATCAACACCGCCCATGGAAACCCGCAATACCAAAAAAGTAACGAGTGCGTTTTCGACCTTTTAGGGATAAAGATTTCGGACATTTAAGGACTGGGAAGGGATGGGGGGAGGGTGAGGGATTGGGCCTCGCTCCGGTAACCTCACTCACACACAACGCTGTGGTTGCCGGTTTTCTGTAAGGCCGTAGTATACTAGTATCACTCCAGTCGAGCCCACCCATTCGTGCCGAAGCTTGGGTCTCCCACACTTTAAATGATGTACCGGTCAATGATGAAGTACCTGATGCGCCTAGGCTTGGTGGTGCGATGGTGTCGCACGGAGGGCACGTGTTGCGTGGACTCGGGTTCGAGGCTGCGCTGTCGCGGCGTGACGTAGCCCTTGCCTTCCACTGCGATAGGGATGATAAACTCCCGCGCAGACTTCTTGATGGGCTCGCCCGGACTGCTGCACGCCTCGCTTGCACTGCCAGACTCCGTTGATGTCAACCGTCTGTTTGATTCAATATATCAATATATAGTTTATATAAGATCAAAATTTAAAAAAAAAGGTGCTCCACTCTAGGATTTTCTTTTGTGTCGTGGGTGCGTTTACAAACATACAATTTCACATACGCATTATACACTCAGACCTGGAACAACAATTTGTGGATCACACAAAGAATTGTTAGAATTGTCGCGACAGCCAGTTAATAATATCTATTAGAAAACGTTGCTACGCTGTCGGAGCTAGTTAGGTAGTGTGACAGCATATAAAATGAATATCGAGTTTAATTAGCTTATGATAATTGATATATTTACGTAACAATATAAAACCGTCAGTATGTACAGCCAAAGAAGTTTAAAATGTACTGACCTGAGCGGAGTGACCCTGGGCGCGGGCGTTGGTGTAGCTTTGGGTGCGGGGGTAGTGGGCAGCGGGGGCGGCGGGGACGTGGGGGACTCCTCCGTCGCCACCGTGATCGGGATGATACGCTCCACCGACACGCCGCGTGCACTGCGAGGACAATTCATGCTTGTGTTAATAATGGCTAGGTAAACTTACTATTACATTAAAAACTGCATAAAATTAGAATAGTTTTCTTCTTTTCATCGTCAAAATATGGCTATAGATGTATTGTGATTTGATATCGTTAGTATATTTCTTTACTGTAAATGATAGTTTAAGACAGTTAGGTATATTTCTTAAGAGTTGAACAGACGGAATAACAGACAAAACTCAACGATTTTATACAACTAATACACAAAATGTTGCTGATTGATGTTTTCAACATCAATTTAAGAAGACGAAGAAGATTAAAGCCTCATTTCTCCGTCATACATAATCATATGCTTGATTTGAGTTTGCGCGAGCAATACCACGGGTCACTACTACAATTTAAAAAAAAGGCCGCGTATTGTAACTATGAAATATCTTTTTCAAAACTTTAATCATTCACTTTAATCAATATCTGAATTATAACTACTACTTATCTTGATAACAAAGTAAAGTCATAAGTAGTAATTACGGCGGTTCTCTATTATCAACAGAGAGGACTAGTGTGATAGGTGTGTACCTGTTAGCATTCCGATGGTCCTCGACGCGATGCTGTGCCTCAGTGCGGAAGACGCGCGGCGCGGGCTGCGCGGGCGGCGTGCCCGGCGGGGACACCAGCGACGCCACGCCCGCAGACGACGAGCGCCCGTACGGCATCGGGGGCTTGCCTGTACCGCGACATATCGTTAATATACACACTCGTGCATCATGTTACTTACTTCTGAATATTTACACAACATGTATCGTATTTCACGGACATGATTTTCTATGTATACTAAATGACATTGTTTGCTAAAACATCAATCTCATATCGTAAAATCAACAAGAGTAAGTAAAGCAGCAATGGAACTAGAATAACAAGTTTAATATTAGATTTTGTCACACAAAGAAATCCTAAATTGCGTTCTACCTACTTGCAACAAAAAATAAAACTTTGGAACTGTAACGACTATAAAACTCGACACGAATGCAAACATTGACGTTAGATTACTAATATTATGTGACATAAAACTGTATAGAACAACATTTTCGGTATTAAAAGTAAAAAATTTCATTGTTATAAATTAACAATGAAATTTTACCTGTTCGTATAGCAGACGATATGATATCGCGGGCGGCGCGCCGACGACTCTCTTCGCCGGCTTTCTCCTCAACCAACTTCGCCATAGAGTTTTGTAGACTCCTACAAATATTGTTTAACATTAGTCATATTATAATAAATAGCTTGGCATCACCGTCGCAGCTGCATTAATCAGAATGTATGAGAAAACAGCATTCGTCATTGTCACGTACTAACGTACTGCCTTACGTAAGTTTGGAATGTGTATGGCGCCGAATTCTGAGATGACTGGTAAATGTGGGCGTGTTACCTGTAGTCTATAGGCAGAACTATGTAGGAAATATGTCACAAAAATGGTACAGCAATTGGGACTAATTTGAACGAATAACGTTGTAATTATTATAAATTAGTTTTAGTGTTTGAATTATATCTATCGCTGCTTAAACAGTAATGATATATCCTAACCCCCTTACTAATAAAAATTTACACACATCTTATAACAGAGGTATATCACACTCATTACTAATAATCAACTTTTGACATTTCTCGCGTATACAGCTGTTATAACTATTGTGAAAATTGTATGAAATGTTAGACAAGACTTATTCAGCCCGTGGACCTAGTATAATGTGTGAATAAGCGATCATTTTCGTGTTTTAACTGTCAGACGCATAAAATAGATTTTTACATTATTTTGATAAAATGTGTTTGATGATCATGAATTCCGAAAAATCAACAAAAGAGAAGAAAAAGGAATTATCAACGATCCGTATGAATTCTCTTCCTTAGAAATCCTTCATTAGAAGGTGCAGAGTCTATAAGAAAATATAGATTTTCAAAGAAACATATTATTGAAGTTGTGGATTTGCTATGTACAGCATAGGACTAAGGGTGACGGTCTCCCAGGAGAAATCCATGTCTGTATAGCTCTAGGAGCCATGCCTTGACACGACAAAAAGATCAAGCCGATGCAGCTGATATCCATGGAATGAGTCAGTAACCTATCACAAACCTGTGTCGCAGAGTATCTATCGTATTAGCAAGACGAGTCGCATTTCGCAGAATTTATTACCTACTTTAGAAATGTGATTGCTTGAATAAGGCATAAATATTTATTAAAATCAAACATCCGAACTCAGTAGTTTTATTTTCGTCGATACCCTACGATACATAGATTTATTTTTACAAGAACATATTTTTATTTACAACATCAAACATAGGATAAAAATTAATATGTGGCATAGAAGTGTAACGAAATATCCGTAATAGATACAGATACGTATTACAAATACAATATTTATAACAGTTATTTGTACGTTCATTAATACATTACTATAAATACATAAACTAATTTCAAATATTTACTCATCAGAACCAGCTGACTGGCAGTTGACTAACCAGAAGATGGGGTATGATGGCGATTTATACCGAAATTTTGAAGGAGATTGTGAAGTTTGAAAATTGGTTGACGTGTAGATAATGTGTCTTAATACATATAACATTATTTTGGATCAATTATAGCTAAAGGATTTTAAGATCAGCTGCCTAAATATAAGCCTGATATTCAGTAATAGGTATAACACCTATTATAAAAAGCTGTTACGAATATTTTCAGTGCCTAATTGGATTATCAATTTTTTTTCGAAAATTATTGATAAATTAATATTTTAAAACTAAATTAGATTCCATAAACCTTTCTTTTTGTTTTAAAAAATCAATTATTTTATTGATTATTCTAATCAAATAATTATAAATATACAAGAATATTGTGAAGAAGTGTTTCTGTTCAGAAGTTTCGGAACGCTTTCATCAATGTTGCTAGCAATCAGCAGTATAAGGAATAAATAGTTATTCAAGGTATAACCATTGTTTATTGGTAATGAATTGTATAAAGGAGTACTAACTCCCTATTCAATGAATAGCTATCAAAATGTTTAACAAGTGTGTAACCGAACTTTATTAGTAAGACCGCTAATGTTTTATACAACAAAGAATAACACTTTTCAATCAACACTTTTTTTTTACAATTTCTATGTCTCCAGTTTTGAACAACATTTATCAGAATACAAGCGGCCCGCCCCCGCTTCGCACGGGTCCAAATATCTCGCTATCAAAGGGTCACTTTTTCCTAATCTTCCCCTCTACTTTTTTAATATTTTCTTTCCTTCCCTTGACAATAACAAACATAACAAAAAAAGAATTAGCAAAATTGGTCTAGGCGTTGTTGAGTTATGCGCTTACCAACCCATTTTGCGATCCATTTTTATATATAAAGACTAAGCTCAATTTCTCATACATTCTGCATTTATTTCGTTATTGGTCTGGGCATATTTTTACTTTTATACAAAACACTGACAAATTCTAACGGACCACCTGATGGTAATCAGTCGCTGTATCCAAGTTACAACAGCTATTCCCATTGAGTAGTTTCCTAGGACCAAAATTAATTAATAAGACGTTTACATACAATAAAATATTCAAAATAACTTCTTTTTTAAAACATTGATCTCTCGATACAAAATAAGTTTTAGATATTTTTTAAGAATTTGACGCTAAAATACTATTCGCAGTTTAAATATCATAGCCGGGTATCGTTTTGGACATTTGGATAAAAGTATTGAATTTGACTAGTTGGAAACTACCATATTGCTTGCCATGGAGAATTTTACCTTCAATGAGTTAGTAAAATTCTCCATTCTACTTATTACTATAAGTATAAGTCTTCAGTACTAACCTCCTAGCGTCCTGCAGCAGTACAGCAGGGTCTACGGAGGTGGAGCTGTGTGAAGGTTCGCTCTCGGTCTTCTTAACACCGCTACGAAGGTTCGTCTCACGTTCCGCCTCTGTATGACTCTGCGAGAAGTACACGTACGATTTATAATACAAAATCTTACGGGACTTTGCCATAACAACTAGGAAACAAGTAGATTACAACTTTAAATCAATGTGATTAAGAGTCTTATTATAACAAACGTGTATTTTAAGAAACAATATTACTATAAAAAGAGTTTTTATACACTAGTTTCTTATATTGTATACGTCTATCCCAGCCTGTGTCCCATAGTAAAATGATGGAGGGCGCCCAAGATGCTATGATCGTGAGTGTGGCACTATCTGCTGACCAAAGCACGTGTTTTGTTTATAATTAAATGAGTTACTAAGTTTATATGCCACGTCAGTTAATTGACGTTTGTAACACGTAAGCTTGATGCTTTTGGTCTCTATTCGACGACAATTTTGTATTATTTTTAGAACAACAATGACTCTCCGAAAGTGTAGCCTATTTTACATCAATGTGGAGTGGAGCCCCCTCCCTTGAGAAAGACGCAAGGTACTGACAGACGCATTGGGTCTACGAGACATCGTAGTATTTTTTGCTTTTGATGTGTAAGAATGCAGTTTTATTGCCTATTTGCAAAAATAAATTATTTTTTCATATTTTGTCGCATTGTGGCGACTTAATTATTTTCATGTTATAACTTGCGTGAGATAAATTAAATTGAATTGTAATGTCCGACTAGGTTTAAGTTCCTCGTCAAATAAAAATCGTGCGTAAATTGTTAAAAGTTAAATTATTTGCTATTTTTCTTTTTTTTCATTTTAAGATACTTCGGTAAGCTCACAGTATTGCCGATATATCGACGTCGAATGCAACCCTAGATTCAAGGTCGGATAGCAGTAAAATGATTCATTAGCACCTCATGCCAATTTCCTGTAATGAATCAATTAACGATTTCATTAAAATCTTTTATTAGCCTACCTTTTGTGTATAATCGGGCAAGCATATCACACGGCTATTTTTAGAGTAATTGTTTATTGTTGCATACTAGGTAGTGTCTAGTAGAAATTTACATTTTACTATGGCTAATGAATCACTTTTATTGATTCATATTGATATGACTCCATTCATATTGATGAATAATACAAAACCATTTTCCATACGTCTATACTAATATTATTAAAAGGTAATTTTTGTAGTTCGTATATAGGGGGCTCGTATATAATCTTTGGAAATGCTAGTCGCGTTTCCAAATTTTTTTCACTTTTCGTTAACTACAATGTTTCTGAGTGCTATAGGCAATAAAACATCACGCTACAATCTGTAGGAGCCGAGTAGCTTGTATCAAAAACGTTTTTGTATTATTTGGAACAGATCTTAATATTACCTCTGCCTTCAAATTCAGCCCTACTGCTATAGTAAGATGATTAATATTTATGTGCTTATGTATGAATTAGGCGTGCCTCGAACTTTTATCATAATAATATCCTCAATATGAAAAGATACAATAAAATATTATTTGAAATAACTTTTCCAGTGGAAAAGTATTAATTAATGCACGTATTTTTATACCTGTGAAGGCTCAATGCCAATTTGTTGCAGTCGAACAGTGCCGTTATCTGGAGTCTTCGTTGGCAACTCACGGTCCTCACTCTGTGCTTTGGGCTTAGCGATCTTAGAAACCACTGTGAAAAGTAACAATGTACTTAATACTTGAACACTTAAAGTTCAATTTACATTGACCAGAAATAGAATAGATGAAATTGTGGAAACAGGTTTTTTAAAATTAATTATTGATTTATACCTGGTTTAGATATGTTGCGTTTGATTTCAGGAGCAGTGGTAAGAGAAGCTCGTCTCTCGAACTGATCTTTGAAGCTTCCGACATTGCCACCTGGTGAACAAAGGGAAATATTTATATTTCCTCTATGATATAAAAACTATAGACAGATGACAGTCGAGTATATGAACAATGAAAGACCTGCGTTTTTACTTTTGAGTAAACATTTGAACAAGTATAGATATTACTCAGTTGCAAACAACTTTATCAATCATGGGACCACAGGCTCCCGGTAATTTGGAAGGCGTACGAGGGGCCGGGTTTAGCTAGCAGAGGCCCTTTAGACACATTTAATCTTAAGAAATGGGACACAAACCGGCGACTATCCGTATATGCACTATGGAAATACAATTTTATTATTATTTATTGTACCTGGTATGGACAGTTTTTTAGGTTTCGGCGTCTGGTTGGCAGGCGGCTGTTGTGCAATAGACAGCGACGTCAACTTGTCCGCCGCAGACGCTACTGCGCTCTGCTTTGTCTCTTCTTGTGGCTGCTGGGAAGAAAACATGAAATATTGCAAATTAATATAATATTCTCCTTCATTAGTGATCGAATGTTGCAGATTTTATCTAATCTAAAATCCGTATGAGTGTGCACGAACGAGTTTCTAAGATCCCTGAACATGTCACGGCTGGGATAACCGCAAAATCTGGCAACGAGAAACAAGGCGACATAGCTTCAATTGGAAAAAATCATGAGAAGGGTATATATGGTAGAAAATTCGACGACAACCATAAAAACAATTAATAAATAAGGTCACAAATCTAAATGGCACAAGTAAATGACTCCCAGATTAACCCTAAATCTAGTAACTCGCCTGGTATTGCGAGTGTGCATGGGCGGCGGTTATATATTAAGGTAATCCAACTGATAATTGGCCGACCTATTACATCAAAAACATATAAATAAAAAAGTATCCAAAATACACTTTTCTGGCATTAGGCCGCCAGATAAGGAAGGTAGATCCTACTTATTCCTTTATGAGGGAATTGGGTAGTTTCCTAGGTCAAAAATAAATTAATTTGATGTTTCAATACTATAAAATATTGAAAAATAACTATACTTTTATTCATCGATCGATTGATAGACCAAGTTTTAGATTTTTTTTAGCTTATTATTGTGAAATAATAAAGTAAGCTATTTGACGCAAAAATGTTATGACGTCATAGCTCAATTTTTCATATAAATTTCATAGAAAAGTATCGTTTTTGACGTTTGGATAAAAGTATTGAATTTGACTAGTTGGAAACTACCGCATTATTACCTAGTCTTCTATTTTGTCTCAAATGGAATAAGAACCCTTCTAAAATTATTTTATAGTCTTTATCTACATACCTTAACCTCTTCAACTTTTTCTGCCGGTTTCTCCTCCACAGTCTTGGTGGGTGATGTCTTCTTCTTGATAGTAACGCGTGGTTTGGTTGGCTTCTCAACTGGTTCCTCCTCTTTCGGTGGCTCCTTCACAATGTCCTTTGTCAAGTCCCTCACTAACTCGACTGGCGCTGGTTGAATAGTGATCGTCGCCGATGACTTCAAGTTTGGTTGTATTGCCTAGAAACGATTAAATTATGAAGTGACAAAAAACCGAATGGCATTGAAGGTAAGATAGATTTCTTATGTAGATTGATTATCATTAAAGAAGGAAGCTTTCGACGTGGTGAACTTAGATGGATAGGATATTGACAAGCTAAAGGCCTATCTACATAAAATGTGTTATAATAACAAATCTCTAACGTTTTGGTCGTTCCTGCGAAGCTGAGCGTAACTTTACTTGTGACTTACACTCCACTACAGAGCCACCAAAACTATCCTTCAGTTACTTAACGTACGGGTATTTTCTTCTAAGTAACATAAGAATTTTATAAGATTGTTACCGAGTCATCAGCCAGGGGTGGTTCTTCGGTGGGAGGTATTTCTGGAGACGATTCTTCTGGTAGCGCCGCAGCTGGCGCAATACTTGCACAACTAAAACAAAAACCGGACTAAGTAAAAAACAACGTCTTTTTTTATAAACTGAGTGCTATGAAGAGAGAGAGAGAAGAGAGTAGAATATTGCTATGCAAGGGTTTTGTTTTTTTTCGAAGTTAGCCCAATTAGGCACCTCGGCCTCGGCCCAGTGCAAAAGGAACGGCGGGTTTTTAGTCAGTAAGAGTCTGACACTATGGGCGGGAAAAGTCATTTGATGATTTTCCTTTTACAAAAAAAGGTCTAATTTTATTTGCTCTATGTTACGTCTGCATTTCAATTTTTCACTATCGATATACTTGCTTACAATCCCTTTTGGATCTTCTTTACAATTTGCTCTCACTTTTCTTAATTAATTTTAACGTGATAACTATAACTTCCAAAGTACTGACCTGGCAACTCTTTCCTTCTTCCTCTGCAGCCCACTGGCCGACATGGCGAGTTCCAGCTTACGTTTGTTGTCCGTGGCCGACACGATGGTACGAGTCGGCGACGGTTTTATCGCGTCTTCACCGCCCTCTATAGATAAAACGTTTCCCATTAAGACTTCTTGTTATAAATATAAATTAATAATGTATATTATTTAATAAAGGTTTAGATGACAGCCTAGTTAACTGTTTCATATTAACTACATATGTGCTATATTTATGACAAGCTCTTATACTTTCTACTCATTTTTCAAACATATCTTTACATTATATAATAGATTATGTTGTTGAACAATAATAAGAATAAGCCACTGTAGACAAACCTGCAACCAACTCCAGGATCCTCTTCTCAGCAGAGTTGCTGGGCTCAATGTGAGCCATTGACGTTGAGCTTGTTAGATCTGTGCCACTTTCTTCAGGACCCAGTTCAGCCTGCATACAATAAAATATTAATTTAATAACGTAACTCAAAACAAATTAGAAGTAATGCCTGATAAAAAGTATCTATAAAAAAGGTTCAATACAAGATTTATACAAAAAAATAGTGCTAGATGATTTCATATCAAGTTATTGTAGCAACCACGAGAGTTACCATGGAGTTTCTTGCTTGTTCTTCTCCTTAGGAATCTCCACTTTGGAACGAGCAAATAGCTTCAGCTTAGCTTAGCTAGAGGACAGACCGACAGACTGACACGCAAAAAGTTAAACCTTTTAAAAGTGCCAGCTGTGGACTTTGAATTTGACTTGAGACTTCATAAAATCATATTGACAATATTATCGTAATTTTGGCATACTAATGAAAGCAAAATATTCTTTTGCAAGAAATACTTAATTTACAAGGAAACTTCTTATAACTTAAAAGTCACTGTATTCTGCCTGCCGGCAAGCGTTCTAGTAAAGATGCTACCTACAGTAGGAACTTGGAATATATTTACCTCATCCGGCACCATGACTGAGTTAGAATTGGAAGGCGCAGCGGGGGCCAGCGACAGCAGCAGGTCCAACCGCACCGGTGTCTGGGCCGCTAGGGCCTCCGCCTCCTCCAGGCAAGAGGTCTCACAACCCAGGTTCACCCATCTGTACAATATGGGTACTTATTAACTACCTGACCCTTTAAAGCTTAAGCGTATATGTATTACTTACAGTGATATACATAGATCATAAAACTGTACGTATGAACCAAATTTTTTTATACGTTTCTATGCTCATAATGAATGACGGTAAACGTACTTTATTAATCTACTAACTAGTCAAATTCAATACTTTTGTCCAAACGTCTAAAACGATACTTTTCTATAAAAAATTTATGAAAAATGAGTTATGAAGTCATAACATTTTTGCGTCAAATAGCTTACTCATTTCTTAATAATTAGTTAAAAAAATCTAAAACTTAGTGTATCGATCGATCGATGAATAAAAGTATAGTTATTTTTCAATATTTTATTGTATTGAAACTTCGAATTAATTTATTTTTGACCTCGGAAACTACCCAATTTAGTAATCATTTAAAAACCGTCGATCTTATTGATCGGCCTGTTCGTTTTTTGTTTATTACCTACAACAAATACGGTTCTAACTAAACATACGTATGTTAAAAGTACATAATTAAACTATGAAAATAACAGTAGTTTGGGTGTGAACTTTTTACATCACTTCAATTCCTATTGGGATATCGATCAACGAAGAGACAATCCACTGTTGTTATAGCTAAACCTATGGTAGATACGTTACATTTCACAAGCTAAGATTAGGTACCAGATGCACAATTTAAAACAGTTGGTTTTTCCTTGGACTAACCTTCAAACAAATAAACAAAAATATTTTCTGCAATCGCCTCTATCTAATCCCTCTAATCTATTGTTAAAGTACGGGTAGCAGTATTATACACAATAACATTCGTTAAGCTATTAAATTTACGAGTATCGTCTGATAGAAGAAATACTTATGATCCTACGCCCTATAAAAAATCCTTAGTTTAGAAGAAAAAAGTTATTACTCACGGATTATCACAAATGTAGGCGATGTCAGCGCGCTTCAGCGGGTCAACAGTGAGCATGTCGCGAATCAAAGGTGATGCGCCTGAAAATTATCAAAATATAAATTATAATCACGACTAAGTACAAAAAAAATATTTTGATTAGACATTTTTCATGATCAATCTGTGTGGTATATATAATACAAACACGAATAATAACCCAGATTTCGAATTAATTCGATTTTCGATTTCACGATTACGAAATTAAGTTTAGCAAAATTAATTGATTCCTACATAATAAATACACAGTATGAAATAACTAATATTAGATGGACATTGATTCGTTTTTGTCATTTGCTCATAAATCACAGTTTGGAGCCTCATAAAGAATAAAGTCTTCGCCAAAACGGGCCTCGATCACTTATAATGTAAATTAGTTTATTGTGAACCTATGCCAAATCTTTAATACGTTCGTGTGCTATTCATATTATGAAGGCAGGCTACTGCTGTATTATATTTTTACGGATTAAATGAACTATACATTTCCAAGAAATAGCAGAAAACTCAAAAACTATTCGTCAAATCTGGAATTTAAACAAGTTCCAAGAGCCAGTAATTATTTAATACTACTTGTAGTTGTTACTGAGCAACTTAGTTTACGAATCGTCTGAAGGTATACGATCATTGTTTCCTATATAAATTTAGTCATAATATATGAAAGAATAGTCTTACTTGACGGGTTCCTAGGTTCATAATAATCTCCATTACTGATCTGTCGGACTAGACGTTTGAAGTTGGAGCCATCAAATGGCATAGCTCCATAGACTAGAGTATAAAGTAGTACACCCAACGACCAACAGTCCACCTGGAAAGATGAGAAAAATGTATTATGAAAAAAAAATGGCAGTCATGGGGGCTTATGTTCAGCAGTGGATATGATGTCCAATTTTTCTCTACTTAAGTCAATTAATATTCATCAAAACATAATTATTAAAAAAAACATTTTGAAAACATGAAACACGAATCTTTTCTAATTTCGATAGACCTTGAGACACTTTCGACACAAGAAAATAATTTAAACCACGGAGATAATGAATCCGATCGTCTTATAGTATAAATAAAAAATGCTAATAATTTTGTATGTTTAAGAAAAATACTCTTGAAAAAAATACTCTTTATTACCTCTGGGCCAATGTATGGCGTTCCTTTAACGATTTCCGGAGACGCGTATAAAGGAGAACCACAAAACGTTGATAGAAGAGACGTTTCTTTAAACACATTTGACAGACCGAAGTCGGCAATCTGTAAATAATTACATTCGTTATAATAAAGTGAAAGAGAATCTACATGAAATTTTATATTTAATATATGTTAGACCAACCTTAGCACTACCAGTATCATCTAATAAAACATTTTCCAATTTCAAATCTCTATGGCAGATTTTATGTATATGGCAATAGTATACGGCTGTTGCGATCTGTCGGAATAACCTGAAACCATATCACAATACATTGGCACATACATTTAAAATAAAAGAAAAGTTAAAAAAGGCATACTTGTATGAATATGTAAAAGCTTTCAACCGACCTCCTTGCCTCGTCCTCTTGTAATACTTTTTTCTGGCTAAGGTAATCATAGAGTTCTCCGCCTGAGCAGTACTCCATAACAAGTATCATCTTTTCACTGTTTTCAAATACTGAAAAACGATAATATTATGACGTAACATCTTGTTGTATATTACAAGGATATATCGAAGTAAAAGGATACGGTAGTGAGGATGTTGCTAATTTAATAGAAGGTTACTGCTAAACAAAGAGGTCTAATCTGAATAGCCGAACCAGTACGATTAGTTCAAAACAAACTGATATAAAGAAACTGCTGGAGACCCAAAATCATGTCCATTTAGCATTAGAACAAGAGTATTAAAGCCACAATGATATTACAGTTGTACAGCACGCCATATTGTTCTAAACTCAGATGGCACTATAAGAAAACTATCGACAAAAGGTACAATACAAAATGATTTGGCACCGATGGATGGTACTTTAGTTTTGTCTTTGTCTTGTTACTGCGGTATTTAGATCGTAATAATACGATGAAACATTACTTACGTCAAAGAAAATGACTGAGGAATTTAATATGAATGCTTTATGTTGATACTGTCTCATCGATCATTTACAAGTTTTGAATAGTTGCAGTACAAAAGTGGACTAGTTCAGTGAGAAATGTATACATTTAACTCGAAATGGATTCGTCCAGACAGTTTAACGATACAGCAGTTGACAATAAACTGCGTTGTCTGGAGTTGAAAAAGAGACGTTGACCTCTAAGTTTTTTCAGTGCCTCTTGATTTAGCAGTTGCAACTACCCATAAAATGTAAAGTGTTTGGGTTACAGTATAAACAATATTGTTGGGAACATACCTTCATAAATATGTACAATATTTGGATGTCTGACAGAAGACATAATCTGCACTTCACGCCGAATGCGTATGAGATCAGCCTCGGACTCGATCTTGCATTTCTTAATAGTTTTGATGGCCACCTCCTGGCCTGTCTTCTTGTTGATACCCAGCTGCACTTTACCGTACGTGCCTTGACCTAGTTTTCTCACTATATCGAATCTGAAATACATATTCATAAATGCTAAGTGAACAGGTACAACTTCAGCTTTATTCGAGTACTTTAGGTAAAGTTAGAAGTAGATACTAATTTAACTGCTATTTATTTATACCAGTAACAGAATCACAACACTTGTTTTACTGTGATTTAGTTTTTCTGTAGAAGCGACTGCACTATTATTTTCATTCAAAATTTAGAGTCTAGTTAGTAAGTAAATGTAATGGAACTACATAAGCGACCTACAACAATCTTAATTAACTCATCATCCTTTGTGCAGCAATTTGTGAAGTCATTGTACAAGAATTAAGCGTCAAACAAGAAGTGGCCGCAGCTAAAACGATTCAATTTACTTAAATGATTAGCGTCGAGGTTTAAAATGATAAAGCAAATCGATGCGTCACGGAAACGCAGACCACTTTATTGTGAACAGTGCAATTAATAAGCGAGGAGATTATTTTACAGGAGACTTTATTTGTTTGGACCCAAAGTATCATTACATTTGAGCATGTATGAGTCCTATATTCAATTATAAATGTCTATACTGTCAGTATTGTCACTCATTTACAATAACTGTGTTTATACTACAGATAGGTACATGAAAATGTCAACAAGACTATTTTACCAACAGCTGAAAGCTGTAAACAGGGATAAGTAAATTAGTTAAATTGCCCAGTACTCCATACGAATAATTTAACCATTATGACATGAACACAAGAAGCATCTCTAGTAAAGCGTAATGCGTAGAATAACTATTTTAAAAGTGAATCCGGTCGCCTATTTGAGTAGTACTAAATGACTGTTTAAAATGCGGACGAAAGCTATTTTTAGCTCCTCAAATGTTTATCCGTCGACAAACGGAAGAACGCTATGCGTTTGGTACATTTAAGTTAGAGGAAGTTAATGATACATGTCCATAGCCCATGTGGTGTTTAGAGAACAACAGACGCTAATCATTACAAGATAAATTAACAACGACATGTAATTAATCATAAGTCCATCTTAGATTTTTTTTACACTTTTGCCCTAATTTGCAAGATTCGTTTGCATGCACGGGAGACACCAAATATTTTATATTAAAAATACATATGCGAACATAGTTGAGCCATAAGCCTATAACTTGAACCAGAGGCTTCGATCGCTGCCCACGCGCCGCACAATGCACGCAATACACGTTTGTTTAGTATTAGCAAGTAGATATACTAATACAGAAACATTCAAATGAATCGAAGACATTCACCCGATGTTAGCATTATGTACATATTTTATTCATTATTGAGGAAGTGGCTTTGTTAATGAAATATGGTAGAGCATTGATAAAAGAAATACATAAATTACTAGGAAGCATGAATCAGTGAGCTACTAGAAACTTCAAGGAGTCACGTACCAACGTACTTCTATAAAATAATATATTTTTAAATACATAGGTACTTTGTCATTTTCTTTATTATTCATATGGACTATAATAATGGGGGATCCACTCTATCACGGCTTAAACCAAGACAATTTTCTTCAAATGCCAATAAAACGTTTATGGTCAAAATCCAAAGCTGTCTTTTACAATAGAATAATTGAATGCATTTTGTCTATGAATGATGTAACGATCAACCTTTACGCCTACGAACTTCCGACGCTTATCGTGTAGGTGAACAGTCTGAAGTCTCGACACCCTAAACTCGGTCATTTGTTGGTGACGCGGCGCTATACCAGGCGCGTACAAATGTTCCATGTTGAATGCGTTACGTTACTAAAATAATACCAGTGTAAGCATGCATTGACGTAAGGATGGCGTATGAACTTTACGTTCTTAGATCTCGAACAAACAAGACTGAGCAGGCCAACATAAAAAAATAGCCTTTCGCAATCAAACGTTAAGTTTTGTGTAAGAGAAAAAGACGAACAGGCTGTGAGAACAGAATTAATTCAACCACTGGAATTTATAATTACCATTGTTTTCCTAAGTTATAGTTATTTGAAAATGAGTCTTGTTAACTTGAAAATAAATGGGAAATAATGTTTACCTTTGTTTGAGCCTCAGTCGGTGGTCGTGCATCCGCACGTCACCGGTGTTCTCAATGCCGTCCATGATGTTGGCGGTGCGCTTGCTCTCGCCCACCACCATTGTGACTGTAACAAACAAATAATATCACGACATCTTGCTATTTAAATATTATCAATATGTATTCGATTTCGACGAACGGACGCCAGTAAACAATCACACTTTTCAAACCGTTCAATAGTTCTCAAGAGAAATCACTAAGTTGATCTCATGCGACTGAGCAGTTCAAACAAATAACTTGATTATTTTCCATAAAAGGATTATTTGACTTTATGTGTAATGATTATTATTTAACAGACCGCAGGGCATTCTTTGATATAATTTGGGGAAACACCACACAGTCATTTGGAATTCGGAAGAAAGTTTTGGCCAATTAGTTGTTTGGCGAGTGGTCAGAGCGACCGTAGGTGTCGTCGTCTATCAGCCACGCTTGTTTATTTAAAGCTGGCAAAGAGAGTAGTTTTCCCGTCAACAGGGACCCAGTGATTTATTCATGCTGGCTATAGTTGAATACTAATAAACCAATCAAGCGGGGACGCTGTTAAGGCAATGGTAGCAAGTTTAACGTCCCATTGACCACTGTGATCATTGTTCTAAGAACGTGAATCACGCCACAAGCCATTTGTGTACTCCACGCACGTCCCACGATATCTCAGCTTTCCACTGGACCAAATGAGAAAGTATTGCACGTTACTTTCATAATAAAATTTCAAATTCAACAGTTTATTACACGAGAAAACAATGTTAGAACTGCAAGAAAACTTATATTAAACCAAGTAATTTGCGTCCAAATTAGATATTTATACACAGTTTACATGTCGTATAGTTTATTTTTTAATAAACCTACACGTTTTCCCGATGTAAAAAAAAAACTTCTGATATTATATTGAAATGTATGAGTAAGCGTCGTTGAGTGTAATAAATAAATTGGGGAAGAAGAGTAGATTGAGTCAGTATGAAGTAAACGTCGCTTAGATACAGAGACGGAGCAGTTGTTCATTAATTAAATTATTACTTTGTAAATATAGTTAATGATTCGAATAGCATTATAAATATGCGAGTGTCGTAAAGCCACCTACATATTGGGTTGGGCGACAGAAATATCCTGCCACGTACTGTAGTAACACCTACTGGTGACTCGTACTTCTTATATTCCGAGGAAATGCCTCTCCGACTGAGTTTCGTGGAACAATACAAGCTCTTGTGAATTCCCCTGATGCACTTTACTTTTTGGAGTAGTGTCTCAATTTTTAACATAAAGATACAAATACTAAAAGCAATGGGACCATACAAAAACAGTAATCAGCGTGAGAGCCGTGCTTTGGCGCGAATTTCCGGAGTAATATCACGGCCTTTGTTGTTTCCCTGAGTGAGACCATCGGTTGCCTAATCCTTTATTCCCCTATCCATTATCCTCAAACCCTCGCACGCACTCTTAACCTTTTTGATGTTAAGGGTTTTTGAAATCCGGAATAGGGAGCACCGATTGCTTAGGTACCACCAGGTGATCCTTCTGCTCGTTTGCCAGCACCGCCTTTGAAAACAAATCAGTTGAAAAGCCTAACTATGAATAGCAATTAATGACAAAAATTAGAAAATCTTGATAAATCTTACTTATACATCCCTATTCGTATTAGAGGTTTTACTTAACAAAAAAATGCCAACTCTCACGTAAACAAATTAGCTCCTATGCAAAACATTTTCACTAACGTAGTAAGGTGGGTGAATGACTTATGCGACTGAGTTGTTGGATTATATGAATAACTCTACTTTGTATGCACACTTTATAGACTGTTGAACTGTTCTATCGCAATAGAAAGCCAATATAAGATTGTTGTACATCAATTGTACCTAGCTCCAAGTAAAACACAGAGACGTTCATCCGATTTCGGTTAAGAGAAGAGAAGTTCTTCCCAATCTGCCACACCTGAATAAAATAAGTAAGTAGGTACTATTTTGACTTTACATCATAGCTTTTTTTCATAGCAATTGACTTTTATTCCCATTTCATCAGTTAACGTTAAACGCTCAAATTATGATTGTTTTTAAATAGGTATGCGTTACGACGTATACAAGTGTATGTGATATCGATACATCAAGAAATTTATGTTGATGGAAGCCATACAAAAATGAATTTATTAGAGCGTCCATGGCAAGGGATTACAGTACTTACACAAAACAAGGTTATTTCAAAATAGTACTCCCTCTTTTACTGGTATTAGGTTTGTTATAAGACCTTGTCCTGTAGTTGCACTCAAACATAAAGAAAACATAATTTTGTGATAGCTAGATAGGAACAGTTTCCTATTTACAATTATTTATTACAAATGTGAAAAAGAGGCCAACTTCTACATCTCGAAATACGAGTTTTGAACCAAGTGTCAAAGTCGAGTAAAACTAGGAAACAGTTACACTAAATAGGTCCTTAAATAAAATATTGTAATTGGTAAATATTGCTATTCCAATAGGGCGAGACATCAATTAGTTTATAATGTGTAATGTAGCAGTTCAGCTCTTCAACGCAGTTCAACCCTCTTCAAAAAATCAGGTGGTAAAACCATCTAATGATTTCCGCAGGCCTGGTTGAGACGAGAGGAAGTGTCAGCAGACGCTTACTCCAATAAGAGGGGTTGACAAATTACTTTATAACCAACGATGTCTAAAATCTTCGTCTAATCTATACTTATCTATAACTTTATATTATAAATGAAAAGTAACTCTGTCTGTCTGTTTTTTCACGCCTAAACTACTGAGCCGATTTCTGTGAAATTTGGTACAGACATAGTTTGGAACTCGAGAAAGGACATAGGATAGTTTTATAAGTACAAAAAATCTGCATGAAGTCACTATTCCACTTAAACGGAGTCGCGGGCAAAAGTCAGTTCTTAAAACATTAAAACTTTAAGATTCCTTCACGAGTTCATTTCATTTCGGCCAAGATAAAACAATTCAATTCTGAAACTATTTGACATTGACTCATCGTTTACATCTCGGACATATTTTCTATTTTGGTCCACCTTGACAATTTGAAATGATTTTAGAGTTTCATCTTTTTAATAGTCACCTGTTCCACTCATTATTTATTAGTCTTTTAGTCAAATTTCCAAAATGTATATCTCATCCTAAATATATATATACTATCCACTGTAATTGATGTTTGAGAAGCTCTCCGTACTGTTGCTATTAAGTAAAAACTCCGACGAAAGAGTCTTGAACTGTCATCGCTGTTTGTTTTCACGTGTATCAACGTCACCCTTGCGTTAAACTGCTGTCGTATCTAGGCCAGTTACATAGGTGTCAATGTTTGTCGGTCGGAAACGCCGCGGTCGTCGGATGGCATTGGCGTTGTACGAACGCGAACGGTGACGTCCAGAAAAAATGTGGCGCAAGTAGCCAATTAACATGTGGGATAGTGTGGGGCCGGCGTCTCGGCGCCTCTATAAATATCGCAATCCGCGTCCGCGCCCTCCCCGCGGCCCGAGCACCACCGGCAGCCGCAGCCGTGCCGCCGCCGTCTCCGCCCGGCACCGAGGACCGCAATAATAAAGACGGCATAAATCCCAATATCAAATCGTGACGTCACAACATACTGATGCATCGACCCACGTTCAATTTTATTGCTGAAACCTCAGGTTTGAAGTGTATTTATAAAAAATATGAAACTGACGAAATCATGATACTGCTGATGACTCATTCATAGCTCTGACAAGACAAATTATTACTACAATTATAATAAATCCCAAATTATATTTCAATGCGACATTTCAGAAGTTAAAGCCGGCCTAGTTTTGGTTTGAAGACGAAAAATTTTATTACTGCAAATAATTCATATCAGACAAGATTGGTGTCAAATTTGATGAATATTTTACACGATCATGATCAAATAGTAGGCCAAATTAAAGTGTACCCCGGAAGTATAGTTGACGGTCCCAGGACGACTTGCTACGTCGTCGTCAAGTGTGCGTCGAGCGGACACAGAACGGCAAGCGCGGACGCAGCGATCGCGCTATTTTTGTTCACTCAACAGTTGAATAACCTCCAATCAACTATTCGCACTTGCCTACAAGTCCAACAGAAACCCCGACAATGGTTTGTCTAAATGTGATTTCATAACCTTCAATATAAAGTTAATTTCGGCACACTTTTTGTGTAAATATGTACCTTAACATAATTATCAACCATAAATTACAAAAAAGGTAGGCATTCTGTTCTTGAGCATATTCCAACAATGAGAAAAAAATGAACCAAACCGACAGAATTTTATTTTACGTAGTAGGTAGGTAGGTACACAAACGATGTTGAATTTCCGTGTCAAACGTAAAAGAGCTCCCCTTGTGGAAGAACTTTCATCCATAAAGTAAAACTTCCGGACAACAAAACTTATTTTCAAAGCAACCTAGTTTCTGTTGTCTATCTAAGTCTACAAACAGAGACCTATGTACAACACCAACAAGAGCTCGATGTTAAAATGGAACACAGTCTTTCGGTTATTTCGAAGAGGCCAGGGAAGGTCTAAAACTTAGATACCTAATTATTTATTTTTCGTAATAGATTCATGAACATTTTCTGTTGTTTTCCGTTTTATTGTTAAGGCGCCTTTTATACAAGGCTTGCTTCGCAACTTTGGTCAAAGGTTTTGGCGATAACACAAGAAGACTTGTAAACAGGCATCTACTTATTGTAATAAATTTGGCGTCTATTAGTTAATAACAAAAATAATTGGCTTTCAATATATTATTTCTAAAGACAAACACAATGACATAGTATTAAAGTGTAATTCATACTTGACACAATAATTACTCAGCTTTTGCAAAGGTCTGAAATGTATTACCAAAACAACGATGCATCACAAGTGTTTGGAGAAAAATTTAGTCATAATTATGCAACATTATTGAATATTATTATTTCAACACCTACCTGTATTGAAACACTTCAATTGAGTGTAAATACCTACTATAATATTACATTGACATTGGAATTAATTCGAAGGCTTACTGAATTACTTTCTAGAAATCCAGTAGGTATTATTATGAACGCCATTGAGTACTCATTTAAATAAGAAC